TTTTCCTTGTAATATCAATGCTTTGTAAAACAGAGTGGTCATGAGAATTACGGACATGATCACGCAAGATGAATTTGATTGATATTTTATCAACTTCTCCCCACTACTTCTGTAGGAAATGAATAGGGACAACAAATGAGAATTCATATTCTGATCTTAGCGTTTAAAGGGTTAACAACCAACAAGCACTCGCGAAATTTTACTTCAAAACCAATTAAAACTTCTTGCACGATAACGCTTCAATTTGTTGTTGCTTCCCTAAACGGGACTGCCCGCTGCGTCCTAAAATAATGAGAATAATTTCTAGCAATTTGCATAGTTTTAATTGACCATATTTTAATACTTATTGTTAGTGTGTTATATGAAACAGCCTTCAGCCTTGTGGTGTATCTCCCTATTTGTTAGCTGGTTATCGAATCATCTTCTCGAGATATCAGTTGTGTTTACTCTGTGGAGGTACTCGGCGAGTAATTGATTTTAAAGACAGGTGTTAACGGGGGAGATTAAAGGGAAAAAAATTGCGTTGGAGAAACATTGCTTCGTTTTTTCCGGAGCAAAACAGGAATCATTCATGGCAGACAGGTAAGAAACGATCATTAACAGTTATATTTTTTATCACCTTGTTTCCACTGCTTAACAAGGTCCGTTGAAGATAATCACCCTCATTTCCAATTACCAAAAACTAATCGTGTCGCAGCGGTTATACAGTTAGCTCACTTTCAAAATTTGGAAGTATAGTGCGATTCATCGATATTACTGTTCTTACTCAGGTTTCTCGACTCATTCAATCCATTTTACTTTCACGTCTTTGCTTCATAATATTTAGTTTATGTCATGTTTTCTATCCTTTTTGAACATAAAGCAAATACTAAATTACACATCTGAATGGTCGGGGTAGAATATGGTGGGATGTTGCCTCTTCAGTGTCTACTTGTATGGACGGTGTATTTGAAACTTCAAAATTGGATCAGTTTTTTCGTCCTCCAAATTAAAGTTGGAAGTAGATAAGTTTTGTTTGTGTCGAAATATCGAATATTTTTGTTTTATCAACAAATTGGAAAAGCGCCAGCCAAAGGCATTGTTTCTTGGAAATTATCACGCTGTCGCTGGATTTGTCTGTGTATAGATGTTATACGGCAGATGTCTTACATGTTAAAACGATTTGAAAATAGACAAAATAGCCCGGGCGGCTGTTTCCCCAAGATATGCACTATATATCATTATTGCAAAATGTACAGAAAGAGTTTTAAGCGATGTCAGATAATTTTCTTTCACAAAAAGCTAAATGCGAGAATGTAAAAGACATTCAAGTTATTACACAGCGCTTTGGATCTTATATATTTGTCGGTTTTTCGCACTGAAATTTTGGATCTTTATAAAGGAGGGTTAAGTTACAGACGTACAGCCGGCCTTGAATCGAGGCTTTAATAACGTGCGAGACGACATGCAGGGAGTTGATTTGGAGGTCTGAATGCAAATGACAGCACTTCAATATAGTGCACGACAATGACTCCTCACTAGAAAGCAATTTAAAACTTCCGTTGCACTTAAAGTGCACTTAACAATAGTTTGCAGTTCTCAGTTGTAACGTGCTTCTATATAAAAAGCGCACACCTTGCTATTTATTTATAGTCGTACGCCCCACTCGAAGGGCTGAGTTAAATTCCTCGCAAAATTTACGAATGTTGGATTGACGGTAAAGCTCCCACTATTGAGCTCGGACTCTGGTTATTGCCAAAAAAAAAAAAAAAAAAAAAAAAAAAAAAAAAAAAAAAAGGCCGCTTTATTACATAATTCTTCCTAACTCTCGAAGTGATCGAAACAATCAAACAAATTATATATATTTTATCTGTCATTTGTCGTCAAATTTGTCTTTTTGTTGGAATAACGAGTTTACTATTTCGCTTTCGTCGAAATTGTCATAAATTTTTAATGTACACATTAACTCCACTAATTTATTGCAGTTGTTTTCGAAGGATCTAAATTATTCTCGCAGCCTGCTTTTACAAATTACTTATAAGCTAACTCCTGGTTTCAAGGGTGTCCGTAGGAACTAGAGTGGACTGTATTATCGAGCTTAAGATTTTAAACTTTGAAATAGATGGACGAGCTGTCTATTCAAGAGCTGCGGAGAAATTCGACAGGGGTGTAAACATTCATTTTCATTCTGTTTTTATTATCATTTGTTTTGCCATAAACCACAATAAAAAACACTTACAAGATACAATATATACGCAATATACAAATTTATGTCGGATGGATAGAAAGCAGTCTTGAAAGGATTTCCAGTGGAAACCACCCCAGAGAATGTAAAGCTGACGATAAGAGTGCTCGCTCCCGTTAATGTCGGTGGTCGACAACCACACGACATATGTTGGTTCTGAGATTATTGTCAATTCTCGCCTTAACTCCGAGATGCCGTTTCTTCGGGTACTTCGCGCATCCACCCTCTCAACCAAAAACCAACCATTTCCAAATTTCCAATTCGATTTGGAACGGGCGGAAACTTTCATAGAATTTTAAGTGTTTGAAAGTTCTTGAGATCTCTTTGGTTTTAAACGAAAAAACAAAATAAAAAATATAGGAAATACATTTCTTCAACTGAAATGTTTTAATTACGAAAAAAATCAACACACCAGTCAGAGTAAGCATCACCAGCCAATAGAGTCAGCTTATTTTCAATGCACCCATCAGAACCTTTTAATAACCTGAACAAGAAGGCATTTAGCGATTCAAGAAACAGTTTATATTATTTACCACAGCGACTACTTAAGATACTGTGCAACTGCTAAATTGCGACAATTGTTATAGAAGAGTTGCATAGACAATTTATTTTACGCGGTAGATATGCTTATAGCCCTAATACGGCTAGTTTAGCATAGAGACATAAACCCATGCACGCCCGGGTGAAATACAAGATACAAAATTTTACAATTTGAATTACTAATTACTCAGATTATGATTTGATAACAGTTAACAAAAAGTGTGGAAAGAGTTATAAAAAAGTGAAAAAAATGTTATTACAGATCTCGATAGCTTTAACTATCAAGAATGTGACCATTTTAACAAAAATTAAAGTGCGATGAAGCATCGACAGGTCAACTTTATGACTGAGTCAGCTGATTTTTTCCCCTTTTGAAGGCTAAAGCACGCATGCGCTTCGTTTTGTTCATCTTCTTCTCGGTGTTTGAATATGAGATAAATACTCCTCCTCGTGTTTTATAATAATTTATATCATTCCTCGGTGATTGGATATCAGATGAAACACTCCTCATCGCTCATGCATCGTGTTTGATTATCTGATATATTGTTTTTTAGCAAAACAACTTTTAAAGAAAAAAAAAAACTTTGACACATTGGCATGATCCAAATATATAGCAAGTTCTTGTTTTTGACTACCCGACAGGGCATTAATACAGTCAGTGTTTCAGTACCATAACCGTTCATCTTGTTGATAATTTTAATTAGTCCATGCTCACGTATTGTTGACACTATTTTTCTGATTTCCTCCTTACAAGGCAATAAGGTTACAAAGGTTACAGCTAAGTTAATATTTCCTTTTTCAGGGAACCAACCATGTGATTACTCAGGTTTGACTGAGTTTATATACTGTGTTGATCTTTCAACTCCGTTTACACTTACATTCAATTTTTTATGCATCTCATCCTTTAAAACACTCATTACAATTTGCTCTATTTATATCTTTCATGCAATTTAATAGTTCCGTAGCATTTAGCATAAAGATTTAAATGACAACTAATTTTTGCCCAGGTTTTGCTCAATTGTTAGTATATTTCCGATATCCTGCCATAACCAACAAAAGCAAGCTGATTACATAGTTAATGTGTTTACTTCACGTTTGTACTAAGCTTCCTGACAGTTTTACAATAACTGTGTCGCACAGAAAGTATACTTAGTCCTATTCAGCTCAGGGTATAACATGAAAAAGCTTGCTACACTGCCATACCAGGTGAGAGAAAATCATGTTCAGATTTTTTTAGTGTTTATTGTAAGCTCCTTCTCCTTTTTTCAAGTGGTCGACCGATTGAATTTCGGCGGAATATATTTGGTAGGCTGTGCCATAGTATTTTAATACTATGTCAGTGCAATTCACAACTCATTAAAAAGAACCTGTTGTAGTTCTTTAGCAAAACTTGTTCATTTTAGAGATTTCTCATTTTATGAAATCCAAATTTAATGACATACTTTTTGTCAGAGATGGATCTGTTGAAGTTGGAAACTGAACGTTGGCTCGGCGGGTTGGAAATCCGCTTTAAATGACGTCGTTCGGTGTGTGAGGAAATATTCGCCACTCATTTCACACATTTACACACATACATGCACTAATACACAAGTTTATTCAAAGGCGCTTAAAAAGGTTACAAAGCTTGACTTTGTTCCTAAAACAGGGTGTTCTAGAAGTGAGCCGTACATGAACAAAGCTCCTCAGCGACCAGCTGAAAACTAAAAAAGAGAAATTAAAATTTTCTATATCAGGTCGAGTATTCACAGAAACAGGTCTGATCAATGACCAGCTGTAACTCCTAAAACGTTACCTTTTTCCCAGGTACAAATTGTATCCCAACTGAACTATTTAATTTTAGGATGGTTTGTATAAGGTAGCAACCTCAGCGGATTGCAAAGGCAACTGAAACCTCTTTTTCTGAAATTATACAGCAGGTGTTTCGTTCCTTGGTTCGTCTTGATGCTAATCCGAAAACAATCGTCAAAAGAGAACAGCAAAAAGAGATCTTTCTGAACATCTTTTTTTATGTTGGGGACCCCAAACCATTTCACAGCGCTTGTGAAAGGCACAACATACATACGGTAACTTACCTTCCAGCGCTATCTCCCGTTGGAAAAAAATACTTAATTACCTTTGCTGTATTCTCAAAGAAGATGAATCGAACCTCGTTGGCGTTCTCTCTCTGATGACCGCACTCTTACTGTACTTTTCAAATTATCTTATTTTCTTCTACAGAGGTGAAAAGAAAAAATTAATGGAGGGCAATACCAACAAGGCGTTGACGTTGTTACGCCTGTGCTGGCGATATGACGTCACAACAGCAGCTGGCCGACGTGTGCAGTCGCTAAAGATCATCGGCGTTGCCATGATAGCAATAACCGGTCTACTCATTTTCGTGGTTGAAGATGTCAATTATGCGAGAGAAAACATCAAAAAAACCGAAATTCTGAAGAAAAATCTCGAATCAAGTTTGCAGGTGGCTTTGTTAATTCACCGTCTTCAAATTGAGCGTGGTCTCACTGTGCTTTGTCTGGGGTCAAAGAGTGCCGAAGACAAGGATAGAGTGTTTGAAAAATTGAGAGATGCTCGTCATAACACAGATAAAGTCCTGGGGGAAACAGAGTGGCCATTTGACGAAACAGCTGAAAGGGAATTTCTCCGCGGGCCTCAAAATTTCCGAAGGCATTTAACGGATCACAGGTAGGATGCATGAGGGCTTTCACTTTAAACCCAGAGAACACAGTTACAACGATGAGAGCCAGTGTGTTTTGTATATGAATGTAAACTGTTCAGCGTGACAATCAATTTTCAAAGTTTAGGTGTGTCCATAGTAATCTGATCATAATTATGAATAATTTATACCTGCAGGATTAATATTTGTTTGTCATGAATCTGCCATAAATTATGTAGGACATTTAGAAATAATTTGCCTCTTAATAGCGGAACTCTCGCGCGCGCTTCGAGCGCGCGCAGCGGAGCTCCATGGGTAAGAAAATTTGGTAAACTATCCATCCGAGAAAATTTGGTTATGACGTAGCGTACGCCCACCCGTACACACACGTCATGTAAGCCGATGTCAAATGTCACAATAGATCTTGCACAACTTGACTAGCCTCTTAGTTATGTAAACCATCCGTATGAGTACGATTAGATTGACAGCTGTCAAAATCAGACATCCGCTGACAATTATCACATGGCTATCTCGCGGGCTCAGATGAAAGACCAGTCGTTTTGCCCCTCCATATAAGCTGATATAATATGTCACACTTACCAATTCAACATAAAGACGAAACTACGCCGGGCAAGGCTGTCAGTTGGCTGACAGTCGTTGAAAGTTATATTGGCAAGCCAAATTAAGGTCAATTGACAGCTGTCAAAATGGGACATGTGCAGACCACTATCAGAAAACTAATAACGTGGGCTCAGGTTCGCTCAGGTACACGATCTGGCATTTTCCACTACATGCCGGACGGATATGTCTTACTCACACTCGTAGTCTGTTAATTCGAATTCGCCATTCTAATGACGGTTAATTGACAGCTGTCAAACTAGAGTATACGCTGCCCATCATCACCTGAGTGTATCCCGGGCTCATTTTTCTATCCATTGAGGTCACATAGTGTTTAAAGTTTTGCGCTGATGTTTTATTTGATCACGGGCTCAATTCGAAGCCCCATAGCTTAGAAAATCTATCCATCCTGGAAAATTCAGCAATCACGTGACCGTACACCGACCACCCGACCTTCCGTCCGTCCGCACAACAGGCATACCAATGTTTAATCTCACACTTTCTAGCTAGTTTGGGAGCCTGCAACCTGATATTGTACATCCATGTTTTGATTAATTGACAGCTGTCAAAATAGTGTTTCTAATGACCAGTATCGCCTGACCGTATCGCGGGCTCAGGTATCGACCCACTGAGTACGTGTGTTTTTTGAAGGTATCCGCTGACAAGTTGACACTTTTCAAATGATGGCAGGCTCAAGTTAAATTTTTTAAAATGCATATGAAATAAGTCGTGTTCATGAGCAGCACTTTTAAAATGTTGATTTCGAACTGACCTCGGACGCGAAAATTCAACCGGCTTTTACATTTACATGCAGGGAAGGCAGTCGCTTTTGACTTTTCTCACTGTCACGCGTTGATCACGCTCTACGTCCAATTCTTATGTCTGATTGGTCAAATTTTGACAGGTGAGTTCATGCGGAAAATTTATGCAGTGTCTGGAAACTTGCTTACTGATAGCTGAAGCTGACAGAGTTTTGTCCGGGAGGTTTGTGTCATGTTGTGATGTTTTAAACTGTTTTTTCTACTTGGTGTACAAAATGAAATACAGCTGCTATCAAGGTTGTTCTGTAATTCATGCTGGTTTGTTTGTTGCGCTTTTTGTTGACAAATGTACCGCTTGTCAAAGTCATTGGAAATCCGATTTCGGATGGCATCGTTTTCAAAAATGAGCTTACTTACTTGCCCTTGCTTGAGGCGTAAGAGGGTTGAAAAGTCTCAAGCGATTCTGGAACACTTGATGACCTTCAGAAGCAGCATCTCGACTGGTAAGCCTGAGCAATTATTGTCTTTGTTTTTTTTTTTTCGGGTTTCTTGAAGTCGATCGTATGGTTTATGCGGCTTAAGTTAATACACGAGCAATGATCTAACCTACAATAGTATCAGGTTTAAAAAGCCTTTAGACATTTTTTGACCGCAAGTTCAAAGAAAAGGTTCCGAAGATTATTTAGTTATGATTTTGGCTGTAAACAGAAAGCTCTGAGCGATTTTCTTGCCTCAAATTCGTCTTGAAAAAGAGCAAACACCGGGAGCCGGCTTAAAACATAAATAAGCTTATGCTTACCTGACTCATGATTTTCAGAGACACTTTACTCTCAATACTTCTCTTCGTGAATGAAAATTACTGTCTCTGTACATGTTTCACCGAATTATATTTATTTTATTGATTGTTAGTAGTCCCCCTCGCAATTTTTATTGCTGCACCGGTTGTTTCCAGTGGTGCATAAACATCGCATGCAGGAATACTCAAAACGCCGCGCGTATTAAAATGTCACTCGCTTTTAAAGATTACACATAACAAAACCATACACAGTTTAATGAATAAAGGGAAATAAAACCTAAACATAACAATTTCTCTATCATGTTGAAGCGTAAATGTTAACTCTACTAGTCGCACTGCAAATTTGGTGCCTGTCAAATGTGAGAACCCGTCCGGCTGGTCGAATAGGTGATTTTGGGAATTTTTTTATCGTTTTCATTTAAAGCCCGTAATTATTACCCTGCATATCACATAGGACCAGATTTTTCTAACTGAAAAGTCCCGGCATTATCTGGGAATTCTCTTCATGACAACGTTTTATAATTCAATGCTATAATTTGTTGTGCAAAGGAAGCGCGTGCTTTGATCGTCGTGGATATTGAATAAGTGCAAATTCTCTTACAAAATTGTGAAAAACTGCAGAATTATAGGTTTAAATAGGGCAAAAAAGAACAAACTCTGTCCGAGGTCTGTATGATAAAAGAGGGCCTCTGCGTACTGTTTACCTGAGACGTGATGCGAAAAAGTATGTTAATAAAAGGCTGGTTTACACGCCACCAGATTCGTCGCCAAGATTTACTAGTAAACTAAACTTGTCGAACACAAAAAATCCAGCCTGATTTTTATTTTGGCCTCTCTTTCAGACAGAGGAATGCAACGTGTAAATTGGCTGCCACCAAGGACTATCGTGGCGCGTGTGTTCCTTAAAACTATATTTCGGGGTTGTCCAATTATCCATAGTCTCTCAAACGGATCAATTTTGGAGAGACTGGTGAATGGCACTGCTAATGCAAATACAATACACGAATAGGTCTATTTGTTTTCCAGGCCTAATCTAGTGTGATCGAACATGATTGCTATTTTTGGGTGTACAAGTAAGACTATTTAATAACTCGATGTAAAATTTGTTTCACTCTTGGACTGTCAAATTATTTTTCTCTAAAAGCACTTAACCTTTGCCTCAAAAGTCAAATGAATGTGCCCTGATCTGTGGATTACAAGTTTATTGTTTAATTTAAATTATGAATTTATTAACGGGAGCTTCGCTTTTAGCCCTGGCTAAATCTATATATTAAGCGATAATGTTTATAGCGAATAATAATATTAAGAATAGTTCTTATCTTGGTTTTAGATATGGAGTTGGACAATGTGTACACGGTACTCAACATGAGCAGATTGTTTTCTACACCCTTCCGATCGATTTGATGTTGGACTGGTTCTACCAGAATGTTCGCAATAATTCCGAAAATAATATATCTCTGGATATGGTTGGGTACCACATGTTCCTTGCTGGAAAAGACAAAATTGGAATTGAGCGCGCCTTAGGCGGAGCATTCTTCGCCAAGGGATATTTTAGAAACTTGAGCGATCTAGTTAGGTTCGCAAATCACAGCATTCTTGGAAGGGAGTTTTTAGAAGCAAGTGAAACTCTTATGCCCGAGATTAAGACAAAAATGAGCCATCATGTGAACGAAACAGTGCTGCGCGTAATCGAAAAAAAACGAGAAGTCATCCTTGCTAACCAGCCAGAGAACGCCTCGGTATCAAAAGGTGAACAGTGGTTTCAGCTCATGACCTTATACCTTAACGACACTTTTAAAGTACAACAAAATGCCGGAGACTCTTTAACAGAGCGCCTGAAGGTCGAACGCATAAGGAACACAACTTATCTGATCCAAAGATTGGCATATCTCGCAGTTGCTATACTTTTAGTACCTCTTCTGGTGTTTTCAGTTCACAGAATGACAGGAACTATTCAAAACTACACCTTTCAGCTTGCCCAGACAATGTTGGAGTTGAAAGAGGAGAAGCAACGAGCAGACACTCTCCTTTACCAAATGTTTCCTCTTCCAGTGGCTGAAAAACTCAAGAACAAACAGCAAATTCCAGCCGAGTTCTTTAACAGCGTGACAATATTTTTCAGCGACATCGTCAACTTTACAGAAATGTGCTCAAGTATGGCGCCTCTGCAGGTCTGATACACAGTTTTACTATCCTCCTGTTGTGTTGCAAACTTCTTTACCCGTTCAGTTGAAAGTTTATTTGAGAGAGGGACTAACGCAGATTGAAATATCTTAGTTGTTGTTACTATTCTAAGACACTGAGTCGCCAGAAAAAAGTACCCTTTCGAATGCTAAAACTACCAAATAATTGGCAAATGTTTGAGGGCATTGTATGTGGAAGTCTCATTTAGAATATAGCGCTAAGCTCAGGCAGAACATTATTCACTCGACAGTGAACCTTGATGTTGGTTTGTTTCAACAAAACATGGAATTTTCTAAGCACAATCACATAGTCACAACCACGGTTATGGTCACAGAAAAATCATGCGCAATCGTAAACATGGTCACAGTGAAAATCAGTCACAATCACAATCAAAATCGCAATCGCAATCGCATTCATAACAAAAAACACAATCACAAACACCGTCAAGCTCACGGTCATGGTCATGGTCACGGTCAGGGTCACAGTCACAGTCACAGTCACAGTCACAGTCACAGTCACAGTCACAATCAAAATCGCAATCGCAATCACAATCATAACCACAGGCACAACCACAAACACCGTCACGGTCATGGTCGGTCACGGTCACGGTCACGGTCACGGTCACAATAGTAATCTTATACTGATATTCTCACACTGATACTTCTTCTCAATCCCACACCCATGCCACTACACCTGCGCTATCTTTGTCTTTTAAGGTTACAGCCATGCTGGATGAAGTCTATGGTTTATTTGACGACCGCATAACCTTTTACGACGTATACAAAGTGGAGACAATTGGTGACGCCTACATGGCGGTATCGGGACTTCCTCAAAGGAACGGAATGCGTCACGTGGATCAGATTGCCCGGATGGCACTGGACTTGGTAAAAACAGTGGATGAACTTAATTCACCGCAGCTCCCCACTAAACAACTGTCGGTCCGAATTGGCATACACACGGGTAGGTCTAGGCTAACAGTGCAGGGAACTCGGGGGTAGAGGGGCAACTACCCAACCCCCTCACCCATACACTTTTCTTATAAAAGGATAGAGGATTGGCTAGTCAAATGACCTAAATTATATATTTTTCATGGTCTTCTCATCCATTCGTGACCGTTTAAATTGTTGTAGGAGACAATTGGAAAGTAAGAGTAAAAAACTATACTATATCATGTCTGTTACTAAAAGAAAATCCTGTAAAAGTATTAGTTATTCGTCACACTCACGCGCTGTGAGGTTAATAATAATTTGAGTTTTTTATCGCATTTCCCAAAGTGCTAATTTGCTAGTTCCAGCCATCGCTAAGTGCCGACGATAACAAGCAAAGTTTTTACCTAAACGCGCGCTGTTCAATTTGTTTAGAAACGTAATGAATTACCGTAATTTACGAGACTGCAGGCTGCAGGTTAGTCATCTCATGTCATATCATGTCGGCGTTTACCGTCATGGAATGCACTCATGAATTATACTCATGCACGCGTTCGCTCGAAAACAATGTATTCTCTGTTCCGCATTACGTCATGAAAGTTACCTTACACTACCTTATGTTACATATCGCCTCGAGATTCATTCTGCCTTGGAACTTTCGCGCGCGGTCTTATCATGCTACCGCCTAAGACGAGAGACTGCTGTACGAGGGGACACGTGACCAGCCGATGCCAGGGCCTGTTCCCGCCTTTTTTCTCCCATTAGCCCAGCGGACGAGCTAGGGTAACGTGGATAAACATCATTGTTCCACGGAATCAGATGTATGTCAGACAACCTGTTGTTATGTATCGTTTTATTAGGGCCATGCGTTGCTGGTGTGGTTGGAAACAAAATGCCTCGATACTGCCTGTTTGGAGACACAGTGAATACTGCATCAAGAATGCAAACTTCTGGCGAACGTAAGGAGCTTATTGACTAATTAAAATTGTTGTTATTTACCCTAGCTTACAGAGCGGACACTCAAACCGGGAAACTAGGAATACCATAACGTTTTCTGAAAACAAAGATTTTCAAGCTTTTTTGCAAACGGACCAATAAAATTCGAGGTTGAACTATATGCAACACTTGAAAACTAACAGTTTGAACTTACCTCACCTTTCAGGAGAAAACCCTCAAAATTTATGAATGTTTTTGATCCGTTTGCAAAAAAACTTTAGAATCTTCTGTTTTCAGTAAACGTAAAGGTACGTCGTGGAAACGGACGCAACAACTCGCCACAATGTTAGAGTTGTTGGCCAACAATGTTGAGTCCGTTTGCACGGGGCTGAGAGTTTAACCGGTTTCAAACTTTGCGCAGCAACATCCAAACATGCAACAGGGTGTGCAGACGGACGCAACATGTAACATCCAACAATGTTGCGTCCGTTTGCACGGGGCTAAGAGTTTAACCGGTTTCAAACTTTGCGCAGCAACATCCAAACATGCAACAGGGTGTGCAGACGGACGCAACATGTAACATCCAACAATGTTGGGAGTTGTTGGCCAACAATGTTGCGTCCGTTTGCACGGGGCTAACAGTTTAACCGGTTTCAAACTTTGCGCAGCAACATCCAAACGTGCAACAGGGTTTGAGTGTCCGCACTGTAATAATTGTTGAATTTTAAAATCTATCTATTAATAGGTTTATTTGTTGGAAAACAATTTTCTAATTCTATTTAATATTGCATTCTGTTTACATTTGCAACATGTCTTAAAATGTTTCAGTGTAATTTATAATTGAAGATGGCGGAATTTCTTTGTAAGTTAATATGTCAGTCATTAACTATTCCAGCTTTTAGTAGTCGAATAATCAGTATATCACTTACACCAAATGCATTTTGTCTCATATGTATGTGTATGTGTTTTTTAGCTCAGAAAATTCACATTTCGGAAAATGCTAAGGAAGCTTTAGAGCAAATTGGGAGTTATCACATCGTTTTCAGGGGTAGCATGGAAGTAAAGGTAAATTGACATTATACTTTTTTAGAGACCTTTATTAATTTCGAGGACGAGAAGGACTACAATAACGAGATTTGACTTTAAGTTTTTTAGCATCTTCTAAAATAATATACATCCTGAAAAGCGTCAAAGTACTTTTTTCATCAGAAAAGTTAGTACTTTTGTTTATTGAGGGAAGTTAAGCCCTCTCACGGTCGCAAAGCTAATAAAAAACCCCTAGCTAACATTTGATAAGTTGTTTCCGCCACCACGACATTCTTGCAAAAACTCGTAGTAGGATGCAAGGCCGTAGCTAGGTTTTCTCTAACCTGGGGTATGATCGCGAGTGCCGAAGGCAAGAGCCTTGTAGGGGGGTGTGGGGTTATCCTCCCCCGAAAATTTTTAAATTTGGAGGCTCCGAAACGTTATTTTCATCACTTGTCATGAGATATGTCTCTGAAAAATCGACCTCGAATAAGAAAGTGGTAAACAATTGCAATAGTCTGGTCTGTTAAGGTCATGATCGTTACAGAGTTGACAAAAGCACCAAACTTTGCACAGCGATAGCTTATTGCAGTACCATAAATACTAGAGGGGGTGCCCAATGCAAATATGCCACTGAAGCGTGCTAAACAGGATTTAATTATTGTAAATTTCACCTCCTGGGGCCCTGTGGTGTTTTGATTGAAACTTGTTATTTAATACCTTAAACCACTCAGAATGCTCTTCTCATGTTGTAAACAACAATTTCACTTGAACATCTGGCATTCCCATCCATTATTAGCTTATTGATTGTATAATTAAGTTGATTATTACTGTGCCCTTAAAGCAAGTCCACAGTCCGCCCACATTTTCATAAGTCATTTCTAAGAAGGACTCATCTTTGCTTCATAACTTGCAAGTACTCAGCTTAAGGGGTTCTCTTCTCCTTTTCTAATGTATTTCGTTTAGAGGAGGCCTTATTGTGTGGCTCAAGCCTTATATTTATCAAGTATTACTTGTCATTACATGTCACTTTAAGCTAAAGAAATAAGCGTTTGGCATAGCGATTCACACACAAAATTTCAGAAAAAAGAAATTGTCAGAGTCTGTTGTATCACATATTATCAGGGATTTATAGTCATTTATGACATCTGTTCATGAAGAGCAAATAACGAAATGACAGTACCCAAAATAGTTCTTTCCTAAGGAGGTAATTAATTTTTCAGCTTAACATAGGCCTGGATGCCTTTCAGTCTCTCTTTATCTGCTGGACGCACGTGCATGCTTTGACAGAGAAGCAAGCATCGTGGCACAAGTCATATCATTTGTAAAGTCCTGCAGTTTGTCAAAGCTTTACAACGCAAAAACAAACAAAAAAGAATCTGGTCTCATAAACGAAAAAAAGAAACAAGTTAGCCCAAGCTTCAAAAAACAGCACAGTTTATCATGAAGCCTCTACACAGGGGCACCCAACGAGAATGTAGTTCAAAACCACTTAAACATAGCATCGTTAAACGTATTTTAGAATTTAAACGGTAGATATAGGCATATTTTTATTCCCTAAAAATTTTTCATCTGTTCGGATTTCCTAGCTGAAAGTCTAGTGATCTGAAAATTATAGGGATCAAAACTTACCTTCTCGAAAATTTCAGCCAGAAAAAAGGCTCCCGAAAATTCTAGGTGACCTTTTTAGGGTAAAAATCCGTTAAAAATGGGCAATCATACCATTTTTTAGATGCTCGAAAATCCTAGGAGAGGCAGGCAAGCAAGAAATTTTACAACAAAATAATGTTCCGAAGATTCCAGGTCTGAAATCGTCTTCCGAACAGCTTATCAAGTCGAAAAAGTGAGACTCAAGTGGTACAAGATTGATTCAAAGATGAATGGTTTAACTGCTGAAACTGTAGAAAGGGGCCGCGCTAACTTTTAGGCCTGTTTACATGGAGGAGGGGGACCCGAGGTAGGCATGGTAACCCACTTAGGAGGGGTAACCCAACTGTCCATATAATCTCTCATTTTAATTTGATCACGTTTACATGATAGGTGGGGTGATTCTTCAAGGTGGGTAGCCCAGTCTGCCACACGGGGTAACCTTCTCAGCTGAGGTCAAACTTTGCCATGTCAACGTTTCAAGGTGAGGTAACCCACGCTAATCGGGGTCGGATTCGTGATCCGTCAAATTCGCGCAAAATTCACTTTGGCGCCTGGTGGCTTCACATAATTATTAAAGGTAACAATTAATAGAAAGCTACAACACTGAATGTTGCAGCAAGATCAGCAAGTGAGCATAGACGTGGTTTGCCAGCATTTTTCTTGTTTACGTGCTTAGCGACCATTCAATAATCTTGAGAAAGTGCACCCCAGGATGGCGGGGTCGTAAGATTGCATGTAAAGGAGGGTAATTTTTTTACCCTACCTAAGCAGGTTACCTCTGCACCTACTTCAGGTCCCCCATCTTTATTTTAACAGGCCCTAAGTCTCAGGAACAGTGAAACTGGTAATAAACGGTATACCTAACCCGGGACTAGCTCTGATACTACTTCCATCTTCAAAAACGTCAGCATAGCAGCCAAAGGAGCCATGATATCGGTGTAACACGAATATTAGATCGCAGTTGTTTCGTGCGTCTCGTTTTGTGACTTTTTTTTGTTCGTTTTTGTCACCATCTCTAAATTTCAATCATGTTCAAAACACCCCTACTAACAAAATATTTCGTAAGCTCTTTATAATGATATTCAGCAATAAAAAGAAGGTGTGACCAGGAGCCGATTTTTATGCTCCTGGTGTGGCAACATAGGCATAAGTGAATGCAAAGTTTTGCAGTAGGTAATCTGTCAGAAATCTGTTTGAGTGGTCAAAGTTAGGGCTGATGGCTTCTTTGCCATGACCACTCCATTATTATAAGGGATCAGGCGATAATTATTGTCGACCCTTGCTTTTTGGGTATTTTCTGTAATTTTCCTTAGCATTATTTTGTGAAAAGTTGGGAACTGAATTGCTCTTGAGGAATTTATGATCGTAAGATTTTGTAAACCACGGGGTATTCGCCTAATTGCATCAAACAAATTACATTCATTTTCATAAATGATGCGTCATTGGTTGGCTAAAAAAGGCATTGGTCCTGTAACATTCAGCTCTTCTGAAGTTAGTTTGTTTGTAAATTGCAACGCACGTAACGACCTTCACTTTTTTTTTTGAAAGATCGTATAGACCCCCCCCCCCTGGTATAGACCTACCATTAACACTGGTGCAAGGGCTCTGAAGTGAATGAGCTCCGTACAGGTGTCTAGGCATGCAGGGACCTCATACACTTCTTTTTAAATGCAAATGTGTAAAAAATAAAGAGTGTTAAAAATTCCTGGAGAGGCATGTTTTACAACCTCGTCCCCAGGGCTTAATAAAAAGGTAGAAAAAGGTAAAGCGACCATATTTTACGTCAATAACTCGTGACAGTAATAATAACTGATGAACTTGAGGTCGATGGTGCGCTCCTTTTACCCCGTTCTCTCCATTAATGCTCTGTTTTAAGGGTATTTAAAGCTAGTCAAAGCTACATAGAAAGGAGAGACGTTGAAATAAGGATGTGTTGACACCGGGGATCGAACTCGGGACCTCGCGCACCGAAGGCTGTGTACTAACCAACTGTGGCGCCCTTGCTCCTCCTTTTCCCCCTGAGGACGAGGTTTACTTGTTTTAATCATTATCTCAAGGACAGGGCTACCAACGAAGTAAATTATAATCTAATATCAGCCTCACAATCACAAAGTGGGCCCGTTGTCAGTTGCTGTTCATGAGGTCGTTCATGTGCCGTGTCAAAATTTAACGATTCTATCATTTAGAATGTGATACATTTGGGCTTTATGTTATTATATGACACCTTTGAAACCTGGCTTTGTGATCTGTTTAAATTGATATGTAATGATATTATCACTGGCAAGTCTTAGCAGTGACACAGATAACCGCACAGCGAACTTGACCACACTTACCGTGTGGAGACTGGGCACTAGCCAGTGTTATGTACATGTAAAACTATTTTTAATTGTGCAACAACAACTAAACATTACCAAATTAAAAACTTAAAAATTTGAAGCAAATATTTTTTTAAGCCAAATCAAACAAGAAGAGTACTCACCACAGGGAACCCAATATGCTATTGTAGGTGAAAGTTAACCCCCCCTTTTATCTGTAATTAGGACCATTTGTAACGGGCACCCCCTCCAGTATTAATTGGAAGGTGCTGGGGAAGCTCTGTGCCAAATTTGACACTTTTGTCACGTCTGTAACGATCCGGCCTATATTTTGCACTAAGAGACCTGACTACAATCACTATAACCAAAATGACTGAGTCTACAGAAAAAAAAAATCCATCTACAGACTCAATTTGTTTGACGCAACAGGTCGAGGGGGGGGCAGATGCCCCCTTGCCCCCCTCCGTTAGCTATAGCTCTGGAATGACGATGGCTATTACTTTTTCCCACCAAAATGACGCTGGTCACGCACAAGCACTGTTTAGTATTGAGAAAATCTCGTACTCGTAGTCGTCATCGTGGTCAAAGGTCTCTATTTTCTCCTATGCCGATCAAAAACATCCCCCCCCTCCTCTCTCGCCTTTTTGCAGACCACTCACCTTGACATGCATAGTTTGTGCTTCTTTCTGAAGCAGGGTCTTTTTGAGAGATCATTTGAAAAGACGGTTATTGTGGAGAAAATTGCGCACAGACGAACAAGTGAATCCACACTCCCATGTACTGGTACAAGGTGGGGGGGGTGTTAGTTTGAGCCTCCTTTTGAGTTTATAATATATTAAAATAATTACAAAACTTACAAGTACGATTGAAATTTACCCTGACGAGCTCTTCGTAAATTGTAAATTGTAAATATCTTATTAGCTACTGCCCTCAGGGTTTTTCAGGGATAATTTACAACACTAGTTGGGGGCCTTGGCCGGACTGCTTAAGTTGCAGTTTACAAGTAATGAAGGAACGAGAAATGATGCTGTCATACATGAGTGTGAAAGTGAGATAGACCACTACACTGGGCACTACGTGCCCTACTCTTTACGAAGAGTGTGTGGGTACTTTAACGTCCCGGATGACGCAAATATTGTGGGATGTGCAGCCTCGTCCCAGGACGCTCTCCTATCTCCTCCACAACGGCCTAGGTTGTGGGATATGACGCTGCCTAGGATGTCATTTCAAATGGCTGCCATCTTGACCACCATCTCATTGGCCACTGTTTTGATTTAACTTAAAATTAAGTTTTAAAAACCCAGCTTTTTCCTTGCTTGAACGTTTTTGAGGGATAAATAAACAGCGTTTGATTAGACGAGGTTGCGGCTTAAAGCCATTAGGAACGAAACTGAAATAATCCCCGCACGGCTGGATGCCACCCATCACCACAGCTCCTCATGCTTATGAATGTCCCCACTAAAAAAATCTTCATATGATTTGTTTTAATACTCAGGGTAAAGGTCCAATGTCCACATACTGGCTGAAAGGATTCTTGGAAAATGCTCCGAGTTTTACTCTGCATGCACCGGGAGAAATGCCAATGATGGCTTATGTGCAGCTGTGAAACTTTTCAGCTAAAATTTAACAATTTACAGCCTTAAATATGACACGTATCACCTGAAATGTAATAGTGTACAGCCTAAAATTGATTTTTTTATAGACATTATTGAACTGAAAATGTACAGATTGCTTCGGGTCTAAGATGTAAGATCCTACTGTAATTAAAGTAAGTCATCACAAAATATCATGATCCCAACAGCAATGGAGAAAGCTTTCCAATTGCACTTACCATAATTTACCGTAACAGCAGTTTGGTAGATTCGATTCTTATTATATTTATTTATTTATTTAATGTTTTTTAGAGAATAGACACACTCATCTCGATACAAATAAATTTAAGATTAAAGGGTCGCATTCAACTTACGCTTAGTCTTGCTAGTTATGCCGAACAAAGAGGATAATCTAGTAATATAAAAGACAAGGAAAGTTAATAAAGTACCGTTAAAAAAAGAAAAATACATGAAGAAGATAATGTGTCAGGAAGCGTTTGCTACATTTTGTAGAAAACCTACTTGTCTTCTAATATATGGGAAGCTATAACCAATAAAAGAAGAATTCGTTGAAACGGTTAAAAGTGTTTTAAGTATCTTGTGCCAGATCTGTTGTTAAATACTTCTTCCGTTCCTATGGTAACAGAGATTGTTTATCAATTATTTAGTTTCTTTTGACCTGATAAATGCATTCCAGAAAGGAAGGTTGTTTTCACCGCAGCTATGCAAAGTTAATTGGAACAAAAAAAGGTTCAAATCCCACAGGATTGGTTTGGGTCACCAACATGGCCTCCGTTTCATTTTTGTGGGACACCAATATGGCGAACCTGAAGTCATCTGAATGTCATGTGATACTTTCCACGAGCTATTTCTTACCTCTTGTACAGTTCCGCAAGGCAGCAACTAGACGCTTGAACAGTTTATCTTAGTGCACAACACTTTGTTATCAGTCAAGTTGTTTCTGTTTTGTGTTTTTTAAGCATAATACATCAACCAATCACACCAAACTACAATTCCTTGGGGATGTGTTTTGTCAAACACTTGCAGCATGCGTTTTACCAAGCGTTACAATTCCCACATTTTCTGGCACACAAATTTTTTAGGCGGGTAGAATCTTAATTGCATCATACAAGTCGTTTGTGTCGCATTTGTCCGCCAGAATTTTTTTGTTAACTTTAAAATAATAACAGATTTCAAAGAGCAAATGCAACAGCTATACGCATTAGTTTTGCAAACAAATCTCCCCTTAAACTTGCTGAAACATTGTTATTCGTGTTTTAACAATTTATACTTCGTTATATTTTGCCATAAGTTCTTAACATTACAAACTCATTCATAGTTAAAAGCTTCCACTGTTTAGTCTCGTCTCCTTTGCAGCAAGACTCTTTTTAAAAATCTTAAAACCTTTTAAAATCATCAAATTTCGGAATGATATCTTCAAATTGCTTTTTAAGAGTTCTTTATGTCGCTACCACTAGTTAAAATTGCAACTTGAGAAACAATTATAACATGGCGCTTTTAATGCGTCGCGTAATTGCTACATATTAAATTCAAGCTTCGTAGATCATTGCTTTTAACGTTTGTAAAAGAATATGAGACCTTTAAGGCAACTCGAAAGTGGCGATAAGGATCTGTACATATTTGTAGTTGCTTTCTATTTCGAGTGCTAAATAATCGTATTGTTTTTAACTATTTCAAACTACGTTTTTTAATTAATCTCGACCAGCTGTTTAGAATAAGAGGCATTAGCGAACAGCCTCCACATTTTCGCGATGAATGACGTCTTTGAGGGATGAAAAACAATAGATTTTTGTTTTGTTTGTGTCTGTGAGGGATTTGAATCGAGTCGAGTACTTTTCAGTGAAAGGTGCCCTTCCATTTATCAAATTTCTAAAAGATGAAAGTGAAAATTATGTTTTTACGGCAGTTTTCGTCTAAAGGCATAGAACACTCCGCGTAGAGGTGGGTGCTTTACATAGCCTAAACGGTTTTACATGGGCAAACTAGTGGGCTCACAGTTTGGCCAAATGGAAACCAACATTCAGGACTTGTAAATTTCGTCCCGGCATCGCGTTTACCATCTGTACAAATCAGTTTGTTTACCAAATCAAAGGATTAACTTGTGGATTAATTATTTTAGCTGATAATGAATTTGCAATTACTCTACTCTACTCTGCGTCTCAAAGTTGGCCATAGTGCTAATTTGAAACATTTAAAGTCCACATGAAGACAAATGAACTTATCGTCCTGTGAAAGGTACAAAATCGTAACATCGAAAGCTCTGGGCACAATGCATACTCAGCACTCCTTAATCGCAGGGACGTTGGGGAACGATCGATCTACGGCAATTGTCGTTTTAATATCGGGCGCTCTCGTGCAAGCCGACTAATTACGAAAGTGTCTATACCCGGAGTGAGATATACACATATCGCAGTGCCCACAATAACTCGTTCCTACGCGACGCGTAATCCTGAGTCTGGTATCAAAGATGGCTTCGAAGAAGTGGAACACGCATTTCCGTTTCGAATATTCCTTCCGGAAAAATAGGGCTACCTTTTCAGATTTTCAGATGTTCCGATGCTCCAGGAGATTTTCCGCCGCAACGACCCAAAAAGTCGTGTTCCATTTACATTCCAACCAGACTTTCAAAATGCTTTTTGTAAATGATAAACAACCACGATGCTATTTGTGAGAAAATCAGGTTAAGGTTATATGTAAACAGCCTTAAATGAGGCACAAAAGTTAAAACTTTCACACAAATTGCACGTTGCTAAAGGAACACGCCCCGGGGAACACGCGCAATTTTCTTAAGATATTTATTAAATACATCTAAAAGACTACGGTAGATTTAAATAGTGACGACCTGCTGATAAAAGATTTCAAATTGAGAGAAGTATTTATCATTTTTCTGAGTGACCCAGTTGCTTTCTGAACCGGAGCCAATCAGTTGAGGGTAATTTCTATAGTTTAGTAAGGAAAAATAAGGTAAAGCCCTTTTTGTGCTTTTTCCCCAAAGTAATTTTTGTTCACCGCATGCATGGTTCATAAGAAAAGATAATCAGCAATCAGCACGTTATCAATAGCAAGTGTTAAGAAAGGTTTTAAAGGAAATAAATGAAAAAACATGCCTTTGTGAGACACCGCTTCGTTTTAATTCGTAGAAAACCAAAAATCGTTTGTTATTAACTTGCAGAAAAATACCCATGTACAAAGGTGAGTGGCTGTGTATTTCCTTTCAATTCCTAAAACCTTTTTTTTTCTCATCTTGCTTATTTTCCAAGGTGGTTAACATTGTTATTTATCCAAAAAACGCTAAACCTTCAGATGCTTGGCGCTTGCATGTGTTAGCTTATGTTCAAAATTTAGTTTTTACAAAAACTAGTCACTGCCTTGATCCTGACTCAGAAAATTCGTGTTGCTTGTTCTTTTAATTAATAATTAAGGGTAAAGATAAAGTATTAAAAAATATTTCGTCGTCGGAGAATATGGTAGGAAATTACCTTGATTTTCAATGTTGTTTTCATAGAGCCGCCAAAAAATTAACTAGAATTTGGATCAGCATCTCTAACTTCTATCTGATTCTTAGATATAATTTAGTAATTAAAACAGCGGAATATGAGTATCGTTTGTTACTTTCGAAACCTCTATTTTATCACGGTTGCCCCAACACAGCGGAACGGCGATACGCTGGAAAGTTTTTCTCCGAGAGAAAATTGCCAAGAATAATATCTTATGATGTCATATCTCGCAATCAAAGCAACCTTCTGTCACTAAATTTTTCCAGAAAGTGTCTGCGGAATAAATGAACAGTAAATGAATGGAAGAGAGACGGTTTTGAAAACTTTATTTTTTTTTTAACAAACCCGACGAGAAAGCCTTATGAAGGTGTAATTAATCACCCCGCCATCTTGTACTTACGCAGAGAGGTATTTTTGATTTATAAAGTACATCTGCAGATACAGTGGTGTGTCTGACGCCTGATTGGCTTGTTCCCATGGCAATCATGACGTCACATATAGCCATAATAGCATCCAAATATCACCAATCTGTTTCCAAAATGTGACCGAGGAAAAAAAGGGTCAACTTGATATCGAAAAGTAGAGCTATCTGATTGAGATCGTTTTTAAAAATCGACGAACGTGGACCTTGCATGCACAGCGATTATAAGAAATAAGTAGAACTGGCACGTTGATTTGTCTCGAACAATATCAGGAGATCATAGTTGCTGATGGCTTCCTCTATATTATGTAGAAAAAAAGGAAATAAAAAACAAACTAAAAATAACGCCCACTTTTGATCCCGCTTTTATGCATTCACACTACTGGTTTTGTTACTTGTTTGGTAGTATTTACGTCCAAAATGGCTTAGTCTTGAATGCATGACGTCATATCCTGTCCCCATACAACCAACTGCCTCCACATGTTTTCTAAATGTGTCTGAGCGAAAATATAATCGAAGCGCAATAAATTTAGAAAAAAAGGTAGAACGTGCACCGTTTATAATTATTTGTCAGAAACAAGGTAAGTGGATCCGTTCATTGAACCCAATTCCATTAACGCAGGGATTAACGCATTTAAACTACTAGTTTTGTTAGCTGTTTGGTTGCATATAATGTGTATTTTTTAATGGAGGGAAATTTTCTGCAGCTTTATCAGTTGGCATATTTCCAACAAAATGAGCGCACCGTCGACCTCAGGTCTGTTCGGCAGAGGACTATTTCGAGCTACTGACGTAAAATTTGGAGTCTTTTTCTTCACCTTTATCTTTACCTTTACTTAAAAGCATTTTGGAAACCAAATTTCTGTAGATCAGTAATTGAAGGCCTAAAAAGTGGGATGAACAGCCACTGTCGCAGATCCATAAACGACCTATATAGTCGAAAAAAAGGACGAATATTAAATAAATGACCACAGCTGGTGGACTTAATTTGAAAAACAAAAGTTCTGGAGTGCTGTACTTAACTAGACACATCAGTATCGTTTGGGATTAAATGCATTTAATAGATTAGTCAGTTGAAAGCTCGTTATCTTGTAGCAGGTAGCCACTAATCGAATTCTTCTTTTATCAGTATCGTCTAGGATTAGACGCATTTAATAGATTAGTCAGTTGAAAGCTCGTTATCTTGAAGCAGGTAGCCACTAATCGAATTCTTCTTTTTGTATTTACATTCCCAACCAATTTACTTTTTTACCACATAAGTGAAACGAAAACTATGGGGGACGATACAAGCAGGACTTTTACGTTATTACGGTTGTGCTGGCGATATGACGTCACAACATCCGCTGGCCGACGTGTGCAATCGTTGAAGATCATCGGCGTTGCCATGATAGCAATAACCGGCCTCCTCATTTTCGTGGTCGACGATGTCAATGAGGCAAGGGAAAACATAGAAAAAACCGAAATTCTGGAGAAAAACCTCAAATCAAGCTTGCAGGTGGCTTCTTTAATTCACCTTCTTCAAATCGAGCGTGGGCTGACAGTGCTTTGTTTGGGATCGAAAAGTGCAGAGGACAAGGATAGAGTGTTCAAAACATTGAGCAACGCTCGCAGTAAAACAGATGAGGCTCTGGATAAAACAGATTGGCCATTTAATGACACAGCTGATAGAGAATTTTTGCGAGGGGGTGAAAAGTTCCAAAGGCATCTAAATGAACACAGGTAAGCTACATCTTATTCATTCAATGATTCATTCCTTTCACGGGTTAAGATGAACTCAACAAGTAGGGCTGCTCCCAATGTATGGGTGTACATAGCTAAGTTGGCAGAGCACTGCAGCACTAACGCGGAGGCCTTGAGCCCGAATCCCTTTATAGACTGAAGAGCCGAAATTTTTTCGGGTTAATTTGCAATTGCTTAAATTGTAATTACCACTGCGACGATCATATACTCGGGTATACCGTTGGCACCTGTTTCTAAACTTATTAGCTATTGTTAACTTTTAAATATTCAAAAATTAAGAGGCACCTTAATTCATAGTAGGTGAGTGGGGAAGGGGGGGGGGGGGGGGAAGGGGGATCCAATCTTCCCGCCTCCGCTTTCCATTTTTTGCATTCCCGGCTCCCGCCCCTTTTCATGGCTTCCTCGTTATAGCTCTCTTTCGATTGTAAATATCAATCGTTATTGCGTAATTTTCCGTCTATTTCTAACTCTTGCTGCCCTTTCAAAACTTTCCCCTCCCCCTATTCCCCAGGGCTTCAGCCCCCGATTCTCCCGCGCTCCCACCTCATGTCCTCCCTCAGGAGTAGTGGGAAAGTACGTTATCCCTACTCCCCTATTTTCTTGATAAAAGCTGCCTTTGTGGCAAAATATTCGGTGCGAATGAGAGAATAAGTTAACGAAAAAGACCTTAATTTGTAGTCCATTTTCGTTTATAATCGGAACTAGGCGAGTTTCAATCCAGTCTCGTCAGTATATTGGATTATTAATTATGTTTCATTTTCACCATAGGAATCAAGTTGGAAAATGTGAACACGGAACTCAGTATGGACAAATCGAGTTTTACACTCTTCCAATCAACTTGATGCTGGACTGGTTTTACCTCAACGTTCGAGAAAATTCCGGAAATAGTATATTTCTGGATATGGTTGGCTACCACATGTTACTTGCTGGCAAAGAAAAAATTGGAATTGAGCGGGCCTTGGGTGGGGCTTTCTTTGCCAAGGGACATTTCAGCAATTCAAGCGATCTCGTATGGTTCGCAAATCACAGCATTCTTGGACGGGAGTTTTTAGAAGCAAGTGAAACTTTTATGCCCGAGATTAAGACAAAATGGGCCATCAGGTGAACAAAACAGTGTTGCGCTTGGTCGAAAAGGAACGAAAAGTTATCCTTTCTAACCAACCAGACAAAAACTCGGTATCGAAAGGCGAACAATGGTTTGATCTCATGACCTTATATCTTAACGATATTTTTAAAGTACAAAAAAATGCGGGGGATTCTTTAACTAAGCGCCTGGAGATCGTAGAAAAAAACAACACAGCACATCTAACCCAAAGACTGGCATATCTGGTGTTTGCTATTCTTTTAGTGCCTCTTATTGTCTTCTCAGTTTACCGAATGACAGGAACTATTCAAAACTACACCTTTCAGCTTGCCCAGACGATGTTGGAGTTGAAAGAGGAGAAGCAAAGAGCGGACACTCTTCTTTACCAATTGTTTCCGTTTCCAGTGGCTGAAAAACTCAAGAACAAACAGCAAATTCCAGCCGAGTTCTTTAACAGCGTGACAATATTTTTCAGCGACATTGTAAACTTTACAGAGATGTGTTCTGGTATGGCACCTCTGCAGGTCTGAAGTATTTTTACTATTTTTGTTAAGCTGCAAACTTTTATTATCAGTTCAGTTAACAGTTTATTTGAGGGAGAGAAACAGAGAAGCAGAAATACCTTAGTCTTTTTTACTATCAGTAAAACATGGTAATTACAAGTACCCTTTCGAATCCTAAAACTGGCGAGAAATTGGCAAATCTTTTGAAGGAATTCGTGGAATAATCCCGTTCATAAATAATGTTAAGCTCAGGCAGAACATTATTTAGATAGTACCTGGATACACAGACAATTTTTTTATCATAATAGTAATCACGATCACGATCACGATCCGGAAATCACAATCACAATTACAGTCACGGTCACGGTCACGGTCACGGTCACAAACACAGTCGCAGTCAAAGTCACAATCCCAATCACAATCATAATCACGGTCACGGTCACAGACACAATCACGATCACAATTATAATCACAGTTGCAATCACAGAAACAGTCACAGTCACAGTTACGGTCACGGTCATGGTCACGGTCACAAACACAGTCGCAGTCAAAGTCACAATCCCAATCACAATCATAATCACCGTCACGGTCACAGACACAATCACGATCACAATTATAATCACAGTTGCAATCACAGAAACAGTCACAGTTACGGTCACGGTCACGGTCACAGTCACAATCACGATCACAATTATAATCACGGTCACGGTCACGGTCACAGACACAATAACGATCACAATTATAGAGCGGTTTTCACTTGACTGTCGAAAGGGATTGGTTTTGGTTTTGGTTTTACTACGCCCTTTGGTTAGCTAGTGTATTTACTTTGGTTTTGGTTTTACGACAGTCAAGTGAAAACCGCTCTAATCACAGTTACAATCACAGAAACAGTCACAGTCACAGTCATGGTCACCGTCATGATCACAGTCACAATCACGATCACAATTACAATAACAATAACAATCATAAACATAATCATAATTCTCACACTGATACCAAATTCATCTCAATCTTGCCACAACAACTGGACCACACTACGCTGTATTTTACTTTTTCAAGGTTACAACCATGCTGGATGAGGTGTACGGATTATTTGACGACCGCATAAACTTTTACGACGTGTACAAAGTAGAGACAATTGGGGACGCCTACATGGTGGTGTCAGGGCTTCCACAACGGAACGGAATGCGTCACGTTGACCAGATTGCCCGGATGGCGTTGGACTTCGTAAAAGCAGTGGATGAACTAAATTCACCGCAGCTCCCTACTAAACGACTGTCGGTCCGAATTGGCATACACACGGGTAGGTCTAGGCTAACAGTGCTGGGACCTTGGGGATCGGGGGCAACTCCCCACTCCCACCCACTTTTTATACTTTTGTAATAAAGGGATACAGGATTAGGTACATTTTTGGCTAGTCACAAGACCTAAATTATATAGGGTGCATCCCCGAGAGGCACCCTAGCTAATTCACACCTACTCGTCCATTCACGAGCGTTTAAATTGTTGTAGGAGACGCTTTAAAAAGTAGGAGTAAAAAAAACATGAAAATGTATGCATAGAAAGTTAGCTGATTTCAAATAAAAGGGGACATTTCTGGCTTTATTTAGGCCAATTGCTGAAACGGTATTGTAACTGCTTTCTTTTTAACAACAAAATTATAGCACTTAGGATTCTTACCGATCGTTACTTTTATCAGTTTGAGATGCCATGTGTAACGGGGATAAACGTCATTCTTCTGCGGAATCAGAGGTATCGTCAGATATCAGATAACCTGTTGTTATTTATCGTTTTATCAGGACCATGCGTGGCTGGTGTGGTTGGAAACAAAATGCCTCGTTACTGCCTGTTTGGAGACACAGTGAACACTGCATCAAGAATGCAAACTTCTGGCGAACGTAAGGAGCTTATTCACCAACTGAATTTGTTATTTACCGGCTAGTATAAAAATGGATGAATCTTAAAATCTACCTTAAATTCTCTAATCCCATTTAATTTTCATTCTTTTTTTTACATTTGCATTATTTCTAAAAATGTAACAGTAATTTACAATTCAAGATGGCGGGATTTTAATGGCAGTTTTTATGTCATCCATCAACTGCACCAGTTTTCATTAGTCCAATGAACATGCAGTTCTTACAGCGAATCAGGAGCCATTATGGCTCTTGACCGAATGTATTATTATAATATGTTATGTGTATGCATATGTGTTTTTTTAGCTCAGAAAATTCACATTTCGGAAAATGCCAAGGAAGCTATAGAGGAAATTGGAAGTTACCACATCGTTTTCAGGGGTAGCATGGAAGTAAAGGTAAATTGACATTATTAGAACTTTTATTTGCTCAAATGCAGATCAAAAAAACCTCCTCGGTCGCCTTTTTATCGACTAGACGAAGAAGTGAATCCGCACTCGCAGTGGGAGGGCTCACTTTGAGCCTCCTTTTGAGTTTACAATATATTGAAATACTTAAAACACTTACAATTACGATTAAAATTTACAAGCAATTACGATTAAAATTTACGAGCTCTCCAAGATGGTACAGATATTATGGGATATGACGCTGCTGAGGACGTCATTTACAATGGCCGCTATCTTGGCAGCTATCTTGGCCGCCATCTCATTGGCTACCGCTTCGATTTAATTAAAGATGAAGTTTCATGAAAACATTTAAAAACTGAGCCTTTTCCTTGGCTGAGGTCTGCTGTGACTGAAAACTATATTGCTTAGCTGTTTTATAGTTTTTCTCTACAAAAATTAATTGTCTCTTGCAATGACTTGACCTTCTGCCACTGTTGACCTCATATCTTGTAACCATATAACCCGACTGTAGCTAAAGGTTACCAAAATGAGTCTGAGAAATAAATAAACAGCTTTTGAAGAAAAGAGCTTGAGACTTAAAGCAATTTGGAACAAAACTGCAAAAAACCTGTAGGGTGGCAGCCATCACCACAGCTCCTTGACGTCAAAGATTCAAATGTATTTAGCAGTAACACAATGAATAATGTGTGCACTTTGTTTTTTATACTCAGGGCAAAGGTCCAATGTCCACATACTGGCTGACAGGATTACTGGAAAATGCTCCGTGCTTTACTCTGCACACGCCGGAAGAAATGATGGCTTATGTGCAGCTGTGAAACTTTTCAGCTAAAATTTAGTACTTTACAGCCAAAAACTGTGACACGTATCAGCTCAAATGTAACAGTTGAAATCTAAAATTGATTTTTTTTTACATATATTGATGAACTGAAGATGTACAGATTGCTTTGGGTCCAGTATTCTAAGATAAAACGATCCTTCTGCACTTAATGTAAGCAATCGCAAAATATCATGATTCCAACAGCAATGGAGAAAGCTTTCCAATTGCACTTACCATAATTTACCGTAACAGCGGTGTGGTAAATTTTATTCTTATTATATTATATTATATTATGGTATGTTATATTATATTAAATATTTTATATTATGGTATGTTATATTACATTACATTACATTGCATTACACTACATTATATTATATTATATTATGTTATATTATATTATATTATATTATGGTATGTTGTATTATATTATATTATGTTACATTACATTACATTATATTATATTTAACAATTATTCTTTGAAATCGAGGTGAATAGTGGTAAAATATTTACCGAGCCGTGAAAGCGGCGAGGTAAATATTCCCAAAGCCACTATTCACCGAGATTGAAGAGCTGAGAATAATTGTTTTAGTATATACACACGACGTGAGCTCAACAAAATCAGAGTTGAAACCATTAAAAAGTACGATTTGATTGACAGATCAAATCACGCGTAAGTTTAAAAATAGATCTTTGCAGAATTTTCAAACATGGCAATTCACAAGTTTATCAGTTCGCAAACAACAGCGTAATAGCCGGGGTAATGGCTTAAATGAAACCGCTAAAAGCTTGAGCTGTTTCCTTACCTGAGAAGAAAAGTAGAGCTTTGTTGTTTTCTGTTGACTCGCCAAGTTTATAGCCAAAAGGGTTTGTTGTGTTGTTCTTCGCATGAAGTGCTAACAAAAATGGCGGCTCGGTTGCTCGTGGTAAGACGTCGTCTTCCTGTATCACTCTTTTTCCTGTTTACTTGAAACGTAGGATTTCTGCAAACATTTCCTTTTAAATTTGTTTGTCATAAATAAAATTCGATTTTTGAGCCAAGACTTTCTTGTTAGAAAACGCTGAGTTCACGAAACGGCTTCTTCTACGCGAATACACGGGAGTTGTAAACAATCCATCGAGCACAAAACTCAGCTACAGTAAATTGAAAACGCTGTATTGAATCCTTCCAAGTCTTTTCTTGCCTTAAAAAAAGTCAGTCCTAGGATTTTGTCGACTTTTAAAAGATCGTTCTCTAAAAAAATGGGAAAAACACCGAGCTCACACATTATCCACCCGCTAGGAGGTGAATATTGTTGAATAGCCAGAGGTAGCGAACCAATCAGATTGCTTAAATCACCAAGATCACTGAGTGTGTATATACTAATATATTATATTATATTATGGTATGTTATATTATATTATATTATGTTATATTACATTACATTACATTATATTATATCATGGTATGTTATATTATATTATTTTATGTTATGTTATGTTATGTTATATTATATTTCATTTAGTTATTTATTATCTTTTAGAGAATAGACACACGCATCTCAAACAGTACAAAAAGATTTAACATTAAATGGTCACATGCAACTTACACTTAGTCTAGATTTACCGAGTACAAGTACATTAAAAATAGAATACATGAAAGAGATTTTGCTGTAAGTAAAAGCGAAAGTTTCAGCTATGTGTTGTAGTAAACCTACTTGTCTTGTAATATATGAGAGCTATAAGCAATAAAAGAAGAATTCATTGAAGCGGTTACTGTGTCTGAAGTATCTTGTGCCAGATCTATCATTAAATCCTTCTTCAGTTCCAGTAGTCTAAAATGCCATCCGTCTTTTCGCCCCACCCCCCGTTCAGACTACCTTTCCTTCGATCCTGTGGTGACAGTGATTTTTTTTCTCAACCCTTTAAGCCCCAATGGTGACCAACATCAATTTTCTCCCAATAATATTCATACCTTCTCACGAGATAAGGTTATGAGAATTAATGAAATAATCACTAAAGAGAAAATGCTTTGATCTATTTTTTCAAATTCTCTCAACTACTTTTTTAAAGAAATGTATAGAGATCAGTTTGGAGAATTCGTATGTTTATATTGGGGCTTAAAGGGATAATTATTTAGTTGCTTTTGACATGATAAATGAAAGGAAGGCTGGACATTTTTATATTTACAACAAGACTCACTCACAGTAGCAATGCAAATTTAATTGGAACAAGGAAAAGTTTTTACATAAAAAAAGTTCAACTCCCACAGGGCAAGTAGATGCTTCAACTGTGTACTTTAGTGCACCATACTTTGTTGTCAGTTCAAGTTGTTTTTGTTTTGTGTTTGAAACAAAATGCATCAACCAATCACAACAGAATTGTGATTCTTTGGGGAGGTGTTTTTTGAAACACTCGCAACATTTTTGCGGGATTTGTTTTACCAAGTACCACAATTTCCACATTTTCTGGTCCACGAATTTTTTTAGGATGGATTTATTTGCATCATACAACTCGGTAGTGTCGTCTGTAAGATTTATTAAATTATTATTATTAACTTAAAAGCAATAGCAAATTTTTAAAGAGCAAATGCGACAGCTATTGGGCTTTGCTGCAAATAAATCTGCTATTAAGCTCGCTAAAACATTGTTGTTGGTGTTTTTAACATTCAGTACTTTCCACAGTTGACTTCAATTCTTAACATTGGAAACCTATTTATAGTTAAAAGCTTGTATTTTCTATAGGTCTTCTCACTTTTTTATAGTCTTCCATTCAGCAAGAGTCCTTTCAAAAATTTTAAGAACTTTTAAAATCACCAAATTTCTGAATGATTTCTTAAAATTACCTTTTTAAGAGGACTTTATGTCGCTTCGACGACCTAAAATTGTCACTTCAGAAACAACTATGACTCTGACAACTGAAAACGATATCTGCAATTACTACATTTAAATTCAGGCATCGTAGATTATCGCTTTTAAGTTTTGAAAGGAAATGAGACCTTTGAGTTGCTTTCAATTATCTTATTTTTAAATGTTTTGAGCTAATAGTTTTTAAATATTCTGGACTAGCTGTTTAGAATCAGAGCCGCTAGTGAACATTAAAGCCTTTATATTTTTCAAATGAACGACCTTTTTGTTGCAAGGTGCAATTATATATTAATTTGTTTTGTTTCGTTTTTGTTTGTGAGGGATTTCGTCCGAATCCAGTTTTGTAAGGTGCCCCTATATTTACTTCTAATTCAGGGACAAAACTTAAAAATTTTACACTTTGCTGAAGGAGAACGCGAAAATTTCTCAAGATTTATTTAATATATCCAAAAGAAGAAGTGACGACTCGCTCCTGATAAAAGGTTTTAAATTCAGAAAAGTGTACTCATTACTTAGCTTCAAGAAAAGTGACCCAGTTGCTTTCTGAACAGAGCCAACCAATTTAGGGCAATTTGCATAATTTTAATTGAAGTTTTATACTCACGGTTTGTTCATAGCAAAAATAGGGCACAGCCAACAATTTCGGGTCCTTTTTGTGTGCTGACTGTCAAATTATTTCCTCAAAGTAATTCTAGTTCACCGCATGCATGGTTAATTTGAGAAGATCATCGGCAATCAGCACGTCATCAAAAGCAGGTGTTAAGGAAATACATGAAAAACATGCCTTTGTGCGACACTGCTTCATTTTTCGAAGAAAACCAAGAATCGTTTATGACTAACTTGCAGAAAAATACCTATGTAGAAAGGTGAGTTTCAGTGTATTTCCTTTCAATTCCTAAAAACCTTTTTTTTTTTTCATCTTACATATTTTCCAAGCTAAGGTAGTTAACATTGGTATTAATCCTAAAAACGCTAAACCTGCAGATGCTCAGCGCTTGCATGCATGCCTTGCTGCGCTCAACATTTAGTTTTTACAAAAACAAGTCACTGTCTTGATACTGACTCAGGAAATTCGTGTTGTTTAGTTAAAATTATGGTCTTTTTTAATTAATAAGGTTCAAGATAAAGTAAAATATATTAAAAAATATTTTGTGGTCGTTCAATGTTGTTTTCAAAAACAGCCGCCAAAAATAATAATTCAGATCAGCATTCCTCTAACTTCTATCTTATTCTTAGATAAGTAATTGAAACAGCGGAATATAGACATCGTCAGGAACCGATTAGTAGTTTGTTACTTTTGGAAGAGCAATACGCTGGAAAGTTTTTCTCCTAGAGAAAATCGCCAAGAATAATACCTTATGATGTCATATCTCGCAATCAAAGCAACCTTTTGTGATCACAGTTTTCCAGAAAGTGTCTGAGACATAAATGAAGAGTGATTGAATGGAACAAATTATTTTCAAGGGTGCAGTTTTTTTAAATTAAAAAAATCGAGGAAAACGTTTTTAGTTAATGGAGGTGTAATTAATCATCCCGCCATCTTGTACTTAAGAGGCTTAAACGCATCATCACGCAGAGGTAATTTTGATGTATGAAGTACATCAGGCCAAATTCGCTTGTTCCCATGGCAATCATGACATCCTGTATCGTTATCATAGCATCAAAATAACACTAAATGTTTCAAAATGTGACCGAGAAAAAAAGGGTCAACTTGATATCGAAAAGTAGAGCTAACTGATTGAAATCATTTTTGAAAATCGACTAACATGGACATTGCACGCACAACTGTTAAGAAATAAGTATATAACTTGCACGTTCATTGCTCACGAACAATGTCAGGAGATTGCTTATCGCTTACTCTGTATTTTTTCGATAAAAGAGAAATAAAAAATAGAATTAAAATAGCGCTCACTTTTGATCCCTCTTATATACATTCACACTTCTTGTTTTGTTAGTTGTTTGGTAGCATTTAGTTCCAAATGGCTTAATCTTGAATGCATGACGTCATATCCTGTCTCCATAGCAATCAATCGGAACCACATTTTTTTCAAAATGTGACTGAGGGAAAATAGAATCGAAGGGAAACCTTGCATGCGCAAAGATTTAGAAAAAGTAGTGCGTGCACTGTTTATTTGTCAGAATCAGGGCAAGGAGATTTGTTCACAGAACCCACTTCCATTAAGGCAGGTATTAACGCATTCAAACTCCTAGTTTTGTCAGCGGTTTGGTAGCATATAACGTGTGAGTTTTAAGGGCACGGCCTTTTCGGCATTTTTATCAGCTGGTATATTTCCGACTTCTTCCAATAACGAACGCACGGAAGCAATTTGGATCGGTTGGCTTCATTCACGTCCATAAAAAGCCTCAACAAACAGATCTACAGAGGTTTATGAAGGTATCTAGCGATAAATCACATGAAAGACTTTCTTAGTGAAAACAGAGAAAAAGGCTAATTTTGGAAAGGATATAAATTCCAAGTGCTAGGAGTGAATGAACTCCTCTTTAAAATTTCGCCTAAATCAAATTATTGACTAAAAGCTAGACGATCTTAAAACGTCAATTAAATTTGATCGCCACAGTGGGGAGATTGACAGCCTGTGATCGTCGTTTGCAGTTTGTACAAGTCGTCGTTTAAGGTACGAATGAAATTCAGGTTCAGGCGGATTTTTAGGAAATTAACAAGCATTACAGCTTGCACAGGAAAATTTGTACACGATGCGTCCACGAAGCCCCTCAGAAAAAGGTTCTTTCACGTTGAAGAAGTTCTTAATTAAACAACTCTTGATGTGAATGGGTTTATGAAATGGGTTTATGAATCGGTTGATGAAATTATGCAACCTTTGTTGTTCGCAAGCTCATCAAACGATTCTGTAAACCCACTGACATCAAGTTTGCTTACCCTACTTTTAAAATTAAGAACTTATTCAACGTGAAAGATCCATTTCCTGATAGGCTTAGTGCCCGCATTGTGTACAAATTTTCCTGTGCAAGCTGTAATGCTTGTTACGTTGGTGAAACACGCCGACACTTTTCCACGCGCGTGCACGAGCACGTGCCTTGTCATCGGACAGATCCTCTCACGTTTATAAGCATTTACAGGCTTTAAAGTCTAGTCGTAACTCCTGTAACTTAGACTGCTTTAAGATCTTGGACTCTGCCCCTACCAGGTATCAAGTTAAGCTTAAAGGTCGGTGCACACTAGGCGGCAAGTCGCAGCAACATGTCGCGAAGACACGTCGTAGCGACAAAATCACTGCGTGTGCACAGGAGAATTTTTGTGAAAATCTTTGTCTCTGCAACAGAATTTTGTCGCAGTAAGATGTTGCAAAAATTCAAATCAAACAGAATTTGTGCAAATTGTTGCGGCCACAAAATTCTGTTGCAGAGACAAATATTTTCACAAAAATTCTCCAGTACACACGAAGCGATTTGTCGCTGCGATGTGTCGTCGCGACATGTTTGTGCAACTAGTCGCCGGAGCTGTACACACGGAGTGATCTGTCGCCACGACTTGTTGCTGCAACTTGTTGCCTAGTGTGTACTGACCTTAAGGAGTCTATGTACGGTGATTGTTAGGTGGGAAACACATCAATCTGACGCTTTCTCTATAGATGCTTGAACGCGCGTCTATTAATTCCGTCAACTTTAAAATTCATGTAGCAGTTTGTTTTCCAACGTTACGTAACGTATAAATTGTAACAGGCGCGTTTTATCGCTGAAAACTTTCATAACCGTCACGCTGACGATGACCGTCAAAACATATTTGTTAACATTAAAAATATGGCATTATTTTTGTTTTCATTTTAATGACCTAGTGAGCAGCACAGGGCATTTTATAGGATACAAAAATAATTCAACGATAAAAAAAGAATTATTTTTCAGGGATATCATGCGGAAGATGAAAGTAAGGCTTTGTGGAAAACATGTCGAAATAAAAGCAAAATAAAACAAAAAATATGCGGAAATTGAAGAGGCAGCTATCCTCACATGTCATACATTTGGTGAAAAAATTGAAGTCGCTATTTTTTTAACCTGTCCTTGTTTGAAAGTTACAGTTCAAAAGCGATATGGTTTTGCTGAAAGAAAGAAAGGATGAAACGTAAAATAAAGCTTTAAACCAAAATTATGTAGATTAAAGATAAGCGCCCTAAAGAGCGGGACGGACAGCTGGTGTGATTATAGCGGATCACTAAAATGACCCGTTTTTACGTTTCAAATAGGAGCTGATATGCGGAAATTCAAACGACTATTGAAAATTACCGAATAGATCGTTGTCACTGTCACGCAACAAAAAACCGTCCAGTGGAAGAAGCCCAGATAAGGAGGTGTTTTTAAAGACTAATATATAAACAATTTGTCCAAGTCTCAGGTCCTTGTGGCCGATATTTTCTGAGTTATTTTCCGAAACGTTTCACGCACCTTTGTGGAGCTTTGTATGGAGACGCCATATTGGTGTACCCAGTTTTGGTCCACCTATATATATGGCAGCCGGAAATTAACAAAAACGTCTGGAGTTCACATTTTGTTTTCCATAAAAACTCTGTCTTTTCACTCGAGAACTAGCATACTTGCGCATAAACATATCTTCTAACACTTGAAATGGTTGTACTGCTGAAAATCAAGAAGAGAGACTTTTTTTCAACGAGTCAGCATTCCTATTTTGGTGTCACGCACTGTAAAAACCCGGAAGTTCAAACTGCTGTATTTTCGAAATGAAACATGTTACGGGAATGGAAACTTATACAAAGATATATTTTTTGTTAATTTCAACCTAGTGTAAATAAGAATTCGTAAAACCTCGCTATTTTGACTTTACAATTTGATGACATCACTGTGAAAACCATCTATACCGACAAAGTTGTCTTTCGTTTAAGGCAACGTATCACTTTCAAATAAATTGCAAATATCAAAAAACCCATACATACACTAATGGACTGGTTTTCTAAACATTTCATCCATTAAGGAAAAAAAAATCGAATTCTCGAATGTTTTAAACAATTTTTGACAGAAAGCGTTCTTTACACCACTTTTAAAGCTACAATTGAAAAGCGATTTTTGTATTTTGTTAAAAATGGATTCATTCTCAAGTTTAGTGAACTCAAAGAGTTGAAAAACCTAAAAGCATTTTAAAACCTTGATTTTGTAAATCAGCCTTAAAAAGTGGGACGAATGGCAACTGTGTAAACTACCTATATATTTGAAAGAAAAAGAGGAAGATTATATTATTGACCTCAGCTGGCCAAATTAAATTCGAAAATCAAAATGTCCTGGAGTGATGCACTTAACTAGATATATGTTGTCTAGGCCAAGGATTAAGTAAATTAAATGGATTCGTTAATTAAAAGCTCTTTATCTTGTAACACGTAGCCATTAACAGAATTATTCCTCAATCAAAAAAAACTTACTTTTTTTACAAAACAAGTAAAAAGAAATCTATGGAGGAAGATACAAGGAGAAAGACTTTAAAGTTATTACGCTTGTGCTGGCGATACGACGTCACAACAGCCGCTGGCCGACGTGTGCAGTCGTTAAAGATCATCGGCGTTGCTATGATAGCAATAACCGGTCTACTTATCTTCGTGGTCGACGATGTCAAGGAAGCGAAAGAAAACATCAAAAAAGCCGAAATTCTGGAGACAAATCTCAAATCAAGCTTGCAGGTGGCTTCTTTAATTCACCGTCTTCAAATCGAGCGTGGACTGACAGTGCTCTGCTTGGGATCGAAAAGTGCAGAGGACAAGGATAGAGTGTTCAAAACATTGAGCGACGCTCGCAATAAAACAGATGAAGCTCTAGATAAAACAGATTGGCCATTTGATGATACAGCTGAAAGAGAATTTTTACACGGGGCTGAAAATTTCCAAAGACATCTAAATGAACACAGGTATATTGTTGGCACTTGTTTCTAAATTTAGTATTAACAACTTTATTAACTTCTTTTTTAACGTTTTATTTTAAAGTATTTAATTAAAAAGCTTTGAAATGTTTACATGAAGAATCAAATAGAGAACTTGTTTCCTGTCGTCGATCTGCATGTTGAGACGGATGGCAAGGATATAGACACTGATTGACAGTTGAAAAGTTGGGCCAGTTTTTTTCAAGTGTTAATGCTATGTCTGTCATGTCTGCAAAAAAAAAAAATAATAATAATTGTTTGTGCTCCCAGATAAAATTGTTTGGTATCTTCTTCATAAATTTACAGGAGCATTTTCATGTATGGGTAAAGGTCAGTACTAAGTAACGTTTTCAGCAAAGAATTGACCAAAAAGAGCAATATCCATTCCGCCGTCAATAAAAAATTTATTACATGGCTAAAAAGAGATCTCTTGCGGGACTAACGCGGGAAATCCCGAGGGGAAAAGAGATGCTCGGGTTGAGAACACTCCCGGATAGAGTACTTAAGTGTGACGTCATAAAAATGAAATTTCTGAAATTACGGGATTTGTCAGAATATTCTGAAAGAACAATGTCCAAGAGGCCTACTTGCCAAAAATGAGCATTTCGGGGCTAATTGTCTCTGAGATCGTAGCCCAGTTATGTTTAGAAAACTCCATACAAACCCTTCAAAATTTTTTTGGGTCGACTCAAAAAGGGTTTGTATGGAGTTTTACGAGTATAACCAGCTAACATCTCAGAGACAATTTGCCCCGAAATGCTCAATTTTGGCAAGTAGGCCTCTTGGACATTGTTCTTTCAGAATATCCTGACAAATCCCATAATTTCGGAAATTTCATTTTTATGACGTCATCACTTTAGTACTCTATCCGGCCATAAAATAAGTTGGGTAATATTAAATTCAACATGTCTCATTTCACTACAGGAATCAAGTTGGCAAATGTGAACGTGGAACTCAGTATGGACAAATTGAGTTTTACACTCTTCCAATCAACTTGATGTTGGACTGGTTTTACCTCAACGTTCGAGAAAATTCCGGAAACAGTATATTTCTGGATATGGTTGGCTACCACATGTTCCTTGTTGGAAAAGACAAAATTGGGATAGAGCGCGCCTTGGGCGGGGCTTTCTTTGCCAAGGGACATTTCAGCAATTCAAGCGATCTCGTATGGTTCGCAAATCACAGCATTCTTGGACGGGAGTTTTTAGAAGCAAGTGAAACTCTTATGCCCGAGATTAAGACAAATATAGGCCATCATGTAAACGAGACAGTGATTCGCTTGGTCGAAAAGGAGCGAGAAGTCATCCTTGCTAACGAACCCGACAACGCCTCGGTATCAAAAGGTGAACAGTGGTTTCAGCTCATGACCTTATATCTTAACGATATTTTTAAGGTTCAACAAGATGCCGGGGATTCCTTAACCAAGCGCCTGGAAGTGGTGAGAATGGAGAACACAACACATCTAACTCAAAGATTGGCATATCTCGTGTTTGCCATTCTTTTAGTACCTCTTATGGCTTACTCAGTTTACCGAATGACGGGAACGATTCAAAACTACACCTTTCGGCTTGCCCAGACAATGTTGGAGTTGAAAGAGGAGAAGCAACGAGCAGACACTCTCCTTTACCAAATGTTTCCGCATCCAGTGGCTGAGAAACTCAAAAACAAACAGCAAATTCCAGCCGAGTACTTTAGCAGTGTCACCATTTTTTTCAGCGACATTGTCAACTTTACAGAAATGTGCTCCGCCATGGAACCTTTGCAGGTCAACAGATAAGTTAACGTCCTCTTACTGATTGCTCAATGGGATTCCGGATTACTTTGTAGAAGGAAAACTTTGAGCCTAATTTTTTTTTTTCAAAGATGGATTTGTTTTAGAATTTCTAACTCGAACTATTTGTCAAACATATACTGAGACGATAAAAACAAAATAGAAATTACCATTTGATGCTTCTTGTTCGTTTATCAATATTTACCCCTACATCTCGCTCTAAGCCATCTTAAGTATGATGGGATGATTTATTACTTTAACTCTTCAGGCAGTGGACGAAATCCTGTATTTTCCCCATTCAAATGTGACCTCTTTGGTAGTGCGTTCACTGAAAAGATTTCATTTAATTTTTGAGGTTTAGCAAACTGAGGCCATGATAAGGAATTCAAAAAGTAAAACTTTGGTATCTTTTTCTTCTCACGGAAACTTTCTTTCAGGCTGCATTACTCATTTAAAAAATCATGATTTTAGGATATTCTCTTGTTTAGGTTACAGCGATGCTGGATAAGGTTTACGGCCTGTTTGACAACCGCATAAACTTTTACGACGTGTACAAAGTGGAGACAATCGGTGATGCCTACATGGTGGTTTCAGGGCTTCCTCAAAGGAACGGAATGCGTCACGTGGATCAGATTGCCCGGATGGCGTTGGACTTGGTAAAAGCCGTGGATGAACTAAACCTACCGCAGTTCCCCAGACGACAACTGTCGGTCCGAATAGGTATACATACTGGTAAGTCTAGTCACAGAATTGTGTATTCAACGATCATCTTTCAAATGGCCGGGGAATTAAGAGCTAATTGATGTGAGTGAGCTTGAGAGAGGGAGAGCGACAATGATGACTATGACATTAATTATGCACATTTATGCAATTGGATTTTGCCTTTTGCGGCATTACACATTCATGAATGAAAAGTAAAGATGAACAACTTTAAAAACATAGTTGATATCCAAATGGCGAAGGAAACAAATAAAAAAACCTTTCTTTCAAATTAAAAATCATGTGCACAATTATTAGTCAAGAGAGAATAGCTCATTCTCTCTTGTATGAGTTAAATGTAAAATAAACTCTTTTTTTTACATAGTAATTTAAAAATTGTAAAGTTCATGCAACGCTCCAAACAGCTACTTATGCAGCTTCCAGAATTTCATCACACACGTTGAATATTAAGATGAGATTACTTGTTCTCTGCTTTTTTTTAGGCCCATGCGTGGCTGGTGTGGTTGGAAACAAAATGCCTCGTTACTGCCTGTTTGGAGACACAGTGAATACTGCATCAAGAATGCAAACGTCTGGCGAACGTAAGGGACACATTAAGTAATTAAATTTATGTATCAAAATTCAGACAAGCTTTTCAATTCTTATTTTAACCGAGGATAGTTGAGTGATGACTAAGTATATTATGTCGCGCGAATCAAATCAGTTTATAAGAATTCGTAAAATTTTACATTATTAGAGAGATTATGAGTCACGTTCACGGCAAACGGCAAACGTAAATTTGTACCGCGTGACCAAATTTCTTCTCAACTTGTGCTTTACTGTTCATTACTTCTACCCCAAAATAAGTAGCTTCACGTTAGTTTGGTCTGTAACAATTGTTTTGGACTGCATGCTTTTAGCTGCACGTTTTCTATTTTGAGAGATTCCCAATTTTTATTGTGACGTTTTGCCATTTGCAGTAAACGTCACTCTAAATCTCTCTAATATGTCATCAACCATTCCAATTTAGAGGCTACGGCAAGTCGCGGCAATATATAATTAAGGTAAAACTATTCATTTCCTCTGCAATCTGAATCTATTGTTTATCCAATCATCAAACGTTAGGAACGTTTATTATCTGTACTATTATGGGATAAAAGGACTGAGAAAATCAGAAAATTAAATAATACCTTTTCGTTTTTTGTTCTTCCAAATTCGGATTCCTAATTTTCGTCTTGCTTAAACTAAGGAAATATTCACTTACAACTATTGCTGGTTTGCACGTGACGTCACGGCGGCCATGTTGGTGGTCAAGAACAAAAGCATTTCTCTCCTCTGGGAACTAAACTCTATTTTCATGTAAATTTTGCGAGGAAATATTCTTTTGTTTTGACCCCCAACATGGCCGCCTTGTCACGTGGTTGCAAACCAAGAATAGAATCTCAAAACGACTTTTAACTTATATTTTCATCCAAGATTTTTCATCCAAGATGGTGGATTTCTGAGGTGTATGACGTCATTCCATAACATTTAGCTTAAAAACGATAAGTACTAATTGAAATGTACATTGTTTAATGTGTGATTTTAGCCCAGAAAATTCACATTTCGGAAAACACAAAGAAAGCTTTGGAAGAAATTGGCAGCTACAATATCGTTCTCAGAGGAAGCATGGAGGTAAAGGTAAGCTGTAATTCCTCTTTTAATTTCTTACTAAAGACGAATTAAGGTCGCCGGACATTTTGGTATAACAGTTCAATCGACTGGGACGTGAAACAAGCGTTTTTATAATGGACGTTACCACACGATAATCATTTTCTGAACTGGGATAAAGTCATTAAATATAACTCTAGGGGAATTTGCCCACATTTGAAAAATTTAGCAAACTGGAACACGTACTAGAAAAAAAAACGTGAAGACATTTGAAAAACGTACGCAAATTCACTTTATATGTCGCCGTCCTCAATCTCTACTTCCCAATCATTCAGTCACATTCCTCCTAATTATCCCCTCTCCTCAGTAGGATATCATTGCAGACCGTACCAAACTACCCTTCCTTTTAAAGACATTCCTGAGTAAAATGTGTATTTATTTTTCAAATACAGATGAGGCTACAGTTGCCAAAGTTTCGGAAAACTCAGAAAGAACTTTCTCGAGAGGCGTGACGATAGTGTTGTTGCGTCTTGTTTTACTGCCACACAGCAAATAGTTCAGCAGCTAATTCCAGGAAAGTTAATGTTTTAATTATCATCGCTTGATAATTTTATTTGTTTTTTTTTAATCAGGGCAAAGGTCCAATGTCCACGTACTGGCTTCGGGGATTTTTGGATAAAGGTCCGAGCTTCTCTGTGCACCCTCCTGGGGAAATGCCAATAACGGCTTATGTGCAATTGTGATAGACAGTATCTGTGTATATACATATACGCTGAAATGCACTTCTACAAATATAATAATAATAATAATAACAATAATAACAAGGTGCTTGAAAACGCATTTTACAACGTGTGAAAGTCTGATGAATGCTATTTACCATAAATTGTTTACCTATTCTAACAATAAACACCATTAAAAAAAGTTTTATATCTCGATTTAAAAGAGTCAACTGCGGAGCAATGTTTGATTGTAATGGGTTGGTCATTCAAGAGCTTCGGTGCAGTAACTGAGAAGGATCAGTCTTCTTTGGGTTACATTTAAGCATGTTAGAGACATTCCAGGACATGATATCTTCGATACAGAGCGTAAGATCCTTTAATGCTGTAGCACGATTGCTTTGTCTCACAATAATGTAAAGCTGAGAATCATCGGCGTACATCATTGCATTTAAGCAGTGAGCCGTAATTACATCCTCCAATGGAGAAATATAGAGAGAAAATAACACCGGCCCTAAAACGAAGCCTTGAGGGACATCACAAGATAAACGACGAGGCTGGGAAGACAACTTATCCAACACTATGCGTTGAGGACGTTCAACAAGATAAGAAGTGAGCCACTGAAGAACTAGGTTGGAGAAGCCATAACAAAATCGTAATCTCTCAAGACAGATCGCGTGATCCATTGTGTCGAAGGCGGCGGAAAGGTCGAGTAAAACCAAAATGGACTCGCACTGGTCATCAAGAGCACGCTGTATGTCGTTAACAATACGAATCAGAGCAGTCTTAGTGCTATGATACTTCCTGTAGGCCGATTGCATCTTGGCATAAAGACCGTTGTCATGGAGATATTCGTCGATTTGAGAGGCGACGATTCTTTTAAGTGTCTTTGACAGTAACGAAAGATTGGAAATAGGCCTGTAGTTACTAACCTCGTCGGAGTCAAGAGTTACTTTCTTGATAAGAGGACGGACAATCTACGTCTTGAAACCAGAAGGAAAAAGCCTTTCTCAAGAGACAAGTTCATAATGGTGGTAGTGGTCGGTAGGAGGACATCAACGCAGTTCTTTAGAAGCCAAGTCGGAAGTCGATCAAGAGTGCAGGATTTAGGTTTTGCAAAAAGGATGATATTTTTTAAGTCGTTATTGGAAATACGCTCAAAATCTGTTAAAAAGCTCCTGCAGGACTCGGCCGTTAAATCAGCGTTGAATCTTGGAGCAGGTTGCACAAAGAGACGGCGTCTCAAGTTGATAATTTAAGATTCGAAAAACGCCCCAAAACTTTCGGCAAGAGTTCTCGAGAGAATCATGTTTTGGTAAAGTTGGAGCACATTTAATGTTGAACAATTCATCAACAAACTTGAAAAGTTGCTTCCAATTCGACGCCTCGACCTTTTTCTTGTAATAGCTGGCTTTAGTCGCTTTTAAGGGGCGGTTGTAATTACGATAAATCTCTTGATAGATATGTTTATCAACTGTAAGGCGAGTGGACAGGTATTTTCTCTCAGGGCGTCTTTTTTCCCGCCTCAGTTATAGGGTTTATATAGATATAGCCCATATAAAGCCGTTTCACATGACGTCACTTCCGCTATTTTGATTTCCCGTTCGTCCCAAACCACTGTGGGAGCTGACTCTCTTTTCTTATGTAAACGCTTTCTATTTTTTCAAAATAAATTTGCATACTAAGCTGCTGATTCATGATTGAAAACTCTCTATCAGGCTTTGCAAGTTAAGAATTCAAAACCAGAGCGAGCAACTTCCGTGTACTCGTTTCACGGCGTTTTCTCCGAGATGAATACTTTTATAACGGCTTTGAACGAATTAAGAATATAAGTCCCACAGACCATACAGTCAGCAAAACCTACAGATCTGTAAATGGTATTTTTGACTTTTTAATGACGTTTAGTTTTTTAATTTAATATCTTAGCTTCCACTGTTCTAAATTGTATCTAAAAATAAAACGGTCATTGAAAAGGCCGCGATATAGACCTAGTATAGGAGTTGCTCGCTCCGGGTTATGGGCTCAAGCTCCTGATTTTAGTGGCGAATTTGGCTTATCAGTTGCAGGCCTAAAAATTGTGCAAGGCACTACCAAACACGAGTAACAGTGTTTCTACAGGATATTAAAACAGTGAGAATGATGTAGACTGAAAATGCTGAGTATAATCGCTTTTTTAAAAATTTGAAATAAACTAGACGTGACTGGAGATCCATTCAATCTTAGCAAATTATTTGAATGGATGTATCTTGTTCAAGATCGGCCGGTTTCTACCTTTCGTGAGATATTATAAAGCTCGGAGTACTTTTTCTAACCATGTGGGTCTTGTGTAATATAATGACTCCTAACCAGTCCCCCTCCGTTTGAAATTTGGCCTTGGGAGGCGAAAGGCGGTACCCTTACTCCTGAAACGACTACACGGAAACAGGTTTTTAAACTCCTAGTGGAACACTTTTTAATTGTGTTTTATATGGCTTCTTAACACATATATTTGTCTTGTGGGTACTGAGTCGGTTTTTTTTTTCACCGCCAAAATATCATTTATTTTATGGTAAATTGTTAGTTGAGTCCACTGCCGTGTGCAATTATGATTGGAATTAATGATTAACTACTTGTTGTTAAACAGAATAAAAAATAATATTATGTATTTACTTCTTCAAATTAGAGGCATCGTTTAAAATCCAGCTATCATGTTCGTCTTAGGCATCAGTTTTTCTGGGTTTATTTTTAAAGCTGAAATGAAAGAAAAGCTCTTTCACTGAAAACAACAACTGCACAGTTAAAGATAATCTGTATTTAATTTTAAAGTTAACTATAAATTACTAATTAGAATTAAGATACATCATTATTCATTCAAGAGTATTTCTTACAGTAGTTTCCCGTTGGCTTAAATAGTCAATCCCATAATAGGCTATTTCCGAGTTCCCCCGAGCCTCTGTATCAAAACGAGGTCAAGTGCTCAGCCTTTGATATGGAAATGATTTTTCATTCTCATGCAAATAAAACTCATTTTCACAAGAAAGGTTGTGCACTTGACCTCACTTTGAAAATGAGGGTTTTTGGAACTCGGAAGTGGCCTATTGAGTTTATGGTTCAGCTGTGTTAGTAAATAGCCGGAAGATTTTAAAGGGACGGAAGACGAAATAGCCGAATAACTGACTTACTCATGTAGCAGGAACACTCAGAAAGCCATTCGAAGATCTAGAATGTCGACTGCTTTTGATCGAAAAATACCTCAGCATAAACTTAATTGAATAACCACTCAGATCGCAACCTCGTCCCCAGAGCGCTTTTCCCTGCAGGCTTTGGAGGTGGGGCCGCCCCACCTCTAAAGCCTGCAGGGAAAAGCGCCCTGGGGACGAGGTTGCTCAGATCGCCCCATATAAGGGAATCCGGAATGTTTTGCTGGTGGAATCGGAATCCTGGGCTTTGGAATCCGGAACACAGCTCAAGGAATCCGGAATCCAACTAACAATTCCAATCCAGAATCCAAGTTCCCATGACAACGACCGGGATTCAGCACCTGGAATCCGAAAGCCAACTAGCGATTGCAATCCGGAATCAAAGTTCCCCTGATAAAGACTGGAATCCAGTACCTAGAACTCGGAATCCACGCCATGGAATCCAGAATCCAAGACTGTCTTGGATTTCCTTACAAGGGGCGAGCTCATACCTGAAACTGCTGAGGAACTGGCATGTGTTTTAAAGAAATTCTGCCCAAAGGGAAGGATTTTATGAGCTTAGAAATATTTTGAACGAATAATAATTAAAAAGCTAATCTCCCTATCATGATAACACACAAGTAGAGTCGATAGAAAGAAAGTAATTGTTAAGAGAAGCTCCTAGTCCTGAATACAAAGCAACGAGTTCTTAGTTTTCTAAAGTACATCTGTTGAGCCAAGATCTACTTGAGTTCTTTTATTTTTTCCTCTAACTCCTTTTCGTCGGATCCGCAGAATTTATGTAGCTGTAAAAAGAACAACAGCAAGATTTAGTGAATATGACGATCTGTAATTATTATACTGAGCAAAAAGTCAAAAGAAATTTTAAAAAACAGTTTTTCTGACATTTCTTTATGACCGAAAAACATTTTTCCGTGTCATTTTTATTTCCGCTCATGAGCCAATCAAAGTACCACAACGCGCAAGCGTTAGGGCCTAAACAAGAAAAAGTTACTTTTCAGTTATTTCGATTTCTTTTGTTTCCCTTCAGTTTAATATTCCTTACGTGCAAAGAGAACCCTTTAAAAGCAAAAAGCTTCTGGGGAGAGTAAATTTAATTTTTACCGTTGTTTCGCTTCACGCATTGTGATATAAATCGCAACAGACTTGGTCAGAAACAAGCAGAAATAAATTCAATGGAACAACACCATCACCATCACCATCATCATCACAATCATTATCATCATCATTATCGTTATCGTTATCGTTATCATTATCATTATCATTATCATTATCATTATCGTTAACCCTATCATTATCGTTAACCCATCATTATCGTTATCGTTATCGTTATCGTTATCGTTATCATTATCATCATTATTATCATTATTATTGTAGTTACCCTTTCTCCGTTCTTGAAAAAGATGAATGTAGGCATAACTTCAACCTCTTCTTCTTCTGCTATTGCCTATAAGATGACACAAACCATAATTTTCTTTAATACCTCTCGTACGGCTTTTATCTATTTAGGTGTCAGTCTCAGGGTCTGGTATTTTGGAATAAATTATGCCTTTAATCATGTCCAGTCAAGTTAGGAAGGAATTGGGTGGGGGAGGGGAGGGTGGATAAAGGGCGGGAAAGTTTCAAAACGATTATTCATATCATAGCCAACCAATTATATCCCATCAGCAAATATTTCCATTTTTTCCTTTTTTTCAAGTCAGAGTGCTCCAATAATTTTTGTCTAACTCAAGAACACCTGCACAAGAATAAGCACAAACGTTTCCTTCTTGTAAATCAAGGCGACGCAAAATGGCAGTTTGCACTTAAGATTGTGTAATCACAATCTGCCAAGCATGACTCAGTACTGTAAGCCCAGAAGCACTAGACTGGAACTATTTAATAGTTCCTTTTTGTTGTTTATGTGTTTATACTTGTGTCAGATGTGTTAAACAAGATATCGACTCTCTTCACATAAATCATCACCGGCATTTGCCTTACCTTAATTTCTATCAATCGCACGGGGGAGAGGTAGTCCCCTATATTAGTCATATATGCATGTGCCGTTAGTGGTCTTAAAACAGGTAAGGATTTTAGAGGCTATGTCGGCCAGTTTCCCGCGTTCGAAACCTGATGCCAGTTTCCCGCTTTTGAAACCTGCGGACAGTTTCCCGCGCCGCTTAACACCGGTAGGGAGTTTCCCGCGTTTGGCGCCTATTTGTCCCGCGTTTGGCACAGGCAAGTTCTGATAAATATTTATTGGTTTCAACACTTACTTCAGCGTCATCAACATCTACTTTGGCAAACACCACATCGGGATATTTCCCCTCACATTTCTGCAACAAAGAAGTTATCAAAATTTATCAAAGACAGAAGTAACAAGCGTTTCATAGACCTCATAAAATAATAATCACACAACTCGTTTAATTACAAGCTGGAACGTCATCAGGGACTGATCATCTTTCTTAAATCGTGCCTATATATTCACAGTAAGAAACGAGAATCTGCTTCAGAAACCACATTTCATAAAGCAACACGCAAAAAAAACGTGTACTTTACATCTTTCCAGAGTTTTTTTTACTTTCTACGACTCGCCGACTAAGACGGCTGAGGACTTTTGGCTTGAAAGTCACCAGACATAACCATTGCCTGATGGGCACGATAGTAAGGCCGTTGCAATGGCCAAGTTTGTTAGATCAACAGAGTGAAAGACTGTTTTGACAGAAACACACTTCTAGTCATCCGTCTTAGTACTTGTCAAGCTCCAGACTATAAGTTTACTGTGTGATGGAACGCGGGGTTGCATATATGAAGAAACTGCAAACTGTTTGCAAAAGGTTTGTCGCATTACATTCTTCATACCAATAAAAGATGCGGCAATTATAACACTTTACAGGCTTCCATTGTGACGTCACAAGGAACAAACTCTTCCAAAATTCCAATCCCCGCCAACCACTTGACTTCACGGACCCTCGCTTGAAATGGTGCACAAGCGCGTAAAAGGCCTTAACTCCGATTACATGACATTTAGAGGTGTAAGGCAATCCGTCGAATTGGCAGCCAGCTAAACATTAAATTTCATTACAACTACCGCTGAACAGAAGACTTTTAGATATTAGTCTATTTGCGGTCAGGCGGTAGACTGGGTCGTTGTTGTGTCGAATTGCACCATGGGAATGCTTTTAAGACCCTGTCGCTTCTTTTATTGGTTGTTACAAGGTTGCGGAGGAAACCTTGTCAAATTCGTCCTACAAAATACTACTCCGCCTGTGCAATTCAAAACAACCTACAAGACCAAGTTTCATGCGCGAGTTAGCAAAAGACAATAAAGATATATAGTCCTGCATATATGTCCTTAAAAACCTCAAATGCCATTAATTTCTTATGTCGGTCATTGAGTAACTTATTTTTTTTTAGATTTAGCATATTTGAGCATTGAAACAGCCTTCTATGTTTCATTTTGTTAATGTCATTCTTCACAATATTTACATTGTAAATGACAGTAGGGAAAGCCGTCCGGGAACCTGTTCAATGGTATTAAAGGTATTTAATTGCGTAGATATAAAATCCAGCGTGATAGCCTTCATCAGGAGCCATTTTCATACAGTGAAACCGCGCCTTACGGCCACCTTGGTAATACGGTTCACTTCGGTATTACAACCACTTTCTTTTCGGCGGTCTGAAAAAACCGCCATACATTTTCTTGTAAAAAAAAAACCCTCGTTTATACGACCATTTTTTTTGACCCATTGGTGACCGTCAAGGGGGTTCCACTGTATTTCAACATCGTTCCCAGTCTTGCTCGGAGTCTTCGCTCGTCAAGCTTGTCGGGGGATTTCTTTTCACGCTCTTGTGCTCTGTTCCAAGCCTCCTCCGCTCACATTCATGATAGCGCGAATTGGCCTGGCAACAAGACTGTTCAAATCTCAAATACTAGTTAATAACTAACCTTGAAACAAGGCTTCATTTTTCTGCACGGACCGCACCAGTCGGCATAGAAGTCGATAACTATTAGCTTGTCTTTGTTTTTTTCACTCCTCAGAAAATTATCATATTCCTCCTGTAGAAACATTAGAAAAAATTACACTTGTAGCTGTGTCGCACACAGCTTGCGTTATGTGTACGCCAACTTCAAGGGTCTCAATGGGGTTGACGGTTATTTTTTCCTCATTTTGATGGCTGGCGGTTAAATTTTAGAGCTTTGGACGGTTGACGGTTATTAATTGGAAATTTAGTGCAAGGGTTTTGGTAAATATTAACTTGTGCATGAATTAACATTAACTGTAGTAAATTGAATTGTCTTGCCCTTTCATTTTTTGAAATTTCGAAATAGTTTCAGATATAAGCAAGTTGCAAGGTCTTTAATGTCTAGAGAGAGTGTTTTTTTGAGAACACTGATGGGAACTGGTTTTGCCGATTTACAGACTCTTCAGGAACCAGAAGTCCGTCCGTGAAGATTAGCCGAAATGGCGAGATTTGAAATACCTCAAAACTTTTTTACGGTTAACACTAATCTGCATTTTTTAAGGTTGACGATAAAAAAATATCTTTTTTGACGAATGACGGTTAAATTTTAGGCCGTTTGACGGCTGACGGTTACTCCTCATTGAGACATTCAACTTCCTATTCTTCGTCAAAATTGAATTAAATTTATAAATCGAGAATAAACTGGGTTTCATGGATTAAGAGTAAGGTAAAAATCTTTGCATCGATTAATGTAAATCCTCAATGATCCTCAATGTACTTGGTGAAACGGCAAACTGATTTTATTCTCCAGTACGGTGAGGGGGTTGCTTGATGTACGTCGATCGGAAGTGTTAATTTTGAACTAAAATTATGCATGTTGGCATTTATGAAATAAACATGTTCATCCATGATCGATCTGATACCAAAAGGTGTACTGTACTACTCTGCTTTTTAAGATGAAATATCTTTGTTCCATCGACTGGGGGGGAGGGGAAGGGGGCTACGCACGCTTCACGGACAGTAAAAAGTAACTGAAATAACGCATCACGGTGATTAAACTCCGTTTTAGTCACGTTTCACGGAAATTGCCGAAGTAAAAGGACAGCATTTCAAGGATTTTAATTTCGTATTTTTATCTTAAACGAAAGTAATAAAAAAAACACACACACACTTAATCCCATATCACGCAAAAAGGCCTTTTCACTCCCTTCTCAAACAATAAAATTACCGCAAATCTGAAATGTAACAATATCACTTAAACTTGTTACGAAACTGTCCACAATTTGAAACTAATTTGAATAATATTTTCCACTAAGGTGTACTTGTATGTCATGCGTGTTCATGGTGTATACGTAAACAGTGTATGTTTGCTGGTGTTTCTGTCAAAATTAGAATAGTAGCATTAGCTAGATTTGACTTGAAAAAAAGTGAAGCTGCCTTATTAAAAGTTATCTACTGAAATTACGTCATTCAAGGAATTTTTAGAACAAAACAGCTATCGATTTTCCAGACTCCGGCGAATCTCGGAATAGTAACTCTAATTTTTCTTTTCGCGTGTAAATAAATTGAGCATAAACTATGATATGTACACCTAATTACGGCTGATAATGTAGATTTTATGAGGAAATAAAAGAACTGCACTCTTAAAGTTAGACTTAAAGTAATGACGAAAACGCCGGGCGCAAGCACGCGAGCGGAATGCCGGAACCGATTTCTTACCAGATCCAGAGAGTTCTATCTTCCTTTTCTCGATGAAAAAAACGCAAATGGTGATATAAAAGCTGTAGATTCAAGTTAATATGGCAAATAGTTTGTTTTTGTGAAGTTAATTTGGGAGTTTGTTATTGTTAAGGATTCTTCGGGCTATAAAACTTACACGAACACAAAGTTTGTTGTGTTCTAAAAGAAAATAAACTGAACAATTTTCCTTACCTTGCTTGCAAACTCATGCATTTTTTCCGAAGATATTTTTTAACCGCTTTGATCCACTAAAATGATGAAATCTGCAAAGAATAGGAAACTTCGCGTGTGTATACAGGTCTGGCGTTTAATACAAGTAAACTTCGGTATTTGCATATCATGGTTGATTGGCTTTCTGTTATTACACCTTATGACGCATGTTTTTATTATTTCCCGAGTTTCCGGGAAACAAACAGTAGCACGCAAAAGTACTGCTTAAACCTTTAAACCCTAAGAGTGATCAGCATCAAATTTCTCGTTGTAATAGCAATGCTTTGTAAAACAGAGTGGTCATGAGAATGAAGGACGTGATCACACAAGATGTGTTTGTTTGGTATTTTATCAACTTCTCCCCACTACTTCTGTAGTAAATGAATAGTTGCGATAAAGGAGAATTTTAATTTTGATCTTACGCTTGAACGATCACACTCTAGGATTTCGTCCACAGACTCAATAGGGAGCTTAAGCAGCGGCACCCAACCTCAATTTTTGGAAAATATTTGAGATCTAGAATTTTTGGAACATTTGTTGTAAAATTTCTTGCTTGCCTGCCTCTCCTAGGATTTTCGAACATCTAAGAATTGGTATAATTACCCATTTTTAACGGATTTTTACCCTAAAAAGGTCACCTAGAATTTTCGGAAGCCTTTTTTCTAGCTGAAATTTTCGAAAAAGTAAATTTTGATCCCTATAATTTTCGGATCACTAGACTTTCAGCTAGGAAATCCGAACAGATAAAAAATTTTTAGGGGATAAAAATATGCCTATATCTACCGTTTAAATACTAAAATACGTTTAACGATGCTGTGTTTAAGTGGGTTTGAACTATATTCTCGTTGGGGGCCCCTGCTTAAGCAACAACGACGACGGCTACGAAAACGTCACTGAAAAAGTGAATTCGCGCTGCTTCCAACCTTAATCGACGCTTATTCCATCTCATTCAATTCGTCAAATTCTGGAGTTGTGTGCTTAAAGACTGTATCAATTTTAAAGTTCAGGAAAAGAAAAAGAAAGCTGTTGCCTTGTGTTCTCGTCCTCCACAAAACGTGAAACTGTTAATTTTCACGTCGAAGTCGTGCAGAGACGGCAAAAAAATGTACAAAAAAGCGTGATGGACGTGCAAAGTTGTTGTTTTGCCAATCTAAACATATTGTTTTTTGCCATTCTTGTTGCCGTCGCCATCGTCGTTGCTTGAGCACCCTATGGGTAACTTTATACAGCGGTTTTATAAACAGCACAATAGGAAGAACTGCTCTGTAGTTAAATTTAAGATTTCATTTGACGGGTCACACTTTAGGATTTCACCTGCGTAGTCAAAATGTAGGACCTGACCTTCAAGTTACATAGCATAATAAACAGTACTACAGAAACGTACAGCCCAGTAACTTTCATATGAATGACATAATTCGATCATTCATTTCATCCACAGCCTGGAAAATTAGAACCACCTTGTAATGTACAGTTTTAAACCTTTTAATAGGAGCGAGGTACTTCAAAATGATTTGGTCACACATTACATATGTTATGGTCAACAAACCCAGCACAACCTCACAACCAGTCCTAACAAGGACAAAATATTTTAAAAGCAACCTCATAGTACTTTCAACAGTCGATTTATGGAGTCGAAATGAAGTATCTCCCTACTATGTAAATATTGAATGGATTCTGGATTCCAGGCCGGGGATTTCGGATTCGATGTTACTGTAACTACTTGGATCCAGATTCCCACCGTCAGCGGGATTCCGGATTCCTTGAGCTGAATTTTGGATTTCCAAAGCCCTTAATTCTGGATTCCACAAGCAAAAATTTGCCGGTCCAGATTGCCGCACATGGGGCGATATGTCTATTTAACAAACTATAGTCATGTTTACAGCACCAGTGCTGCCGGCACGCGCGCCTCGCTTTCCTTTTTTTTCTTTCAAAGTTGACCCGTCAAGTTACTGGCTTTGTTAACAAAAAGATTTATTGTGCGACAACATCGCTCTACTGATTTCATTTGTGGCCGTATTCTGCGTCATGGTTTCCTAGCACGCAATTCAATATTACAAACCAGTGCTATACTCCGAAGTCATAAATTTCCCCTTCGTCGTCACAACACTGTGTAGCATCCTACTTTGTTCATCGATAAAGCTGTCATTAATTTATGTTGCTTCACTAATTTACATAATAATAGCTGTTCCTTATTTTATATTGCTTTACAACACAGGTTGATGTAATCTAAGTTTTTTGTGCAGTCGGCAATTTTTCAGCTTACTCATAGATTTTTACAAGAAATCGTTCCTCCTTTGAAATAAAATACAAAGCTAACTTACGGTGGCAGTTTGAGTAGTAAGAGATCAATATTTTTCGGCATAAAATGAAAAGATTCTCAAAATAAATGTTGTAATCGATGTTTTCAATGATTTACGATAATCGTTGTCTTTCTTGCTTAGATCTGCTTTTATTTTTGTTGTCATAAAATAATTTTTAAATCGCTATTTAATATATATACCGGGTGCCAACCCAAACCCGTTTCAATGCAAGAGATTTTGCAAACAATGTTATTATATTTACGAATAAAATTATCGACTGAATTTTGCAATTTAACCAAAATCTACTGATAGCAAAAGAGCGCTCATTACCGTCGTAAAAAGATCGTTTATAAAATTTAATTCTCGACCAAAAATGAATTTCATTCTACGGAAAGGACAGACTTTCTTCATTACAAAACTGAGGAATGGATACGGCCTCCTCAGCAGAACTGCTGTCAGCACGACGAAAAGAATGTTTTGATTGAATGCATCGAAATAAATTCTCAGCCCTAAAAAACAAGTCCCTGAACGAATTTTAAGTTACTAGGCAGTTCTAGAGCAGCATACTGAAAGAGCCTTACCTTCACGATCGATTTTCGTTCGGTCATGAAACCTTGGTATATTAACGCGGGTTCACTTTACAGCGGACGTGTTGTGCTTCTTAAAGTTTAGACACTCGTGCGGACAGGTGTTTTTGGCGTTAATACCCTTATTTTACAAAAGAATTAATCATTGGTACTCGTATGGCATATAATTATGTATATTCTGAACTAAATACAAACGGTATGCTAATGCCTATATTAGGCTGCCTGTGGATTTAATTCTTAGAGGAAGCACAGAGTTTGGGTAAAATGGAAATTTAAAAAAAAGGGGTATCGCTAACTCGTCGCTGGTATAATAACGATTAAATTCAAACTAAACGTGAATGTTACTTTCTTAGAAAAACAAATAACCTTTCACAAATGCGGGTGTTTAAAATAGTACAGTAAGTTTTTTCCGCTAAGAGAGTTGGGATTTGCCGTCATCGACTCTGATGGTGAAGGGAGAATTAAACTCGCTGAGTGGTTGGGGAATCTTTCAATTATCCCAGATAACCGTAATTGTATTAATACAGTTAATAGACCGGTTTATAGTCAATGCGCCGTAATATGATTTTAGGACGTTGTTGAGAGTATGGTTTTAGTTTCTCTGAACGACTGTGCAAAGACTTCAAGGTAAAACAGACTTCTAGACACGCAACCTTTGATAACATTATCAGTGAAAACTTTGATTGAAAGGAGGAAAAAAACGGTTCTCTTGACGAAGCCAGTTTTTTTATCCTTCGGCAAGGATTTCCTTTATTTTTAAATGACCTTAAATGAGCATGTTTGGATTCATAACTTAAAAAGTAAATAGAAGAAAAGAAAAAATTGTGATTCTCTAATCTGTCAGAGTTTATGCTTCTGGTTCTAGTTTTAAAGTAGCTGTTAAAATTTGTGTGATATATATCACAACCATACCTTTGACGGTCGTTCTGCGTTCTTGACTGTCTTGTAGCACTAATTTTCTCACACGAAAGGTTTGATTAATGATTTTGATTAATGATTCTTTGCACATGTAAGTGATGTATGTACTTATTAATTGACAATTCTTGAGAATAAACACCACCTGCATTCATTTAGTCCGCCGGACGTTATATTAAAAAGACGTCCTTACATAACGCTGCATCACAAGACAAAAAAGTAATCAATTCGCAAAAGATGTTTCAGGATTTGGATGTGACGTAACTTAATGATGGATAACGTAAAGAAATGATCTTCGCGGTTGTGAGCGCAATGGTCATTTACGCGATCGCACACACCGAGAAAAAAAATCGTACGATAGGCCTAATATATTAATTGAATTAACGACATAAAACTTAGATATATATCAGTTCATTGTATGATCCGATTTCCATCTATTTAACTCCATAATTTTCTTTTCCTTTTTTATATAGTGGAGTTCTCCCTCGCGCGCGCAATGACGTTACGACCAACTTTTCATGATCGTGGATGAGAAATGTGCTTACTAGTACAAAGTCCAAGGCATATGCAAATTGTGTTGAACTTCATATTCGAGTATCCGTTGACCAATGTCGCATAACCGTATGGCACGCTCATTTGTACAATTCCTTGAAGCGACGGTTGGTAAAAGTTCTCCGCTGACCAGTTATTGTGTTCAAGTGATCACAGGCTCAGAAAACTTTAGTTGTGGAAGAAAGTTACCACGAGAGCTTCGCTTTTCCCACTAACGAGCTATGTGGGGTGTGAAGGGCATAAAACTCGTTAAACCTGGCACGTGTTTTTGTCTTAACAATTCCTTTTCAGATGCTATCCCTTACTGAATGTAACTGCGAAAAATGAACAAGAGAATCTCCCCATCCTGATTTCTCACAGTTCTTTTTCTTCTTCCACGCAGCTTAGTGGTTGAACTGGTGTTACGTCCACTATTGTAAAATTAAGCTTCTTAAGCTTAAATTGCATATGATCTTACGTTGAGTAATACATTTGCTATTTTCGTCGAAGAACGCAAAGGCTCTTCTTTAAGTTCAATTTGGGAAGCAAGGGCCAACGTTACAAGATAGAAAGGCCGGATCCTTATATTTAAAAGGATCTAATCAGTTATAAATTAAAATATCGACCAAAAAAAATCAAGGCTGATTTTACTGTCGGGAATGCATGTTTTGTTGCTAATATTTCGGAAGGCATAGCCTGCAGTGCAGGCGTTTTCCTCGGGCAAATTCAAGCGCTATGTTGTAACTCCCAAAAAGAGGAGGAAATGGGGCGAGTCAAAGGAAGCGGGGGAGGCGGCGGGGAGAGAGAAGAGCACATTTTTTTTCTCCCCTCCTCCTTTCCTTTTTTTGCCCTAGCTCCTACCCTCTTCAATCTTCATCTGTCATAAAATCAAAGGTGGCGGATACAAGAATATGAACATAAACAAGCACCTATTTCGCCTGCCCAAAATACGCCTGTACTGCAGGCTACGAAAGGCACGGCCTCTTCTGCAGGGTCTTGAAGAAGACCTTGATGACTGTCAACTAGGACTAGAGCAAGCAACTGTGCAAAGGTGACGTAGAGTGGGTAGTAGGTCTCCCCTTTTATAAATGAAGGCCAAACACGATGATTGTTAGAAATTAGAGGGAAAGACTTTCGCAAAGACCTCTGGGATTGTGACCAGGAACGCGGGAAAAAATTAACCAATAGCTGACCGGCGCGTCCCCAGTAACGATCCCAGATAACTAACTCGTCCCAGTTTCTTTCTCGTTTGAAAAGTGGTGAATATGGGACAAGATCGGAGACATTGAGTTGTTACCCGCTCAAAGAACTTTCCAAAGCGAATGACGAATGTCGAAACCGTTCATTCGATTTTTTTAATTAGCCGTCGAATGATGTCGTTCCCTACTTGAGTCAAGAAGCAAGAATTAAGTAGTTAACAGGAGCTAGGAGAAGTTAAGTAGTTTGAACATATAGAAAGTGCAACGCTGCTAAAACTCGTCAAAAGAAGGAAATTCAGGAGGGAAGAATATTGGGGAAGACACTTCGCCCTTTGCATGCTGCTGAGTCCTATTTTGTTGTTCAAACCCCTCCCTTCCTTGGATAATGTTGCCTTCTTAAATATAAATGCCTAGGGGCACTGACTACTCTTGCATCAAGAATACGATCATTCTTTCCCTTTTTGGCGGGGGGGGAATGGTACAAGGTGGGAGTAGAGGTGGGAGGGGGTAGGGATCCACAACGCCCCGTGTATTGAACCTGAGCAGACGCCTAAGGAGGCAGTCTTTAGAGATTAATAAATTATACGTTGTTTCAATCTTTATCTTGTGCGACCAGCGCTTTTGTGAAGTGCATTGCAACTTAATCGTAATGAAGTGGTTGTACTTCTTTCTATAAGACTAGTTTTTTAGTCCCTTGCTTGCAAGGAAGGCATCCTGGTTGGGTTCTCGGCTAAGAAAATTCTTGAGCATTTCAGAGGCGTCCTAAAAAAGAAAGAAGAGATTCAGAAGAAAAGGGGAGGGACGGAGAAAGGGAAGAGGGAATGCGGACACGCGAGAGCACGAGGGGGTTTCCTTTCTCCCACCGTGATCTCGCACGTCCGAATTCCCCCTTCCCCTCCCCCTTTAAACTCCCAAAAAACGTATTTTCACACCACGTTATAAGCACCACGTTTGACCGCGATTTAGAGCCACCACCACGTCTATTTTTTTTAAGGAGGACCACGTTTGACCGCGATTTATCCACCGGATAAGTAATAGGGACACCAATTGCGCTATCTGCTGGATAGAATTTTTTTTTCCACCGGATTTGCGCTATTGGATAGGGAGGATAGCGCTATCCACCGGATAAGTAATACGGAGTTTTCCACAGATTTAACCAGTGGATAGCCCCGGATAAGTTACGGTTCAAACGCTATCCACTGGATAGAGATTTAACCAGTGGATAGCGCTATCCACCGGATAAGTAATAGGGACACCAATTGTGCTATCTACTGGATAGAGATTTAACCAGTGGATAGCGCTATCCACCGGATCTACTGGATAGAGATTTAACCAGTGGAGAGCGTTCTCATCCTTCTGAACAACTGAAGCCAGGCCTTTACGCCTTCTGTGCAGATATACGCGATGTTGCTATCGATCATCCGTTAAAGTCCGTTTCAACGAACAGCCCTACTAGCATCAAGTCGGTATTACGTAATTTTTGTCCATTAGTTTTCAGAGTGTTTTTTAATCTTCAAGTTGTAGAAGAACCGATCTTAACTCACCAGTGTTCCGCCAGGCTGCAAGATGAACTTTCTGTAGTCCAGTCCAACTATAGGATTCATTATTCCTTCTTTTTTAAACCGCGTGTGGAACATGTCCATCGAGAACACTTCACTCCACTGTCAAACAGAACACATTTGAAAATGACTGAAAATTCTATCCACTCAACTCGAGACATAAGTCGAAAACTCGCGTTCCTAATCAGTCGATCTCGAGGTTTAAGTCTGGAACCCTCATTACTTGCTACCCCCCCCCGCCCCATTTTTCTGTCGATCATTTAAGAGAGAGGAAACAGTTAGCAAACAATTCGAAAGTCGTCAAAATTATTGCGGCAAAAGACGTTTTGAAGTCATATTTAGAAGTTCCAAAGAATCGATAGGATCCCACGCCTTAATTGACAGAAACAAAATATGTCTTAGTTGGTTATGCAAATCCTAAGCTATCATGAAATACTTTTCGCACTCCAACTGAAATCAACTTCACGAAGATGGCATTGCTTTCCTAGATACAGCAGGAATTGAAAATATTCTTCCCAGATAATCGTTCCAGATATCCGTAGTATTGTGCATAATCTTACCAGGTATCTGTAGTACTGTGAATAATCTTACCAGATATCCGTAGTATTGTGCATCATATCCTCCAGCGAGATGACCAAATGAGGCTGGCATGTTGGTTCCTGGAAATTTAATTGTACGTCAGTTATTTGAGATGAATGCAATACTCTCCACAAAGCCAAGTCAGCCTTCACAATAGAGAACCTAGGAGACTTGACTCTTCCCTCTACGCCTGTGAAAAGTTGACGCGGGTGTTGAACTAATAGTTCAGTTTCGAGTTCGCTATGACCGCTGAATTAAAGAACTGAAGACGCATATTTTACAGCCTTAGCCTCCATCTGAAGACATACAATGTATATTCACAAATATCAACAAGAAAAAGACCTGTTTATTACTCTGTCTATTTTGTATATTCATTTTATTCAAACACTTACTTACGTCGGAGTTTCTGAATATTTTACTTTACGTCGAGGCTAACCCTGTATGAATGTGTCGTTAATGTTTGTCTTCAGCAATAATTTTTAATTCGAAACTAGACTATTAACCTGTTTAGAAGTGTGACTTGATGCTCGCATTCCAAGATTACTCGCCGGCTAAAATATTACAACAAACTGACACCTCTCTAAACCGGACAACCTTTTGCCGTTTTTCAGTCATTCTTAGCGATTCTGATATCCTTCCCAACAACAAACTAAAACTGAGCAGGTGTCAAGACTGATTGAGATTTCTTTTTTTGAATCGCGGACCAGAACAAAAGCAAATACCGCATATTGAAAAACAAACAAATAGTTACGAGACTATTTAAGCTTCTAAACCATTTTAAGTCCCAAGTGATCAACAACATTTTACTCCTTACTTTACCAATATTTAATTATAAGATTGGAGTATATTAATTAACAAAATCATCACCTGAGGTAAAATGCTTTGATCTTCAAACAAATTCTCTCCACCACTTCTTTAAGGTAATGTATGAAGATCGATCTGGAGAATTTGTTTGTGGATATTGGGTTTTAAAGGGTTAAGCACTAACGCCTCTTGCGATTCAAGAGCATTAACCAACCTGGAGTGGATGGGATACGAAGAATTTCGCTTGAGAGCTTAGAAAAGATCTCTGCAGTGTTAGCCTGTTCACACGAAAAAGATGATAAAATTATTAGACTGGTTAAACTAGTTTAAAGCGCAGTTCTATTCACGGTGTAAAATAGGAAGTAATTGGATCGAGATCAAGGCACAAAAACAAAAGGATTGCAGCGTGCAAAGAAAGTAGTGTCCGATAGCCCGGGGCTAGTGGATTTTGCTATCGGGCTAGTGAATTCTGTTTTTAACTTACCCGACGGGCAAGTGATGTTTTTTGAGGAATTCGAATAACAGAAAAACTGTGAAAACTGTTCTGTTACTCAAAAAGTTTTTGAGGCTAGTTGAAATGACGTCTGGGCTAGTAAATGCCGGCTTCAGCTTGCCCGAATGGCAAGCTGTAAAAACGATTTTCTTTGCACCCTGGATTGATAACCACTTAGTACCAAAATCTTGAAAAACGTTTGGAACCTTTTACGTTTGTCACGGTCGAAACTTGTTTACCTCATAAAGCTGTCTGCTGTTATTCGCGAGTCGACCAGGTAGTTAGGAAACACAAAAACACGATGGCTAGAACTTACTTAAACCCGATCAAAAAACCTCATTTTATAATTCAGTGTTTATCACAGATATCAATTTTACAAAAGTTGATTTAGGGTGCGTTCCTTTCGGTGAATCCAAAAACGGATTTTAGATCTAAGAACGGATTTCGCGTTCCTTTCGGCAAATCCAAATCCGGATTTTTGATCTGGTGAATCCTTTTTGAAAAAGGATTCATTGGATTTGAAATCCGAAGAATCCAAATCCAGATTAACGGATTAGTGATCTACGCTGTTCCATTCACAGTGGATCCGAAATTAGTCAGATGATCCAGCGGTATTTCCAGTTGAAGTATTCCCATAGAGGTCGTAGAGTTTCCTCGTTGCTGTCATTTGCCGCAAAACATCTGAAAACACTAGAAGATTGTTCCAGGTACATTAAAATATCCATATACTAACCACTTGTCTCTAAAGATGGCTTGAAATCAGAAATAAGTAAAAGTAACAAATGAACTGCTATCTAATTACAAACTCGCTTGTAGACGCGACAGGCACTCGATCGTGCTACATAAAAAAATCTGAGCTATGGAACTGGATCAAACTGGCCGACATTCTTTAGATAATTTTCAATTTTAATGCGCTTCTTTCTTTGTCTGTTTTATATTTTCCATCGTCGCTATTCGAACTGCCGACCACTAAATTCTGCACGGTATAATCGCATAATTTGTCAAACAGTAGAAAACACGTCATTTTTTGGGAGGATGTCGTGCATACTACACGCTTTGGCGAAAGGTTACCAAGGTTACAAATCCAATTTCGGATTTCGCGTTCCTTTCGACCGCGAAATCTGGCAAATCTAGGATCAAAAATCCGTTTTTGGATTCGCCGAAAGGAACACACCCTTAATTTAATGTTTTGCCGGTGTGAATGGGGCCTTCATATTCGCATATTACTCAGCCGTTCTCTACAAATTAAAGCACATCGTCAGAAGGGCAAGATGTTGTAAACTTTTAAAATCTTCTTACGAATTCACACCTACGATTATTCAGCCTTACAAGAAAAAAATAAATGGAAAATATTTCTTTTTTTCAAGTGACGTTTTCCTTGCGGCCCTCGCCTTTGTAGTTGATTAGCGTTCCTAATGACTAAGCTCATGTACAGCTGCAGATACACTAGACAAGAGTTAAATGGCCGGTTTTCAAGAAGCCTACTAAGAATAAAGGACAAAACAAGAAGAACTTTACCTTGGCTTGAGTATGAATCGTTTGATCAAATGTCGCTAGTAGAATCTACAGAGGAAGAAAGCGGAGTAGGTTTTTGAGTCAGAGAGGAACGTGTTATGAGCAAGCTTTGAGTTGCGTACAGTGTTGTTCTTATCTGTTCAAGATGGTTCTAACCCTTAAGACTGATTTAATCGGGCCTGAAGAGTTACATTTTAAACCTATTAAGTTGCTGAGTAGCATTTTCCTGTGGTGCTGTTTCTCATGATGTAAAAAATGTTTCTGTTTATCACTTTGTACAAGATGGTTGTAAATACAGTGTCTGTGAATAAAAAAACGCTAAGTGTAACCATTCAAATGAAAGCTACTGGGCAGTACTTTCCCGTGGTACTGTTTCTTACGCTGTACGAAGGTGTTCTTATTGCCATTCAAACAAAATCCACTGAGCAGTACTTTCCTGTGGTACTGTTTATTATGCTGTACACGGTGGTTCTTATAGCCATTCAAATGAAAGCTACTGAGCTGTACTTTCCAATGGTACTGTTTACTATGCAGTACAAGGTAGTTTTTATAGCCAATCAAATGAGAGCTACTGAGCAGTACTTTCCTGTGGTACTGTTTATTACGTTGTAACAGGTGGTTCTAACTTTTAGAGTATAAAAGTGTAGCGACTCAAGTGAGAGCTACTGAGCGGTACTTTCTGCTTGGTAATGTGCGACATGCGCTGTACAATGAACTTACTTCCGAGCGTGAAAAAGGGGAACGCAGAGGATTGGCTTTCCAGCTGACATGAAAACAACAAAGAAATTAAAATCGAGGGACTGTTTTCTTACTTGTCGCAGATTGAAAACTCCCGTATTAGCATTACGTGACGCTATGAGCTTCTCAAGCATTTCATCAGTAAGAGCACTAGAATCTGCAACAGAAAAATTATAACGACATTTATAAAACTAATAGCGAGGGCAACTACAGTAAAAAACAGCCAGTAAGAACCTGCATTCTCCTAAGTTAGCCTAAACAGGTTCTTACATAAATGGTAATTAGCACAAATTGAGTCTATTTAGGTTCTTAAATAGGTTCACATTTTCAAATGGAAAAAAATACAATGTAGCCAAGAATATTATTTAGTAAAATTCAGCTTCTTCCTCATATAAATAAGTGATAGGGCACCTCCAAAGAGGATTCTGAATGTTGACTTATCTTATTTGCCCAAGTGTAGAGAATTTTTTTTTAAAACAAGAACCTGTTTTAAATATTAGGCCAAATAGGTTCTTACCCAGTGAAAGAGAGGTCCTAACTGGCCAATTTTAACCCAACAGGTTCTTAAAAAACAAGTTCTTACTTGCGGGTTTTTACTGTATTCTGGTGCAAAAAGAAAATAATCCTCTGTAAGAAGAAAACTCTGCTCTCTTCTGTATGTTGTATTCAGACTCACTGAATTATCGCACCTTTGTAATGGGCTGACATGCGATGAAGAGGTTCTTTCTCCCAGCACCAGTTTTCCAACATTTGAGAAGGGGCTTCGACAAAGTCTCTTTCCACATGAGTTCCACTGTAACAACGAAACATTGTCAAGATTAAACCGTGCGAAGATCACATAAACACAAAAAACCGAATTTTTGCTGCACAAAGTAGCTAGTATGTAACTAGTATGTACCGTAACGTCAACTGTTGAGTACAGACACATACCACTTACCTAAACAAGGCAAAATTCGTTTTTGCACATATCTGGTGCATCACGTGACCAAATTCATGAAAGAAAGTCTCCACCTTTAAAACAGCAACAAAAAAAGTATTAAGAAGTAAAAAATGGTCAGATGTTATATCACTGTTTTTACCAAACCGAGCAATTTTAGAAATTCCTCAAAAAACTCAGGTAATCCACCGTTTCAAAATCAGAAAGAGCTGACTTTTCATTTTTCTAACCACGATTAAACATCGTTTGAAATAAATGGCTCTTGGTTTGTATAAATATGCACATCGATGTCAACTTTTGAAAAGTAATGTTAGTAAACTGATCGCCTCACGTTTTCCTTTGCTCGCCTGAAAACCACGAAAAAATAATGCCTTTTCAGCGGACTAGTCGCTCCATGTAGGTAATCCAAGACAGTCTTGGATTGTGGATTCCACGCTGTGGATTCAGGATTCTGTGTCAGTGGAACCGAGAACTTGGAATTCTGGATTCCACAAGCAAATATTTCCCAGATTCTGGAATCCGGACTTGCTTACATGGGGTAAGACTAGGATGGATAAAGAGAAAATGGCACAAAGTATTTTGTCTAGCAAGACGACGGACTTGTTCAGCCAAGGTTCAAGTCATAATGCTTAAATCTGTAACAAGCTTGGCGTCGGTAACTAAAGGCAAGCGATACTAACGAGCACCTACCTCTTGGTGGGTCAGCAACGATGGGTGGTCGGCAGTTGCTCTAGTGAAGTTAGCTACCATGGCAGCAACAGACAGCTACAAAACAACCAAAGAAAGTACATTGAACCACTATAAATTATAATGCGTTTAGTCGAAAACCAGCTGCTCCCAAATGAACCCATTTCCAAATCAAGAAACTGCAGAAAACCAGCAAGACAGACCCCCGTTTTTACAGTTCAATTCTGCCATGCACGTACATGATAAAAGACCTTCTTTGGCTGACTTTGAACAACTGAAATTTTACACTACGGTATGGATACACATCATGTTTGTTTCTGGTACACTTGGACCTTTCATTGTAGAGACCTCTATAATAAAGACACCTCGCTTTTAGACAGTTCTTTAACCCATTTGCTCCTGCAGATTTTGCCGAAAAACGCGTTTTGAAGCTAGTCAAGTGGTTTTCTGGTCACTGTCGTGCTATAAAGAGCTAAAACTTACCACAAACCGGTTTACAGGTCGAACACTTCGCGGCCTTCTGATCCAGATGCAAAATATGAGCTTGCGAAGTTCGGGCATGCGCAGAAAGCAAAATTTCGAGTTTTTGGATTTAAAAGTGACACAGCAGTCTTGACTTTTACTTTTCGCTTTCTCTCCTCCCTTCTTTTTTCGCTTTTCTTGCCTCATTTTTTTTTTCTCTTGCTGGGCATTTAGTAGGCTTCATTTTGGTGGGAAGAGTTTTTAGGAAAGCTTTTAGGATCTTAGGATTAGGTGAAAGGAAAGGTAGGTGGGTAATGGAACAAGATTTTCATGGAGATTTTCAGGTCAATGTCACGTGGTTTTTTGCTTCTTTCTCCGGTGTCCTTGACTGAATTGTGCTCATTCTGGTAAGGTTTGAAAGATCTCTTCACTTTGCACAAGTTAGCGAAGAAAGTTGTCCTTGACCGTTAAAACTGATGACGTCACAATGGGTAGAAAGGACCTGGATCTGCACGGGCGGTTACGGGCGGTTCAGGGGCGAATGGGTTAAGTCTATACATTTCTACGGCTACAATATGGACAACACGTCTAAAACTTCCACTCAGTGAAACCTCTTTCATATGGATACCCTTGTGTTGTCCATATTTGAAGTCACAAAAACGATTTCCAGACATACCTGTCTTGTTCCATCAGCCAACAAACATCCAGGCTAAACAAATAATAAGGATAATAATAATAATAACAAAATGGTTAGTCCTTTTCTACAAAAATGTAACTATGCCACTCTTGCTCCCCAGGTTGGGTTTGGGTTCAAATTGCAGCAGACAGCATTGCATTGCCAACAACCTTGTGGAGGGTTATTTAATCTCTTATACCCCGTGATTACCATGGGCTTTTTTCTCGCCTGGCAGGATTCTTTGGCCAACCGGACATGAAAAGTCTCTGGCACCCAAAGTACATCACTCGCTAAACTTCAGAATACCTGACTCACCCAAGTCATCTCGCAGTTTCCTAATGATAAAAAACAGGAGAAGCGCAGGGGAGAGCGAGGACTGATATCAACCCTTGTGCTCCCTTTGGTCACGAGCATTATCCTAATAGAGACTACTGGGATGAGTCAGAAAATATGCAGTCACTTTATACATCTTTAAAACTGCACCCACAGTCTGAGATTAGAAATATTTGAGTTTTTGATCTGGAGTTGCTATCACTTTTTCCCGACTTGACTGTTACTTTACTTTAAGTTGCAAAGAAATGATCAATATGTGTTTCTATTCACCTGCAATCCGAAGCAAGCTGCATGACCGAATTTGCCTTCTCTCGGAAACAGATCGAGGTAGAAATAACCTATGACATCACCAGATGCCACATCTTTAACACTAAACTACAAATTAAGTAAAGAAGACTTTAATCAGCCAAACGACTATAAGCTTGTAAAAGTGTAAGTTCATATACATGTATTACAACCCAGAAGGATTATTCTCTATATGTTTCTTAGCCTGCGTAGCATGGTGGTTTTGGTTGGGCCACAAAGTAATAAAGGCGGGTGATGGCAGAGAAACTGCGAGGAGATTGGGGCGGGTGCCACTCAGTTATGTGTCCGGCAAAACCGCCATGCTACACAGGCTATACTTTTCTGTACAGGGTATTTGTCAACAAAACTCTAAAACCCTCAAGCACTGATAACAATAATTTATTATACCAGGCCAAAAATGTTTACCTACATTTGGCAACCCTCCCTTTGACAAGCTGCAGAAATCTGCATCGTTTGCCACCCTTAATCCCAAATCTCTACTTCTTGACGTCTTTTGTAACCTCTTCATTCCCTAAATAAATTCATTGTGCCACATACCAGACCAAAAAAATTCCCCTAAACCACTTTCCCTGATGTTGCATTTCATATACTTTCCTTCACCTTTTTTTTGAATGCCATCAGTAATACGTTATTCTCTCTTCCACATTTTTTGTGATGTTTTGAAGAGATCCCTTTTTTTGCGCAGAAATTAAAGAAGCAGTCCTGTTTATCTTTTTTTATACTTCAATATCAAACAAATTTGCACTTACCATCTGAATGTCCTTGTGCCACACATGAGGGTTTTGAATTTCCTCAAAACGTAGACCTAATAGCTCCTACGAAAAATATTTTTTTTATAACGATGATTCTTCCGTCACAAAAAAATGCGATAATTATTTTAAAGCACATATAAGTTGCTGTATGCAGAAGAGAACACAATAACAATCTCTTTAAAATGTTATACAAAATTCAAAAGTCAAGAAAAAAAAAGTACCTGATAGATATCCAGTAGGCCTATGGGGGAAAAAGGAAGAAATATTCAATAGAGCGCATTTTTTAAAAAATTGCAGGAGTTTGAGAAAAACACCAAATCTTCTGTGGAGACAGGGGTTCAGAGTGGCACAGGACACACCCCACCTCTGTCCTACTCTTCATCTTTTTCTAATTTTTCTGTGAGACTGTCAATTGGCGCGTTGAAAAGGCAGCAGAAACTGGAAAAGTACAAACTACCTTAAGGGAATGAGCCTGTAAGTTTATCACCCTTCCGAGTTTTTGTGGTGTTTCGAGCTTGGGGATTGACCTCAACAACAACCATAAAATAATGTGGTAGACTATCAATTGTCTACCCCCCTTCCCCTCCCACAACTACATCGCCTGTCATCCTGGCCTCCACAGGCACTCTGCACTCCTCCAGATTTTCTTCGCCACATGAAACCAACAATCACTCTCCACACTCTCCACAATCCCAAGAGAAAAAAACTGTCAACAATCTAGGAACTATGCTGCTTCAGCCATACATACCTTTGGTAACTATATGTAGAGGGAAATACTCCTTCAGCTTATTCTGATCCACTGCGTATTTTTTCTCTTCCACCATGGTCATGTAATAGCGCATATCCCAGTAGTTGATTTTGCCATCATATTCATGCCCTAACTCTTTGCACTACAAGAAAAAGCCACAAAAGGAAAGAGATGAGAACTGGGGAATGAGGATGCTAAAAATAACCTCACTAGTGTCGTACCTGGAAGATTCACAATTTATTAACCCATTCGCTCCTGGAGATTTTGCCGAAAAACGTGTTTTGAAGCTAGTCGAGTGGTTTTCTGGTCACTGTTGTGCTATAAAGAGCTAAAACTTACCACAAACCGGTTTACAGGTCGTACACTTGGCGGCCTTCTGATCCAGATGCAAAATATGAGCTTGCGAAGTTCGGGTATGCGCAGAAAGCAAAATTTCGACATAGTTTTTGGGTTTAAAAGTGACACAGCAGTCTTGACTTTTACTTTTCGCTTTCTCTCCTCCCTTCTTTTTTCGCTTTTCTTGCCTCATTTTTTTTTCTCTTGCTGGGCATTTAGTAGGCTTCATTTTGGTGGGAAGAGTTTTTAGGAAAGCTTTTAGGATCTTAGGATTAGGTGAAAGGAAAGGTAGGTGGGTAATGGAACAAGATTTTCATGGAGATTTTCAGGTCCTTGTCACGTGGTTTTTTGCTTCTTTCTCCGGCGTCCTTGACTGAATTGTGCTCATTCTGGTATGGTTTGAAAGATCTCTTCACTCTGCACAAGTTAGCGAAGAAAGTTGTCCTTGACCGTTGAAACTGATGACGTCACAAAGGGTAGAAAGGACCTGGATCCGCACGGGCGGTTATGGGCGGTTCAGGGGCGAATGGGTTAATATATAAAAACCAATAAATTACCAGGTGAGCTTTCGTGTGAAAACATGATAACTTGACTCACGACAATAACATGCTAAGTTCACATGTGAAAGAATCACCACTGTTAAGGTTATGTAATAAAGTGATACGGTTTTGTGTTCATTAGTGTGTGTATTTTTAATATAACATTACATGGCCACTTGGAGATAAGAAATTTCTCTTCTCATGTTGAAGAATACTTCCAAATGGGGTTATTTGCTTTTCAGCATTTTAAGAAAATAAAATTTGCAAATTTTGCTGAGTTTTGCCCAATGGCGTTGTTGAGAGTGAATGGTTTAATTGGGTTAACATGTGCATATATACCTCAGCTTCTTTCAAACTTAGCATTTCTGCCAAATCTGCATCCCCAAGGGGTCTCAACTTGCTGCACAACTCTGACAGAAAACTGGAAACTGCCTCAGCTGTTTTAGACATCCGCAACTAAAATAAACAGATGGAAAAGCATATTAATATTCTACCCAGTGACAGAATCAGAAAAAAAGGTGGCCAGTTCCACCCCCCTCATTACTCAAAATGTTGAGATGTAAAATTAATTCTTATAGATGAACACAACTTTCATATATCACTTTATTTTCTGTTTTCAAATTTTGTTCTGTACAAAGGTTTTCCAATTTGAAATGATGAGAGAATCTCAAACAGCTTAGCATCTATCCTTTTCTCTTGGAGGCATGTGTGGCTGAACAGGTAACACGTCAAACTCCAGACCTGAAGGTCTGGGATTCAAGCCTCACCTATTGTGTTGTTTTCTTAGACAAGGAGCTTTACCCCACTTTGTTGCTCTTCTACCAGGTATTTAAATGGGTACCGGTGACATGCTGATGGGGACTAGTGCTAACCCTGCAATGGACTAGCATCCTGTCCAAGTGGCAGGGGGAGTAGCAATACTCCTAGTCATGCTTCATACTAAGGAAACCGGGATAAGCTCCGGCCGTTTGGGCCTTTGGCTTGTGGTTGCCTATACCTTAATTTATCTTTTTTCCTCTTGAATTTAGCAAATGATAGCTATTTGTTCTTGTTTAATCGATAAATATTGTACACGTCGGTACAACAAGAGTACTGAAATACCTCAGTGATGTAGCTTGCATGTGTGGGATAGCCAAGTAAATCTGCCATCTACATCATAAAAATAGTACAAAAGCCATTAATGTTTTAAAAAATTTTGAAAACAAATTTAATAAAGTTTCTTTGCGCACTGCAAATGACAACACAAATATTGACAGAGATAAAGCCGGCAGGAAGGTAAAAAAGGGATTTGAGTTTGAAACTTTGAACAAAAAATGGATTGCAACAACTTAAATATTTCATTATTAACATGTAGTAAACAAAATTTCATTCACCTTTCATTGTTTATATAAGCAACAATTTGTCGCATACTTCTAGCTAGGGTATATAACATGGAGTGTGTATTTTAAAATAATATAAATTACATAATAATTTCATTTTAATATTATTATTATTATTATTATTATTATTATTATGCCTGCAGACTGTACCTTTTTTCTAAGTTCTACAAGTTCTTCTAAAATTGGAGTGTTTTCCTGAATGCACCTAGAAAAGAAATGAATAAAAAAATCTTGATAAACAAGTCTGTCTGAGCCCGTTTAAACCATGCTAGTTCACTATCTATGAGAGGAATACATGTACACGCCTTGGTCGAACAGAGAGGCTTGGCTAAGTCAGTCAATAAAGACAATCTCATTCAAGCAGCAACAAGCAATGATTATCATTATAATTATCATATCATTATCATTATCAGTGTTAGTATATTTCCAAGTATTTCCCAGGAATTACAAGGAAAGTGCAAATCCCTGTTGTTTGAAGCACAGCAACAGAGCATAACAAACTACATACCTCCGGTTGAATGCATATTCTATTCTTTGCCTGGTTTTTGGATTGGATGCTTTTCTTGTTATGGGAAAGTAGTGAGGATACTTCAGTGTGACTTTGTTCAAGCCAGCATCAGTCTAAATAAAAACAATAAATAGATGTCAGTCACTGGAGTATGGTAGAAGAAAAATCACATTCAGCCATTGAATTGTTATATGCTTCACTTCAAAGCCAACATAATAAATTTAGGCCCTTTGAAAGAAAAAATCACATTCAGCCAATGAATAATTTGTTATATGCTTCACAAAATTGCCAGGCCCTTTGCATCTAAAGCAAAAAACGCTGGAGAGCAAAAGTTGCACTGGGACAAGACAAACAAAAGACATACATAATTTTAAATGGTAATTTTCTTTGTTTGTCTTGACCCAGCGTGACTTTTGCTCTCCAGTATGGTGGTTTTGTACCACATGAATGGCTAGCTGCAAAGGACCTATCATAGTCAAGCAAGATAAATGATAATGACATTTTACAACAACCTTTGTAAACATCATTTTCTGGCAGATGCTGAAGAATCACAGGCCACTTCCATTTTTTTTGAATTGATAACAAGTGATATGATTGTATCAGATACATCTACAATATTACTGTCAGTACCTTTTCGAGACTGTTGATAAAATCCTCTTGCATACCAGCTAAACACAGGAATAATAAAAAGTTAAAAATTAAATGGAGTTTGATGGTTGAGTATTAGTGATAGCGAAAAGGGTAAATACATGTACAATGTAAAACAAAAGGGCAAAAAGAAATGATGACCAGAAATAAAGAAAACAAAGGGAAAATGCCAAGAGTTACTCTGGATATAATGTTAAACCCAACAAAAATAGATGAGTTTGGGAGTTGAAGTCGGAGGAGCTGGAGAGCAACAAGGCATGGGCAAGAGGTATCCATAGCAACCAACAGTAGACAGCCACCACCAAAGGCATTGAACATTCACACTGAACGGCCTGGTTGGTGGAATACTTACCACACCCAACACTTACAAAAAGGGAGGCGAGGGAAAATGCTAGGAATTTTTGCAGGCAAAATGACCCATTTGATACAAGTCAACCACTAGCAAGCACGGAGAGGCAATGTTAAACTGGAATTGTCATGATATTAACTACATTTTTGAAGCAGTTCTAACTTTTAACCCTTGATACATATGTACAATTTATTGTTATTTGCCCACAGAGAAACTTACCTAATTCTTCATTGGTAAATTCTAAGATAGTGTTCTCCTCATTCAAATTTTTGTTAAAATCAATTTCCAGACTGCTCATACGAGATTTGATTGCCTTGATTTCTTTTTGAACTTCTTCTGGTAAATGAAGACCTGGCAGATACAACAAAACAAATCAATGACACATGCACATGCCAGGTTGATTGCTAATCATTTTCCAACTCTCCAGTCTTCAAAACTGAAAGTTCTAAATTTTCTAGCTTATGGATAATACATTTACATTAAGAAACTCGATGTATAGTATTTCAGCGAGATACACAGTACATACCATTTCTTTTACCCAGTTTGATTAACCTCTCCAAAACTCGAGAAGCCTCAGGTGACAGAGGCCCTATATTTCTCTCCTATGGATAAAAACAGTACATGAACTTACAATGTACATGCATGATTAACCCTTTAAACCCTAAGATCAAAATTGAGATTCTCATTTACTGTCCCTATACTTTTTCAATAGAAGTAGTGGGAAGAATAATTTTTGATAATGATGACATGGAATCATCGAGACATCCCGGGTGAAACTTTCAATTTAACAATAGTAGTATGAGAAAAAGGACCAATGACATGGGATAGTACCTCTGATCTGTAAGCAGTTAAAAAAAACCCTAGTCATGGATCAGTAGTCAGCAAAAGAGTGGTTTAGTCAGCCTCTAGAGACTTTGCGTCACTGGTTTGAAATAGAGCAGCTGTATCGGGGAACGACTAAATTTTGGTCAGAAAACACAAAACAACTAATAATAACATTTGATAAAACCTACCTTGAAAGCCACAAGATTGTCAAACACATCCTTTCTCATACTGAAAATGAGGGAAGATTAAATGCAACGTCAGATAATTTCCTTATGATTAAATTTTGTACAGTGTATAGGTTCTGTTCAGTTTCTGTTCAGTTTCTTTTTTTCCATTTGTTTAAGTGCGCAATGTACTGCTATACACAGAGATGAGGGAAAATACAAATCAAGAACAAAACAAAAAAAATAAATTAAACCATTATCACACAGAGGTATAATATGCACTGATATGATTTCATTAGCAGACAAAAGGTGAACAAATAATAATAAATTGTATGGTACAAAATATAGTAGACTATAACTTTATAATGTATAATGCAATACCTGACTTCAACTTCAAATTCAGACAATTTTCTATCAGCTTCTGTACTTGCAGTCCTGATTTCCTTGTCTAAAGTAAAAATAATATTGGCAATTTTAACAGATAAGTCCTGTTACAATTAAGGTATGATGGTAATTATTTTAAGCAAAGCATTTTCTTTTCTGTCAATCATTGATCCTGTTATATATTTAATTTGCCTTACTGAAATATAATTTACAGTGATATTTATCTTTTAATAACTATTACACTGAAAGAAACAACTCTAATACTGAAAAAAAATTATCAGAGTATTGTCAGTGATAAAAAAGCAAATTCTCCTCAAAATGTTGTGATGAGGTTCTCCCAACATTTTTTGCACAAACAATACTATAGTATAATATCCTATGGCATAAACTTTACAATTAGACTAAGACAGCAATGTCTGTAACTAAATGTTACATTAAGGGGTCCACAATTGGAAAATTTTTTATCCTCACTCCCCCTCCCCCTCCCCCCTAGCTTAAGATGGCTGCAATCCGAACCCTCAATTTATGTCAGCGCCCTTTTAAAACATCATCTGAAGGGTCAAAATTTATCAGCTTCTTTGAAGAAAAAAACTTGAACCCTCCTATTCAAAAACCCACCATCTTAGCCTATCAAAAACCACGCGGGAAGGGTGCGGCTACATGTAGGCTACCACAATCTTTAGGGGGAAGGAGGGGGGATGGAACATCCCCTGACCACTTAATAAGTGGTCTTAATGGTGGTTCAACTGTATTTTTTTCCAGACTTTTTTTAATACCGTTTCCATCAGAAAAAGTGGTCTTCACTTGACAGCTGGAGTGAAATTGAAGTTTTGGATCTTGTATAGTAATACCTTAATCTCTCATGCCCAAGGCATGAGAGATTAAGGTATTACTATACAAGTAAGGGACGGTTCATTATTTATGGGAATGACCGGGTCGGGAAAAAACCGAACGGGCTTTGAAAACTTTTCTTGCCGTGGCGACGGGCTTTGTGTTTTTTTCTTGAACAAAGAGACCGGGTTTTAAAAAAAATCAACATAAACTAAAACTGTGGTAGAAACGCGGCAGTCGTTTGATGAGAACAACACATGGAAACTGTATTCGTCGTGGAAAATTCACCCGGTAAATTGTCGTACTTTCATATCAAATAAATATTGCTACAATATTTTTGGTAATGCAGGGATATACCCGCAAGAAAAAGCTCGCGCTTTGCGATCGAACACTCGAGAATTTTGACAGGCCACGGAATGACACAAATGTACTTTGTGAGCTGCTCTTTTTGTAGTTGTTTATATTCCTTGACATTTCAGAGCTTGTAATCAAATTAGAATTTCAAATGATGCATGGACAAGGATTTTAATCAAAGTGAACTCCAACGGTTGGAATATTAAATCTTCGGACTCCGGAAGACTGTACACAAGAAAACAGGATGTTTTGATCGAGGATCTCAAGTTGCAACTCCGACTGAATTGAAAATATTTTTTCTGCACGCACCACAGTGCCGCGGAGTCTGCCAGCCAAGTTCCGTTTATTTCATGCAAAAATAGGTTTACATTCTTATCTGTCTCGCAAATAAACTTTTATTATTTAAAAACGTGAACAATTTTTGTATCTTGTAAATGTGACAAGCTGTGACATTATAAAGCTGTTCATTCATACTTAAAAAGACAACTGAGCAGTCCGCATAGTCTTTGATGCCTAGCGTCTTGTGTTAATTTTCACTGATCGAACAATGATAAAGCTAATCAGAATCTTCGTCTGAAGCCTGGGAAGCAGAAGTATATCCTTTAAAAGTTTTTACTTTCTCACGCACGATTTCGAGTCGTTTATCTATCTTGACCGTGTCTTCGGCAAAAAACCTTCCTTCCTCAAAAAAAGGAGGGAGTTATATAAAATATTTGGCAAACGATGAAATGCCTCAAGCTGGATGGCATTTGTTAACGTGCACTTTTCACAGATGTTAATAAATTATTGTTTGTATTAATCGCTGAACTCGTTTGATAGCCGTTTGCTGACTCGAACGGCGAACAGTTGTGTATTTGATCCAAACATGCACTAGTTGCTCTAGTCGTAAATAAACATTGAATGATTTTCACAAGGTACTCACTTCAATTTGAACGGGCTTTGAAAAATTTGACCCAAATACTGAACGGGCTACGAAAAAACAAAATGCCTTTTGGGCGGGCTTTAGAAAGAAAGAGGAAAGCTATTATTTTTTTCCCGACCCGGTCATCCTCATAAATAATGAACCGTCCCTAAAATTGGATCAATTAGCAATTAATGAATGAGGCTGAGTAGGATATGAAGAATTAAGCAGATTGAGGAGGGTGTTATCCAGAGAGGCCGAAGGCCTCAAAATAATTCCTAGTTTAAAAATATAGCTAAAACATGCTTACCTTCATCGATGTTAAGTTTATCTTCGATAGTGTACGTTTGGGTTTGTCCAGCCCCCCAAATATTCTCCAAATAGCAGATGTCACCCTCCGAGTTGTCTTCTTGCTGTTTTTGCCATGTTTTTAAGCCATTATTTCGCCTAGTTCCAGCTGTATTTCTTACTCTTGAAACGAGTGAAGTGTCTGCCATTTTAGTTTCAACTCAACCTCATCCCCAGGTCTTCTCGGTTAATGGTGCATTAACCTGTGGAAGGCTGCATTTTTTACGTCACTTCCTCATTAAACACAAAAATAATTCTTCCAAATTTGGTCATCAGTAACTGGTTATGGTGAATTACCGTATTTATTCGAATAAGCGCCCAGCCTCGAATTAGCGCCCACCTCGAATAAGCGCCCACCCCCTCCTCTTCCCAATCAAACTCAAATAAGCGCTCACCCCCACCCCACCCACTTGAGTGAATAAATTCTAATAAGAGACTTCCCCGAGGACGGAGTTTTCTTCAGAGTATTTTACAGAAACCTTGCTTTGTTACTTCTTCGCGTTTTGTTATTAGCATTTATTGTTTTGTTGCAAAATAAACATACAGTCAAACCTCGCTATTTCGAACTCGGTTAATTCGAAGTCCCCGCTATTTCGAAGGAAGATCGAATGCCCTTGGATTTACCCTTCCCCTTTACGCTTCCTCGGTTATTTCGAAGCCCTGCTATTTCGAACTTTTTTCCATTTCCCTTGGGACTTCGAAATAGCGGGGTTCGACTGTACTTCACTTGCTGAAAATGGTGAAAATTTAATAAGCGCCCAGCTTCGAATAAGCGCCCACCTCGAATAAGCACCCACTCTCAAGGTCCAAAAATTTAATAAGCGCCCAGGGGGGTTAATCGAATAAATACAGTATGCGTGTGCTTTTAGCCAATCAGAATTGGGGAATTATTTTGAATGAATAATAATGAGATTTATTGTTTTACCTGTGGACACGTGCTGAGGAAAATCCAGGTTGGATTTTGCAGTATGATATTCAGCTGTGTCATCAGATAACGCCTAGACAACAGAAAACAATAGTTTCATTAAGGTCACAATTCCTTTTAATTTGCAGATTATTACTACCTGTACACAACTATCACCGTTATATCAGTCTACCATCTTTAACGCAAGAGTCAAATTTCATATCACGCGTTAGAAGGCAAAAGTAAAAGTTCAAAGTTGCAGTTTGGTGTGAACATCACGATGTGTTAAAAAAAACAACTAAATTTGCCCATATTTAGTACGTCGTTGCGAAATATTCCAACAAAAGAACCACTTGTGCGGTCAGGCTTGCAAAACAACAACACGCAACCGTTCATGTGCTCAAAACTCACTCTTAAAGAATCAAAAGAGATTGCAGCACGTGGACAGTTCGTGCGCCACGGGAAGAAATAAAAAATTGGATAGACAAAGCAGTTGGTAAACACGTTTTTACCTTCAAGCAGTTTTCGTACGTCAGTTCCTCAGGTTTCAGCGCACCGACAGCATCGTAAACTTTGCTAGAACGCTCGATAAGCTCGTCCGTTCGTTTTAAGATCTCTTCAGTGGATAAATTCCAGTTCAATTTCACTCCTTCCGCGACCGCCGCCATTATTCTCAACCAAGTATACCACAATGCCTCGGTTTCTGAACAAGAGGAAGAGACCAAGCTATAGTCACGTGACTCCGTATCCCACGAACATGGCGACGAAGGAGAAAGAGAGAGATCGCGGTCAGTCAATGACCTCCAAACTGAGCATCGGGAACTACATACTCGGACAAACTTTAGGTGTTGGAACGTTTGGAAAAGTGAAAAGTAAGTATTAGTAAGGTTAATTGTGTTAACCTTTGCGTAATTAGGAGAGATCGCTGTAAGCGTGCACAACTCCACGTACGCAAAATGCTTAGTCATTTGCATGTAGTAGAAAATTTGCTACACACGAATGAATAAATGACTGGGAAAATACGGTAATAATCGCTGTTATGATAGTATATATACTACCAGGCTTTATACCATTACTAGACCTGAATTGAAGGTACAAAGTAATGAAATCAGCGCGTTGATGCCTAACAACTAACGTGTTTGCATGCAAGAACCGTGCGATGTTGGTTCCCTGGTCATTCAAGACTTACTGTTGACTTCCACGGAAGTCAGGCCTCATTGATCTCAGCTTGTTTACGTGTTATAAGCATACCTTCATCAGCAACGTGATAATTGTATTGACCTTTGAGCGGTGCTGAGAAAACTCTTTATCTTTTATTTGTTGCTAATTCCATGAAAGCTTTTTACTCTTTCCATGTCAGTTTAAGTTCTTAATGACGGACTTTGAACTTTTTTGGAGATCATGTACATGTAACTGCAAGAGTTCTTTAACTGAATCAAGAAGAAACACAAGATTAACTTTCTCTATGCGTTTATACAGTAGTTGTTTTTCGCAGTAGTGAGCACTATTTATATTATTTAAAATAGTTTGATACACAATATTAACAAATGTATACTATTCTGTATGCTATGATCTTAGTATACATTAATTATTTTGTATACAGTGGAACCTCGATATAACAAAGGCCAAAGGACGGGCAAAATTTGTTCGCTGTAACAAGGTTTCGTTATATAAAGGTTCTTCTCCATATATTTTACTATTACTAGGGTCAAGAAAATCGTTTGTTATACAGAGGACTTCATTATATAGAATTTTGTTACATCAAGGTTCCACTCTAGCAATTTACTTTATTATATTGCTGACTGTGTGAGTGAATGACTATAAGAATGAAAGACTTCATTTAAAGGGGAGTCATTTGACTTTGATGAAAGTGAAAATCTAATTTATGGCTGACAAATAAACAGTAATCAAGTAAATGAAAATCGTCTACAAATAAAAGAAATTTATACAGCTATGAACATAATTTATTAATGGTAAAAAAGATAGAATCATAGAAATTGTTCACAAATTCTGTGTTCTTTTTGTCCATCCTGTCCACTTGGGATTTCGGGCTTAGTTTCTACAAGAATCAAGTGTTCTTTTTGTCATAATATAGTAAATCCAGTAACCAGTCTTGTTCAGTCGAGATGGCTGGGTAGTGCTTCTGATTGGTTTGAGAAAATTTCCCTTGCGGCACGACCAATCACAAGCACTACCCAGATCTGGGCATTAGCATGTCATCAGTATTGAATTTGTGCGTTTGTTCTTCAGACTTAATTTCGTAGGGAAACCAGTGGTGGCACTTCAAAATGTCAACTGTTTTCTCAGGTTAACCTTAGTGTACGCAACTACTTTATGGTGATACATACAAAGATTCCATAGGTTCAGTTGTCAACAAAAACTGCTACTGAAAGAGTTTTTCATTCATGTATAGATTGTCAGTGACATAAAATATGTGAAGCAATAGCATTGTAGAGATCACTTTCAGATGATAGCTTGTGAAAACAACAATCTTGCTCCTCGCTTCTAGAGACATCTTGCCAGGAGGGATGTTTGCGCCTCAGCGCCAGAAATTTCATACTGAAGACGTAAATCAATGTTTACATAATTAATCAGGTTGTTTTGGCGTTCCAAATGTAAATTTGTTCGATTTTGTTTTCCCCAGTTGATTATGGTGAAGTTAATTTGTGTTTCTCTGTGAACGACCTCCGTGAATATGTACCGTTTTGTAGTGGATTTATCATGTTTACATGCAATCATTGTGACCATTTGTCTTTTGCATTTGTCTGTTTTTTTTTTTATAAAAATAGCTATAATACAGTTTAACTACTGCATGTACATGTGACCAATTAGAGCTCCCGACCAGATTCCAGACAGATTTTATGTCATCTGTATGGGATTTTTGTCTCTGAGGTATAGTGGCGAGGAGGGAGGAGAGACAGTTGTTTTCTTGCGCTAACTTCATGATTGTCACTGCTATTAGAGAAAATTACTAATTTTTGCACTCCTGTTCATTTTAGTGGCAGTACATCAACTGACAGGCCACAAAGTTGGAGTTAAGATCCTCAACAGACAAAAGATAAAGAACTTAGATGTCGTAGGAAAAATAAGAAGGGAGATTCAAAACTTAAAGCTTTTCAGACATCCGCACATTATTAAACTGTAAGTATTTGGCTAGTGACTGAGCTTTTGCTTGAAATGATCTTGACCCCTATTAATGAATGGGAGTTTTATCACGTGGCAAAATAATATCTTCTTTTCTCCTTTGAGACAGTGAGTTTAATCAGTTTACTTTCTTTTAATCCAACTTGTGCAATCTGAATGCATGATCACTGAACTTCGAACTTTTAGATATTTAAGATTCTAGTATTTCAGTGCTGTGTGATCAAATAAAGGGAGACTGGAGTGATGGGAGATTATCTCAAGGAGTATTGGTGCGATTAGCCCATTACAAACCCTGAAATCATGAAATGTTATTGTACTTTGTTGGCCTTAACCAATTCCTGGCTAACAAAATTTGTTGTAAAAATTATTCTTGATTTTTATAATATTTATTTTGTATTATTCCAGAGGGTCAGCTGAGCATCTATTTGCCAAAATAAATTACCCCATTTATCAAAGATGTCTTTGATCTACAAACTCCTCACTACTGAGTCATCATTAATGCCTGTTGTTATTTTTGATTGTTGTATACAGGTATCAGGTCATTAGCACTCCTTCGGATATATTCATGGTTATGGAGTATGTGTCAGGAGGGGAACTGTTTGACTACATTCTAAAGCATGGAAAGGTAAGCATCCATGTTCCTTCTGGAATCAAAATCAGTTACGGTGCACATGAGCCAAGGTGGTTCTCTGCTTATAAATTCTCAAGCTTCAGTCATAAGATTTATTGTTCAATTGTACTATTAATGACTGGTGCTAAAACCAGGGTTCTCGTTAAGTGCCAGCAACCAACTAAAAAACCGGCTACTTTGAGGTCTGAGCAATCTGCTTTTGGGGGAAAGTCGGTGAAGTGAGGGAGTGAAATCCTCAAATTGCCTACAGCACTAATTGTCTTGATTGCCAACCATCTACTTTTACATCCTAGCTGTCTACTTTAAAACTTAATGGGAACCCTGATGATTATCTAATTGCCTTACTCTGCTGTTTTGTGTTTTTAGCTTGAAGAAAGAGAGGCACGGAGGTTTTTTCAACAGATTATATCTGGAGTGGATTATTGTCACAGACACATGGTGGTCCACAGGTATGGAATGGTGTCTTTCCTGGTACCACCAGTTAGTGCCGTTACAGAATAAGTCACACCAGTGCGAGTTCACCCGAGTTTCTGTACCAGATTCTAGTGCAAAACTTGCTCATAAACACCCTTTGAGTATTCTCAGAGTGTCAGGTGTCATTGGAGGTTGCCATGGTTACCATATCAGTTAGCTCTGCTTATTTTTCATGTCTTTGCCTGTGTTGCTGATTGCGAGCACCCACTCTTTATGTCGCAGTAGTGACCAACATTAATTTTCTCCTAAAAATACCAATAATAATATTTAAAAAAAAGTTTATGAGAATAAATAAAAGGATAACCTAAGGGAAAATGCTTTGATCCTTGAACAGTTTCCCTCAACTAATTCTGTAAGGAAATGTATGGAGATCAGTTTAGAGAATTTGTATGCGGATACTGGGGCTTGAAGGGTTAATGTGCCTATTAATTGTGAAAAAACCCTGACTTCTTTGTCCCCTTTAATTGCCAATATTGAACTTGACCAGTATTTCCTGACTACCATTTGCCTTAGATTAGCTTGATATTGTGAAATTGTCATCTTATTCAGTTAAATGTTTCAAATTATTTGACTAGGGATCTTAAACCTGAAAATCTCTTGCTGGATGCACAAGCAAATGTAAAGATTGCCGATTTTGGTCTCTCCAACATGATGACTGATGGAGAATTTCTTCGAACAAGTTGTGGATCACCTAACTATGCTGCACCTGAGGTTATTTCTGGAAAGTAAGTCTGCTAGTTGACATACAGTGGTAGCACATAAAAAGGAACCAGGTTCATAAAGCTCTTCAACATCCATTTTCTTGACGTTATTTACTACAGCTGACTTGACTCTCTTGACACCTCTGTAAAACAGACACTTAAGGACACCTCTGCCGGACTTGCAAAAACAGATGCTCAGGGTTCTCAATAGAAGGAGGCAGCGATTGGCTGCGACTTTGGGATTTATAGAGCTTACTTTGTGACTTTGCTTTGCTTTGTTTTGACACGTCTCGCTTTGCTGAAGAGCCTCCTACTTTATCAGTGATCACCTCCTACTTAAAAATCTATTGAGAACCCTGCCCGCTCTGACCGCTAGCTTGATTTGTTCACAGTAGTCTTGCAAATTCAAATCCTCGACCATGCTTGTAAATAGCCAGCTGGTTTGCCTCTGGCCAGTTGGGATTCTTAACCCTGTTAAGTTCAATTTGAATTGTCACTAGCATTAGTGCCATAAATACTGCCTGGGTTAAAGAACGGAATTATTATTATCATTTTTGATTGCCGCTGCTCTTTTGCAGGCTTTATGCAGGACAAGAAGTTGATATATGGAGCTGCGGTGTGATTCTTTATGCCCTTTTATGTGGAAGTGTGAGTATCAAATTTGAAAAACCTTCTCTTTGAATTCTCAAATTCCCTTTGTTTTGTAATGGCAGAAATATTATCTTTGGTAAGTCCTCCACTTATTTTGGTTTGTTTTTCTCTTTTCAGCTTCCATTCGATGATGAGCACATACCAACTCTTTTTAAGAAAATTAAAGGTTGGCATTTCTACTCTTGATCTCTTTCTTTTTCCCCCCTGGTACAGGATGTATGTAGCTATTAATTGTGTATGGTTTGGTAGTATTTTCTCTTAAATATAAATTATTATTATTGTTGTTTCCTTCAGGTGGTGTGTTTTACATCCCATCACATCTTTCATCGGAAACCAGTAGTCTTCTCTCTTCAATGCTCCAAGTTGATCCAATGAAAAGAGCTACAATGCAACAGATAAAGTGAGTTGGATATACTGTATAAAGTTGTCTCATGTGAAAAGAAGTAACTGCATCTGAAAACGGTATTGCTTGAGTACCATCCATTTTGTGAAAAATCTGTTAAGAAGTATGTGTAAATGTATCACTATTTCTCATTCATGATTTTGCTTTTGTTGTCCATAAAAATCTGTAACTTAACTTAAAACCTACAAAGGTATCTTGTTGAAATTGTGAACCTACATGTATAGGAAATGCAGGGGAACTAAGTTCTTAGTTTTATGGTAACATAATTATTCTTGCAAGAAGAAAGAAGTCAAAGAATTAAATGATATTGATCAACCATGTATTTGTATTATTCCTTTTGTGGTAATTGTGTCATTTTGTGGACAATACTATTTTTGTATAAACTTATAAGATTATTTTCTCTGTTCAAGAAAGTGAAGCAATAAAGATATTTAAATGTACTATGTATGCATCTTTTAAACTTGTTGCTTTGTCTGATGTGAGTGTTTGATCTTTAATAGTTATTATACACTGTATCACTCCCGGTTTTTCCTTCAGAAATCATGAATGGTTCAGAAAGGATCTTCCAATTTATCTGTTTCCATCATCAAAATTAGAAAGTGATGTCATTGACCAAGAGTGCTTGACACAAGTTTGTGAGGTTGGAATTTCTTATTCTTTATAATATTTTACTTATCTTCTTTTACATGTCTAACTGGCTACTGTTTGTGTGATTTGGTTTTGTATGTAATTCTAAACCTTTTTCTCTGTGAATCAAATGTTTTAGTCTTACCATCAATTACTTTCACATCAAGTGTTTCCTGTGTCATTTTAATTTTTTTAAAATTACATCATTAGGGGCATTGTTTAACTTAAACTTGTTAATCTGAAAAGACATCCCCATTAACCTGTTCGGCTAACTCAATGTTGTACCCAATTCAAACCCTTTGGAAATGAAATGTTTTGTTTCGGGAATTTCCTTGTCATTTACTTGAGAATGCCACATTATAATGCAAATACAATACACAAATAATTCTTAACCCCGGAAGATTCGAATTGTGTACAACATTGAGTTAGCCAAATAGGTCTATTGGGCTTTTTACATTTCCATGATGTATGTGGGATGATTTCCCTTCCCTCCCCTCCCCTCAGTTCCTCAGACTTGCTTGAGCCAGCAGTGGTGGTATATGTTTGTAGTCACTGTAGTTTATATGTCTAAAAGACAATTTAATGATGTGTTCCACCATATATATTTTCTTACTCAACAGAAACTAAACTGTCATGAAACTGATGTGAGATGGGCAATAAAGAATGGAGATACTCATGATCAACTGAAGATAGCTTATCACCTTATACTCGACAACAAGAGAATGAGAATGCTTGGTAAGTTCAGTATTGGAATGTGACCGGTTTCTTTGGAGGAACAGGTTTATAAGGCATTGGGATAAACTTTATTTATTTTTTTTTTTACAGCTGAAGGTGAGGGAAAACTACATGTACAGGAGTTCTACTCATCTGTTTCTCCACCCACCTCTGCATTTATTGTGAAAGACTCGACGTCTCTTGTGGTAGGTGTCTGTGTTTACAAAAATTGTTATTCAAACAGCAGTTTTAGCTCATCAAAGAATTTACGGGGGGTATAGTTGAAAGGACTCTTACCGCGGAACATGATAGCTACAGCTTGCCAGAAGTACGACCTGTAAAACTGAATTTCTTTGCACCCACAATATACGCATTAACAAGTTGAAAACATTCATTTAAGGTCGATTAACAGTGAGGATGTCGCTTGTTACCTGAAAAATGCATTTAGTATTAAGTTTATTAGATCAGTAAGTATCATAAAAGATCTGCCTTTTTTTCACCAGACCACAACAGCAACGCAGCGACCCTCATCCACTCCAGTTGATGTTTTAAGAACTGGGTCCACTGCTCTTCCCACTACACCCTCCAAGAAAGTGCCGTACCTCAGGTTAGCCCTGGGAAAGCGACCCAAATGGCATTTAGGTAAGTTTATATCAGGCAAGCAGGTAGTACGTGTAACCATGAGCTTTAAAAGTTAGGAAACCCTGGTCAGTCTTGTAGCCAGTTTAGAACTTGGAAATCATTAGATTTGTCCATTGACATGTTAATGAAAACGATGTAATCAAAATAATGCCATCATAATAAAGCTATCAAATCCTTTCTCGATAGTATTAGACCAATTCATGGTGAGTTAATTTGTCCTTCTTACAATAAAATCTGTGAATGAAATCCTAGGGTGTTACCATTCGGATTAAACCTCTTTGTCAGATCTTTTTTATGATACTTTTTATTGCTTTAGGATTTTGTACAAAGGAATTTGAATCTGCCATTGAATTTTTTTCTTTGGTCATGGGCAGGAGCGAAATTGTTCAGCTAAACTATTTATCAGTGTTGGATTAAATCCACAAAGAATGATCAGCCACTAGAAGGAATGAATAATGGCAACTCTAGCCTATATTTAGTTAGTTGAGTCTTTTCATGTTTTTTTGTTTTGTCTTGACAAGTCTTGCCTTGAATCATATTTTAAATTGAGTAAAAACCGTGTTAATGATTTTTATTTTTGATTACAAACTGTTTGTGTGTGTCCGCAACAGGTATTCGGTCACAGAGTAAGCCAAATGACATAATGGGAGAAGTTTACCGAGCCATGATGTCTCTAGGATATGTAAGTGCTCACTTGAAATTCATCAGAATTTTAAGTCATAAGTTGTCTGTCTTAATTATATTGAAAATGTGTGTCCATATTGAAAAAATTATAAATACCCCGAAAAACACTGTCCTTGTGTTGTACTTGAATGTGTTTGTGAGAATTATTGCAGGTAACTATTATAACTAATGAGGTTTTTTGACTTCTGTAGGAATGGAAAATAATAAATCCCTTTCATCTTCGAGTGATACGTCACAATAACGGCACAGGAAAATATGTAAGTATTTTGATACATAGTCACTATGATATAGTTTGAGCATTTAGATCTAATCAGTAACTTGTTGCAAAATTCAACATAAACAAAAACACCAACAACTCAAACTTTTTATTGGCATTTTGTATCTTTTTTACTCTATGATAGGTAGAACAGAAAAAAAGTTCTGATGCATGCTTTTTACAAACTATGATTTTGTTTCCTCATTTTGTAGACCAAGATCGCCCTACAGTTATACCAAGTTGACCACAAGAGTTATTTGCTGGACTTTAAAAGCCTACCTTGCATAGACCCTCCAGAACATTCAGAGGGAGTTTTAACATCTGGAAAATCCTCCCGGAAATCATCATGTAATTCTTCTTTTAGCAGCCTTAAAGATTCCGATAACTTGAGCTCTCCTGGTCACACTGGCTCACATCATGTTATGGAATTCATGGAAATGTGTGCCAATCTCATTGTTGCTCTTGCTTGTTAAAGGAGGTGGGATATAGTTGTAGGATAATACAGTGAAAATGAAGCAAATGGAAAGGTAAATAAATCACTGGAGTTGCATTTCAACACCAGAGGGAGTGATGCAGATCGGTTGCCTGAGCGTAAAGTTATCTTCCATCAGTTTTTTTATGCATCATCAAACTGACATATGTGCGATATGCCACTTAACAAAAGTGTCAACCATGACGGGGGAAAACATGTATGGAGACATTGACGTCGTTTCCCTTGCAAACATGCAAGTTATTGATGGAAGTGTCAAGAGCATGATGGATTAAAAGTAAAGAGAGAAGGAAAGAGAAAAAGTGAAAATATCAAAGGTGTTCATGCTTTGGTTTCTACTAAGGACAGTACTTCTGACTGCAATTTGTGGTGAACATTGGGTCCACAGCAGAAAAATTAATGAATAAAACAAGCTGAAGAAATAGTCTTTGGTAAATGTACTGTAAATTACATTATATTTTAAAAATAGGGAAGCCTTTGTAATTTCTAGAAACGTATGTTTAATTGACCGTATTTTTAGGCTAGCCCCACACAAATCTGAATACTTTTCAGGAAACCGGATTTTAATTTTTTTAACTCGAATCAGCCCTCTGTCCACATGAAACCAGTGAATCAGGTCACCGAAACTGCCTTGTTTTGAAACTGCCCTCCAGATTCCGGATAAAAAATATTCAGTTTTAAAAATGACTGAATTCATGTGGACATGGCCTTATGTGTACCATTTTTTTCCATTGGGACTTCTTTAAGGCGCCTAAACTTAACAGGCATTTTCCCTTTGAATATTACAGAAAAAAATTTAAAAGTTAGTCATTAATATTATTTATTGCCCAAGTGGCCTAAAACAGTTAAGTGTAATTCTTCAAAAGTGCTGCTTTGTAAAGGTTTCATCAATGAGGACAACAAATTGCAGTACCATTCAGTCAGTTACATTTTTATTTTTTATTCATGACAAGCATGTTTTGTTCACATGAAGATAGCAACGGATAATTCCATGTGCATTAGAAGTAAAATTACCGACAGCTTTATGCTTCATTTGCATGCTACTAACTTTCAAAGCTGATTTCTTTTCTGGGAATGAGTCACCAGCGTGTTGTTTACTTGTAACAGAGGATTTACTATACAATTGAACCTCGATTAATGAACTCTTACTGCTGTATATAAAAAAAGTGCAAACCAAAACATGAAAGACAAAACTTTGCCTTTTAGGATATAAGAGCACTTGCTTCAATTCCAGACTGGCCATGTTTCATCAGTGAAATGTAAGATCTCATCTTGCTGCTTACATAAGAGCTGATGTGGATATACCAGAAGTTCTTCCCTGGTTTCATGAGACATTTAATGTTATATAGACAGAGGAAAGCGTTGTTATTCTTGTCCAAGTGATTTAAATTTGGTTTGAAAGAACTTGTGTTATACTAAGGTTTAGATTTGCAAAGGTGAGAAAAGTTCTAGCAAACCCAGTTTGTCTAAAAATTTTTTAAGCAAGTGACTGCCATGTTATCATTTTGCAGTTTATTTTGGTGTACAGTTAAATCCCTTCCACACAACAGAAGTTGTGTCAGACTAATATTCGTATTAAATTTAAGAACAGTACATTGCAGTAAGTTTCAAGCAGTTCATTCAGTTGCTTTACTTACAGGGAGTTTTAGTTAATGACGTTAGAGGACCATTGAGTATCTATATTCATCTCAGAAAAGTGTCTGCCATTCAGAGACCCTGAGATACACTGTTTCCAGTTTACAGCTACAGGAACGACAGGTACCTCAACCATGAATACAGATGGACAACAGTCTATTACCAATGAGTAACAACTAGGCTACCAGCTGAGGTGATGATACCAATACAACATTAATTTTGGGGAAACATGTTTCCTTTATAATACCGATATGGGATCCCCCTACCCCTTCCCCTATACAGAATCGGTGTATTTTAAGGTCTTTAATTTTACCATAGTATCTGGTTTCTGTCAGAAAGGGCTTCACCCAACCTCCTCTCCAAAGCAAAGGGGGATTAAACCACCCTGGGGATAAAGGTGGACTTGACTGTAACAGTACTAGTTTTGTGACTGCTAAGTTTTTAGGTATTCAGTAAATAAAATGTTATTGGTAAATAATTAGCATGCCTATTATTAAGCAACAAGGCATCTTCCTTTCCAAATAGCCTAAAAAGTTATTTCCTCTCCTTTTTGCCCTGCTATTTGGGTAAAGGAAAGATAAAGCGGTTTTGCAGGCTATTGTTTTGGGAATAAAAGTGCAATTAGCTACAGTTACTATTATCATATTTATTTACCCTGCCTTTAATTTGTAACTAAGTTATGAAATTTATGTGCAGAGGTATTAAACAGTTATTAGAGGTAACAGATTTTTTCTAAAGTAAGTTGAATAAACTTTGAAACAGATGGAAGTGACTCTCCTCTTGTTTTGGCTAGTTGTGTATTTGTTTGCTTGTTTGAGTGTCCTGGTGTCACATTTTGAAAGAGGGCATGGTCCTAAACCCAGCCCCCCCCCCTGCCTCCTCACTGTACCCCTTTCCACCTATCCTGACCTGTCTCTTTACATTCGAATTTCGAATTTCAAGAGCCTAACGCTCAGAGCGTCTGTCCCCTACTGATCAATGTCGCTTTAGCTTGGATTTTTACTTTTTCGAAATATTTCCTGCGTAATTCACTAACGTGCGATTGATCCATTGTGGCAGCTGATCGTCTGCAGAAAGAGTCATCTTTCGCACTCTTATACCTGCCAACTTTTTCTGAGATGTAGGCGTGAGATTTTTATCCTGGGAGTGCTGGGATTTTTGAAAACGACACGATCATTTCCGAAGATTCCCGAAGAAGTCCGAAGTCTGCCGAAGGCGAAGTTATCGAGAAAACGCTTATCCACAAAATCAGAGATCGTGAGGAAGGTATTGTCATTTATTCATTTTACACATGGTTTTCGTTCGTTACATGGGTCTGAGTTAACATATTTTTGGAAATTGTGTCCAGCAAGACGACAACAACTCACATTTTCAATCAGGCGTGAGAAATTGGTCCGCAGGCGTGAGCGGGCGTGAGATCGAAGTTTTCAACCCGCAGGCGTGAGAGTTGGCAGGTATACACTCTCTGATTGGTTGAGATTTTCTTAGATCAAGAGTTAAATCAAAATTAGCATAAGGTAGAAATACCTTTAAGATGGCGCTCCGAGAGTGGGGAATGGATTTCCCGTCATGTCGCCTCGTGTGCTTAGAGTAATCTAAGACAGTCTTGGATTCTCGATTCCACGCTGTAGATTCCGGATTCCTTGTGAGTGCAACTTATTCCAATCGTTGTATACCTGCCAACTCTCACGCCTTAGGCGTGAGTCTCACGCCTGCGGGTTGAAAACTTCGATCTCACGCCGGCTCACGCCTGCGGGCCAATTTCTCACGCCTGATTGAAAAATGTGAGTTGTTGCCGTCCTGCTTGACACAATTTCCCAAAATATGTTAACTCAGACCCATGTAGGGAACGAAAACCATGTGTAAAATGAATAAATGGCAATACCTTCCTCGCGATCTCTGATTTTTGAAGTGAAAAGTACTGGGAGGGAGCTCGCCTTTGGCAGACTTCGGCAGACTTCGGACGTCTTCGGACTTCTTTGGGAATCTTCGGAAATGATCGTGTCGTCTTCAAAAATCCCAGCACTCCCAGGATAAAAATCTCACGCTTATATCTCAGAAAAAGTTGGCAGGTATATCGTTGGGTGAGATGAGTAAAGGCCGTTCGATCCTTTTAGATAAGTTGTATAAAACTAAGGAGGACTTAACTCTAGGGCTGTTGAGGAGTCTGCATGTAGGATATCCCTTGCTCTTCCTTGAGATTCTATTTTTAACAGAAGAAAAAAAAGTTCATGAGGCGAATCTCATGGCTGAGGCCCTTACAGGCTCGTCCAAAGTCCTGGACGCCGGACGTCACGCGAGTCGCGACGCCGACGCGTTTTCCCGCCAAAATTCAACGCGAAAAGGTCCAAGAAAAGTAGCAAATTTTAATGAAGCGTTTCAGTGTAGGTTGACTATTGATTTTTTTTCGTGTTGTTGTAAATACGTAAGCCAAAAGTTTGCTGTCCTAAAACTGCAACTTTTTCTTAAGCTGCATGCAGTTAGTTGTTCGTGGTCAACGACGATGCTAAAATCTGTCGGAGTAGAGGAGAAGCGAAAAACAAGCTTGTTGTTGTCGTAAGTTTAAGCTAGCATAGTTTGTGGGAGATCCAGCTTTCCAAAGTTTAACTGAAAGTCTATGTATAGCCTAGAAGTTCATATTTCAACAACAATGATTTGTTTTTGCTAAACAGTTTTGATTTTCAGGGTTAGCTTTTAGAAAACATGACCACTCCAAACGCAAAGACGAACAAGCAAGTTGACTTGGATAATTTGATTCAAGAATTCTTGCAATGGCAAACGGTAAGTTGAGGTTTTATTACCTAACTTGTTATTGATTCTGCTTTCAGGAAGTCAAGCCTCTATCAAGTAACATTTCTTTTGAAATTTAAATATTGAGCTCAAGCTAAAAACAATTTAAGCTTAGTTTTAAACTCATTTTGTTAGAAGTAATTTCTTTTTCCCGTTGTCGTATAAATTTACAGGCATTAAGAGATGCGGCTCACGAAAACAATTGCTTTAAAATGGAGATCCGTTCCCTCACAAGAAAACTTAAAACGAGCCAGGAGGCAGAAAGGATTGCATTGGAAGGTGGGTCCCAGGTATTCCTTATTGAAAGCCTCTGTAACTATGTCTCGCGCTCACATTTCAAATTTTGAGTCCTCTATATTCCTCGACTTTTTAGACGCTGGAAAGTTAAAAGGAATTATAGACAGTCTCCAAGGAGTTTTATCCAAACGCTGTGACCAGGAAGGTATTACTATTATTATTATTATTATTATTATTATTATTATTATTATTATTATTATTATTATGATGATGATGTAAAATTTAGCACAGGGATTTTCCCTGGGGAGAAATATCCAGTCAAGTCTCATTCCGAGACTTCAGACTTCCAGCACCTTTCTGAGGATATGTGCCGATCCGAGGAGTGCCGACTTTTGCATCGTTCTTGTTCGGTTTTTAATTCCTAGTTGCTCCAAGTGGCCTGCCAGCTTCTTTGACACTGAACCCAATGCACCTACAACCACTATTATTATTATTATTATTTATTTTTTAATTATTATCATATTTTTTTACAGTGAAAGAATTCGTTCTGATAGTATTTCTTAATAAATGGCAGACAACCACTTGACACTTAATTACCAACCATTTCTCTTAGCTTTCTTCTTCTTTCACTCCTTCGGCTTTCCCGACCATTTGCTATACTATCAATCAGCATACATACACTAATTCCGAAAAGCCTTTTTTAGTTCAGTTGGTTTCGTCATCGAATTTCATGACTTCAATATTAACAGAAGGTGGCATATATAATAGCCTAGCTAACGGCAGACTCTCACCAACCTTCTCTATCATTTTTCTTTAAGTTCTTTTTTTATCACTTTTTTCCACCCCTCAGCATCCCACCATTTCCTCCCTTTATTTCTCTCTTCTTCTTTGCCTTCCGTAATTCAAAAACAAAAATATGATTCATATGTTCCCTTTGTTTCTTTAGAAGAGAATGAGGGTCTAAAATCGCAGATCTCGAAGATGGAAGAAAAATGCAGCAGCCTTGAAAAGGTTTATATATCCTTCTCATCCTCTGAATATTTACGTAATTAAATTTTCATATTATTTCAATGTCCAAAATAGCTGAAAACGAGACAATTTGTTTTGATATATATGGCAATTTCTTTTTCCATTTAATAGTTCGACGGTTGAAATTTACCATTTACATAAGCTCAACGTACGTTTCCTGTTTTTGTGGCAATATTTCAAGTCGGGTTATGCAATTGTTACAGTATAAGGCATTTGCAACAAGCTCTAATTGCCTATTTAATAACATATATCCTTAATTATTTTTTTTTTGGTCTTAAAGGAATACAAACTCCAAATGTCTGAATCTTTTAAGAATCTTGAGATTTCAGAGCAAGCTCACAGACAGGAGCTCCTAAAATTCAAGGAAGAGACTCTTAAACAGAGTAAGAATTGTTTTGCTACTTAAAAGGCATCGATACGTTCTTTATTATCTAGGTGGTTTCGTCTCAGGGCAGTGCTTTCATCGATTTTACTGATGCTGACACAATACATCATGATCTGCCAATGGTTAAAATAAATAATACATAATGTATTATATACCCTGTTTCGTGACCCTGATTAAGACTCAAGACCCCGAAAACCATACTTTGTCTAGCGGCACCTTGTCTTTCAGGCGAATTTAGCCTTTGCTCCGTCCCAAGGAACTAGCCCTATGTCTATTTTAAGGTAGCACTTTACTTGAAAACCCGTAGCCAAGTTGTGTTGACCTTATCGCGTCAATCCCCATAAATCAGTGCTTAAGTCATAATATATTGGTCGCATTACAGGGTGGTTCCTTTCTTTTCCCTAGGCAGAAGAGAAATTACAGAATTACAAAAGTCCTTACAAGAGAAAGCAGATGAAGTGCGACAATTGCAGAAGAAATTGGTTGACACCAATCATGCTAACCACACAGAAATAGTCAAGATGCGTTTAGAGGTGAACGCGTATAAAGAAGTTGCCCCACAGGTGACCCAGGCTCTGTGATAGTACCACAGTACGGTTCTAGTAAAATTACAATGTTTGTATGGGGTAAAATATTTCGACAGAATATGAATTGCAATAACTGAGACGAATGTGAAAGGCATGTGCAACCAGTAAACAAAGAACTAGCGCGATTAACATATTTAGCGATTAATGCGGCAGTAACACGCCGACTTCTTGTCAATACAACTGAACGTTCTATCAGTCAAATATGTGAACCATCGTGACACCTCTCTTTGAATTGGGTCCTGTTGTACAAATGCCGCGGTAAGACCCAAAATTCACTTATATCTTTTGCTCGTTATAAGTTTTGTAAATCCTTCTTCTTTGTTATTTTCTTTGCACTTATAACCTTGCCCTATTGATGTTTGATAGACTTTCTGAGGACCAGCGCCAGGTGCTGAATATAGTTCGAGAGGGACACAATGTCTTTATAACAGGTCAGGGTGGTACGGGGAAATCGTTTTTTGGTTACGTAAATATATAAAGAGCTGACGAGATCGGGAAAGCGCGTGGCGATCATTTGTTCAAGTGGAATCGCAGGAACCATATATGATGGGCATGCATCCACTGTCCACTCGTTCTGCGGACTAAAAACAGCCGAGCTGCCTTGGTTTAAGGGGTTAAGAGGTCAGTTTCAAACAGTATACTGTAGTTACTGAAAACGCCAATAACATAAACTGTTTAATCTGGGACGAAGCTTCAATGTCTAGACGGAGAATTTTGGAAGTCGTTAATCACATACAAATAGAAATCTCCCGAGGTATGAAAAATGTGGGGCGAAACCGTTCGGAGGGATTCAAGCGATCATGGTAGGAGAATTCACGCAGCTCAGTCCTGTTCCGAACTTAATGGATGATGGACAATTCATGTTTCGGTCTCCTGTGCTAATCGCGCTAGTTCTTTGTTTACTGGTGCACATGCTTTTCACATTCGTCTCAGTTATCGCAATTCATATTCTGTCGGAATTTTCTGTATAATTTTTGACATTATTTTATAAGCTTCACCCGTTTATTTACGATCGTTTCGCTCGAGAGTTCACAGCTCAACCTTGTTTTTAGCCCGCCTTGTAAGTATTTAGCGTTGTTATTTCGTAGTTTCATTACTGTTATTTGCATTCCTTAGTAAAAGAAATGGGGTGCCTTGTAACTTGGCAGACTATCCTGGTTTTATTTAGTTTTTGTAGCCATTTAAATTTAGGCGCGTGTGCGGGGTTTGCTCTGGCGAATTGTGATTAGCTAGGAAGAACACTTGCCTTCTATCAAGTATTTTTCCAGCAGGGGAGGGTGGCCTTGGGCAAATGATGTATCGGTCCCCAGAAAGGTCACCCCAGGACTCCCAGGATGGAATTTGTTTGTAGAGTGCCCAGGCCTCATTTTCTTGGCCGCGCGTTCAAATGGCCCGGCTGCTTCGGCGAGCATATTCTCGGTCTGTTTGGATTATATCCTTCGAGTTTATCAAAGTCTGTGGGAATCGTTTCTCTATCTGGGAAAGCTTCATTGGTTTCTATATCTGCTGCTATCCTATTTCTACGATCCTGGCATGTTTATTTTCCGTTGGAGTTCGAATTTCGTGGAAAAAGTTGTGTTGAGAGCATGTCGGCGAAAATGGCATCTCGTGTCTCCTACCTTTCATATTATTATTGTATAAAGAGTGAATTTGAACAAATTACTGCAAATTATCACGAAACTTCGTTGGAGCAATAAGGACAACAACAACTAACTGCAGAGTAAGTTTCATTGATCTTTATTTAGTATTTCCTAGAAATTTTAGGATGGTATTTTTACCCCATACAAACACTGTAATTTTACTAGAAGCGTACTGTGGTACTATCACAGAGCCTGGGTGACCTGTGGTTTCCCTTGACTTTTACTTTGTTCTCGACATCCTTTTTTTGTCTGTTCCCGAATTCAAATTTTATTCTAATCAGTATTTTTGGTTAGTAGTGTGTGTTTGAATATCCCAATCTTAACGGCTCAATCCGCCACTGAACTTAAACTGCCACTGAGGTCTTCATAACGGCCGTAATAGACTATCGTGGAACCGAAGGCATGCTTGCTATAGTTTCTTATAGTTTGGATAGTATTTGCAAGGTAAAACACAAAAATGGATAGCTGTTCTAAGGTTCTCAAGCAAAGGACTTAAAGTATCATCAAGCATGTAATTTTCACGTTTTAGTATGACGCAAAACTATTGAAGCTCCAAAGAAGCAACGCAAAGGCTCAGGGAGGTCAAACGTCTAATGCCAACAGCGACATATTTAGAAAGGTAACCATGTAAAAGCTATCGTTCTTTGCTATGTTCAGAAGATATAGTTCCTCGCGGGAGAGGAAGAGTGTTTTCTTATATTCATACTGTTGGTCTATTACAGGCTCACGAGGCTGTGCGATAAACGTATTTTTAGTTCATCCTTTGAAGAGGCCAATAATACTAAGGAATTCAGGCATAAAGGGTGAAAGAGAGGAGAGGTTCTCTCTACCTTTTATTTTCTCCATCTATGTCCAAGAGATAAAGTAGGGTGGGCCGGGGGAAAAATTGGTTTCCTAATCTATGTACAACAAATCTCCGTTTACAGTTATATTTTGTCATCATGTATTTTTTTTTGAACAGAAACTTCAGTTTGCCAAAGCTGAAGCGCAAAAAGAGATCACATCACTCAAGAGCAAGGTTTCAGAACTGGAGCGAAAGCTTTCAGCTCAACAGACCCCTGTGGCAAAAAGAAAAAGATTTTAGCTTTTTTCCAGTTGTTAAGAAAAACTATTACAGAGACTTGAATAGATTTCTTGATACCCTGAAAAAATGTATAATATGTTCTTCCCTGCCCCAAAACGAGTGTTGCTGGAGAATCAAGTATGAATCAAACAGGTGGCGGGTGGATCTACAAAACAGACTGATGTTTAAAAAGGTGGAATTATTTCAGAATTGATGGCCTCTCCCTTCCTCTTATCAAACAAATCGGGTAAAAACACATTTCTCAAGGCTATAAGCCGATTTACATCTTAACGCATTGTTCAGGCCTTATTGAATGTTTGCACGCGTAATAGTTAAGGAGCAATTAATGGACAGATCTAGAGATGAAGTGGGCACAGGACATGACACTTCTCTTTTTCCATATAATGCTATATTTTACCTGAGTCTTTTTCATGAAAGATTAGTCATTCATTTCCTCACCATTTCACTTAATGTTAAATGATAGTTACGGAAATAAATTATAAATGGACATGACTTGCTGTATGTGTTCGATCGACTTGTGATACAAAGCTTCCTGTTTGCTTTTTATTATAATTAGGGAAGGACCATCATAGAAAAGTTATGGGAGGGCGGGTGAAGTACAAAGAGGAAAATTCCTACAAGGGAAAGATAAATGAAGAAAATCCATGCACGTAGAGTAGCCCTGAAATATTCTTGCACTGGCCTAAAAAATGAAGCTCCAAATTTCCCCCTCCTCGCCCTAACTTTTCTAATGGCCCGTCCCCTAGGTTAGAGGTGGTATAAATGCCATAACACTGAGAACAGTCTTCGTTGTCTCCTTAGACAATGAACGTTGCACCCTTGGTTTCTCTTCTCCAAGGTGTACTGACTTGGGTATCGGGGAAATACTACCAGGGGTAGCCCTGTGATGGACTATTTCCACGCGGACTTTCAATTGTGTGCTTCATCACTTTAATGAAACGGAATAAGCTCGACCGTATAGGCTTCTAGCTTTTTCCAGAAAAGCGTAATTTTTTAACGCACTCGAATGACAAAGTTATAGTGACTTGGCAAAGTAATGATCAAAAAAGATAGTGGTCTAAAATTAATTGAGATCGTTTTGTTCCTTTCAATATACTTCTCGCCAGTGCTAATTCCAATGGTCTCTTACAGAACTTAGACGACAACGACGACGACGTAGAACGTAGGTCATACTGAAATCAGAGTGAAAAAAAAAGTTTTGTAGCTTGAAATAAAGTTAAAAATAAGGTCAATAAAATAATTGAATAGATGAGTAGGGATGAAAGAACACGCAACGAAGGGGTTCTGTCTTTACAATTCAAATAGCTAGGACTATCCCATTCTATTGATAAATTGTTTCCTATAATTTGCTTGAAAAAAACTTCCATACAATCAAACCATTACCGGTTGTTTTCCCTAAGTGCAGTTTTGAGCTTATCAAAACCCCTCCCAATTTCAGTGATTAAAATGTCTCATGATGGATTTAAAAATATATAAATGAAAACTCCTAGATTTTTAAAGTTTTCCGTAATTGCAGTTTTGAGCTTATCAAATCATCTCAGTCCCAATTTCAGTGATTAAAATGTCTCAAGATGGACTTAAAAAAATAAAAATGAAAACTCCCAGATTTTTAAAGTGCCTAAACCATTAGTTTCGCATTTTGTTGTTGTTGTTGTTAATAGTAGCCTATATTCAACTTACTAGGTGGAAGTGGAAAAATTTTGAGAAGGAGAAAACGTTGCTCAAATTGCAATTGCAACGTGTTATTGAAAAATTACCTTTTAAGCAAAGCATTACTGAGTCATTATGATATCATACACAAACAATCTTTGTGAAAACGTGGGATTTAATTTAACTTTCGGAAATTTGAAGATAAAAATCTATTTTACTGAAATAAATCTTATTCATACTTCCCTTCAGAGATTTCATATAAAGCAAAGTTCTCTTTTACTTTCATTCAGCGCACACTCGGTTTGGCTTTTTTGCCTCGACAGAGCTGTGCTTTTTCTTGGTGAAGTTTTTGAGGTAACTGTATGCCTTTTTTAGTTTTAGAGTTGTTGGTATCTATCGGTTTTGAAAATCAAGCCCGGGAAAATGTTTGTTAATGATACGTAAATCAAAAGGTAAATCAATCCTTATCCTAGCAAAAACGTGGCCAAAACCGAAAGCTTTCCAGAAATACATAATTTTTCTTTCAAACTAAAAAAAAATATTCTATTTTTGACTGAAATCAGGAATAGAGCTAAGAATTTTAACCTTTATCTGTAAATTTTCGTCGATTCTGTTTAACTCAATAAATTGGCATTTCTTTTGTTCCTTTTGATTGTGGCAAGTTAAACATAGTTTTTAAAAAAGTATTTAGAGTGTTTTCTGTTTCTATTTTGTTTATTAACTCAAAATTGAAATCACGTTAACCTACTTTACAAAATTATTAGCATGCCCCTTAATGCTGAATCGACTTTATGGGCACTTTTTCATCTTTTGCGACTTTATCTTGGCCTTTTACTCTAATAAAATTTGCTTTATTTTGTTTACGACTCGTATTTTGCACAGGTGCTGCGTTCCAAAAAAAAATATGAAAATGTTGGTTGCTGTCTTTTCTTGGCTCTCACTATGCAGTAAGTAAACCATGATATTTGTCAAACGAAGAGATAATTCATAAACTGGCGGGGCATCACGTTATTTACTCAGTCATAAATACTAATTTTCTCTTGCAGACTTTTTGGTGAATTATGCTCTAGCGTTAAATCTTTGTCGAGGTAGCTGTAGCGTTGACCTAGAGACAAAAGGATGCTACATTGACAAGGGGGTACGTTTTGTACACTGCTATCATTAATATAATGCATGGTTTTCACTATCACTGTGTCAGGGGCACCCAACAACAATTGTCGGAAAATATCTGTTCGGAAGACGATTTGAGATCTACAATTTTCGGAACATTTTTTCCAAAATTTCTTGCTTGTCTGCCTCTCTTAGGATTTTCGAACATCTAAAAAATGGTATAATTGCCCATTTTTAACGGATTTTTCGCCTAAAAAGGTCACCTAGAATTTTCGGGAGCCTTTTTTCTGGCTGAAATTTTCGAAAAGGTAAGTTTTGATCCCTATAATTTTCGGAACACTAGACTTTCAGCAAGGAAATCCGAACAGGTAAAAAATTTTAAGGCCTAAAAATATGCCTATATCTACCTTTTAAATACTAAAATACGTTCAACAATGCTATGTTTAAGTGGTTTTTAGTCCTCTTCGTGTTTGACATGTCTCCTATAAATGCTTATTGCCTTTCTACAATTCCTAGGGGCCCGGACGAGCTCTTCCCGAGTATATCTACAACGAGCGCGATCCTTCCATTTCCAACTACGGTGGAAGAAGAATTGACTGGCTTAACTGGAATGATTATTTTCCTGGATTCATCTGCCGCTGTGCTGAAAAGGCTAAAGAGCTTGGGTTTGACTTGATCGGTGTGCAGTTCTATGGTAAGAACACTAACTTTTAACCCTGTAATATCATGGGAAAGATTTTAATTTTTATTCGTAACCCGTACAAATTTGCTGTTAAAAATAATGCGGGAAGGTGTTAAAATATCAAGCAAATTCATCTTCGGAGATCATGTTCATAGTTCTAGTGACCATCCTTTTTTATAACGCATTGATCATACAAGGAGAAATTTGATGCCCCCGGAGGGACTCCCATATGAAAAGGGGCGGGGATGCTCGTCGTCTCGCTTAGTGGCGTAATTTTCCGATTTTGGTCTCACTTAGGGTGTTCTGGGCAAAACGCCATATATTTAGCCGTAAAGGTCTCTTTTAGGGTTAAAACAACGTATGGGTACTTAAAAGTTTTCGGTGATAATGTCTTTGACATCATTAAAAGTCGCTGTATTATTTATTTGTCTATGTTTTAAAATGGTCTCTTTTAGGGGTCAAAAAAAGTTTGGGCCACGCCCAGATTGATCTCCTTTAGGGTTTTAATTCAAAATGTCCGACTAGCATCCCCGCCCCTTTGATATGGGAGTCCCCCCGGTCTTAAGTTAAGGGGAAAAGTGAACTATAGCACAAAACTGACTGAAATACAAAAATATGTCTCTTAAAAAAGTAAAATCATTGTTATTCAAGTAACAGCAATTGCAAGAAGACACCTAGTGAGGAGAAAAAATATTGAACAAAAAACAGGCAGATAGATGTTTGGTTGAGTTGACGCTCATCTTTGAAACAACAGTCCGATAGCCATTGTAATAAACTGTGCAAAAATTTTCGTTGGAATTGACGGTTGGTTTATAAAAACATGACATAATTTTGCCATTATTTTTGACGGGTTACTATTTAGCGTAAATTAGATATTGGGCCTTTGATATAACAACTTCCCCCGTTTCCTTACAGTGAAAAATTATATTACGCGTCCAGGACTTATATAACCATTAGGGAGCTTAAGAAATGCAGACGGCGACGCCATCGAGAACGGGAATAACGCAATAGGTTTAGATTGGCAAAACAACAACTTTGCACGAGCATCACGCTTTATTGTAGATTTCTTTGCTGTCGCTGCACGACTAGAAGGTGAAGGTGCCTAATTTCACATTTTGTCGAGGACGAGAACACGAGACAACAACTTTCCTTTTCTTTTCCTGAACTTTGGTACGGTCCTTTATATAATTAGAATTCAACTCCACAAATATTTGCCAACGTTTGACGAATTAAACGAGATGGAAAAAGCGCGATAAAGTTTGAAACAGGGCGAATTCACTTTTTAAGTGCCGTTTTCGTAGTCGTTGCCGTCGTCGTTGGTCAAGCTCCCTATTTAGCGTGACCAATGGTCCCTTTGCGCGAAACGGTCACTGACAAAAACACCTGGATTGCAAACGACGCAGTGGGGCAAGAAATTAAAAACAAAGAGATGACATCATTCAAATAGCTAATATCCTTTCTTTTCAAGGTACCACTGCGTTGTTTACCTTCCAGCAAGGTGTTTTTTGTACCATGTGACCGTCTCTTGCGAAGGGCCTATTGACCATTTTTGCGCCTAGACTGGATCGTGGGCATGTCAAATTGTATTGTGGGATTGTTTTGAGACGTCATCTCTTTCAAGATCGCGCAGAAAGGCAGGTCAAAGTTTGTCCCTCGAAACAGTCCCATAGTGCCATTCAACACAACATGGACTCAGTCTCCCTAGTCTCAAGTAAACCCTCAAATTGGCCAAATTACACTGTAATTTTTAGGGAGTTATCATAACTCCAAAAATGGAGTAAAAATTTTAGGTACAGGATAACCCCTTTTTTGGGGTTATTTTAACTCCTAATTTAACTCCGAATTTGGGGTCATTTTTACTCCTGAAAAAGAGTTCTTTTTACTCCCAGTCTTGGAGTTAAAATTACTCCGAAATGGGGTTACTTGTACTCCTTAAAGGGGTTGTTTTCACTCTTTTTGGAATGAATTTAACTCTGAAAGTGGAGTAAAAATTTTAGGTACAGGATAACCCCTTTTTTGGGGTTATTTTAACTCCTCAAAATCTGTGGTCACTTTTACTCCTGAAAAAGAGTTCTTTAAACTCCTTTTTGGAGTTAAAATAACTCCACGAAAAATAACTCCACTGTAAGGAGTTAAATTAGCCCCACTAGAGGAGTTATTATAACTCCCTGAAAATTACAGTGTATGACTTACGTTTTTTTGTAATAATTGACAGGAGAGTGTTGGGCAGGACACAGTGGGATACATAATTATTCACAATACGGACTGGATTACAGTGGCTGCATTGAAGATGACTATCAACCCTGCACTAAGAATTCTCGTTACTGCGTCGGAAAGCATTTTCGCAATATGGTCTTTCAAATTGGTATGTTTTATTTTGAGATTTCAAACTTGACTTTCTGATCTATTTATATATCTTCTAATACAGCAATCGCTTTGAGGTTCACTTGACCGAGTAGATATGAAAGGGTTTTTGTCATGTTTCTTTCGCTTCTTGCACTAGAATTTTCTTTGCAATACTTGTGAGTTAAGAAGAAATGAAAAATATGAGAATGAGCTTAACTAAAAGCCTTCATTTCGACACGATTAAAAAAAAATGAAATAAAAAATGAACAAAAGAACAGTAAGCTGATGTGGTAGTGTTACTGGAAAAACAAAATACTAATAAAAAATTTTAATGTGCTTCTCCACGGTCAGTCTTAGTCACAATAAAAAAATACAGCAGAGCTGGTGTGGCCGTGTTATGTGAAGCATATAAAAAATGCTAATAAAAAGTGCCTCTCTGTGGTTCCTGGAACTGTAGAGACATTGAAAAAGACGGGCATAGATGACCTCTCGACCAATCAAAACTTGAGGAAATAAAAATACTTTTAATGATAATTTTTTTCATCATCAATATCATCATCATCGCCATCATCATCATCATCATCATCATCATCATCATCATCATCATCATCATCATCATCACCATCATCATCATCATCATCATCATCGCCATCATCATCATCATCATCATCATCATCATCATCATCATCATCATCATCGCCATCATCATCATCATCATCATCATCATCATCATCACCATCATCATCATCATCATCACCATCACCATCATCATCATCATCATCATCATCATCATCGCCATCATCATCATCATCATCATCATCGCCATCATCATCATCATCATCATCATCAACATCATTGTTATTATTATCATTCTTTATTGCAGTGGATACCAGTTGCCCTGGGATCTCCTTTGAAAGGGTTGGATGCTACAAAGATGCACACAAACAAACGCAGAGACCTTTGCCAGATTACCTCTTCAACGATCGCGATAGCTCGATTCAGACCTGGAGCGGAAAGTGGATCGACTGGAGAAATTGGGATGTGTACGTTCCTCAGTTCGCTTGTAGATGCGCCCATGCGGCTAAGGCCAAGAACTTCACTTACTTTGGCATGCAATTTTACGGTAAATTTCAATCGGTCAAAAGGGCAAATATACACTTTAAATGTAGAGTGTAAATTGTAAAAATATCGTACTGTCTATTCTATTCGGTCAGGTATTTTCAGGGATAATTAAATTGGTTGGGGGACTCTGACTGACAGTCTGCTTGTTTGCGTGGTTTACAAAAGTATTACGTTATCAGTACGAACAGTGTGTGGGTTCTTCAACATTACACATACTTTATTATATGAGCAAGGGCTGTGAGGCTGGGCCTGTGGTTTATCATTCTTGTCCGAGAAGATTAGAAATAGAATCACGCTATAGAAGGATTAGCCTGAGAAACCAGCCGACATTTGGCCACGGCACCAGTGGGTTTCCCGGCGAAATGACGCCTGAGCAACAAACGCAGAAATTCTATTGGTACTGATGACGTGTCACTACCCAGATCTGGGTGACACGTCATAAGTATGGAATTTCTGCAGTCTGTCCTCAGTTGTCAGAAACCAGTGATGGCGTCTCAAAATGTCGCGGGCCGTCTTCTCAGGCTATAGAGAGAACTTTTTAGCCAATCAGATGGCGGAATTCGTATGCTAGTGGGGTTGTACTAGATGTAATGGTCATAAAGTGTGTCTTTCTTGCAGGAGAGTGTTGGAGTGGTCAAAATGGAGAGTCGACCTACTTCCGAGACGGCCCCAGTTCAAGCTGTGTTGACAAATGCTACGCACCCTGCAATCAATACAGAAAGTTTTGCTCTGGCATGCATTTTGCTAATTTTGTCTACAGACTCAGTAAGAAATTAGACTTCTTGCAGTCAGCCTTTTCGCTTATAATCCGTCCATTTCTTATCCCAGCGAGCGCGACAGCAAACAACGACGCGTGCAGTAACTTTAAAAAGAAAAAAAACACTGCTTGCCAGTCGCGGGGCCCGGGGGACCCTACCCTCATGTTTTTAGACCAAATTGAGGCACAAAGCTCGAAAAAAAATGTTTTGGAGACCGCCCACCCCTTACCTCAAGGTCTGGGGCCCGTTTCTCGAATGTCCCGGTAACTTTTCGGGCCCGAAATCAAATCTTCAAATCGAAATATAAAGAGTAAGAGCGCGGGTCCTGGCTAGCAACTACTCCATTTTGTTTCATAAACTCATAGTTTTATCATGTTAGATGCAAAACTATTGAAACCTCTATCTTGCATGTAAACAACAACAGCTTTGCGGGCCCCGTTAAATTATCGGGACTTTCGAGAAACGGGCCCTTGGATCCGGCACTGCTTACAGCCTAGTAAGAAATATATTCGGTAAATAAACTGCCAAGAGAACGTAGTACTTGAAGACCTCACATAACAGGAATTAATCAACATTCTCAGGTCAATGAAATCACGGCTTGTGTTCTTTCTGGTCGTCCAGCCTAAATTGACGTTACACGGCGTAGCGTTTTCTGGTCTTAATGGTCTCCTGTCTTATCTTAAAGGCGGTCTGTCACAATATTCTGAGTCGTCATGTTTTGATATAGAGCATTTTCACTCACGTGGCCAGCATCTATACAGATTTATTGGAACAAAAGAAAGCGTTTGTATAAGAAAAGAATTCATCTCCCACAGGATTGTCTTGGTACACCAACATGGCCGTCGTTTCATTGTTTTGGAACACCAATATGGCCGCCGTGACCTCATGTGAAAACGCTTTATATAGCTACTTACACAGTAACCTCAGGGGATCTTTTTTAATTATAGAGGAAAATTGACCAAAGAAGCAATAACAACTCGAAAGGATTTAAGGAAGGAGCCGATGGCTGGGCACTCATATTCTCGGCATTTTTCCCCATACATGTAGACATGGATATAGTACGTGTTCATCTATCTATCCATTTCTATTTATTTGGCTTTATCATAACAGCCATTATTTTCAATTCTCTACTTCTGTCATAGAGCCAAAAAAAAAGGAAGAAGACTGCGAAGTGAGTATAACTCCAATTGGTTGCTACAACGAAAACCCAAAACACCCTGCTCTCCCTAAAGTTTTCTACAACGAAGCCGAACCGGGAAAGCCAAACTTTGCAGGAAGCCTTCTACAGTGGAGTAACCATTACAAAGCTGATTTTAAAACGCTCTTGTGCAAGTGTGCCCATCTGGCGAGATCAAACAAATGGGGATATTTTGGAGTCAGGGAAATTGGTAGGTCAAAGGCAACTGATCATTAATATTGGGTCTGTACAAGAAAGAATAGGGAGATTAGGGAGTTTACGCGACGACGACGCGACGGCAACGAGAACAGCACCGCGCTTATTCCATCTCGGCATAGTTAATTGAGTGGAATGGTTATGAAACCCGTCAGACTCCTTTGTTATATGTTTTTGTGGACCTGAAAGTGCACAACGTTCAAAAAAATTCCTATTATTTTGATTGTATTGACCAACAAAAATGTTGCATTAATTTATTCCGTAACAATTTGCCAACAGAAAACAAAGGATTGTGCACTTTCAGGGTGCTTTCAACATAAACTGCAGCACTGTTGTTTTTATCATTGATGTTTGCCGCTTTTCATAACCAGTCTCCTCTAATAACTATGATCTCGCTTAATTCGTACAAATGTTGGCAAACTTTTTTGGAGTTGAATTCTAAAGGACTGTATCAAAGTTCAGGAAAAGAAAAAGAAAGTTGTGTCATGTGTTCTCGTCCTCGACAAAACGTGAAATTAGGCACTTTCACGTTGTAGTCGTGCAACGACTGCAAAGAAATGTACAAAAAAGCATGATGCTCGTGCAAAGTTGTTGTTTTGCTAAGATAACTCTATTACCTTTTTGCCGTTCTCCTTGCGGTTGCCCTCATTGTTGCTTAAGCTCCCTATAATAATGAGATGGAGAGGGAAACGCCTTTGAAAACTGTAAATGTCACCAAAGTTATCTTTAGACCAATTAAACGCTTGAAATTAACCGGGAGTTGGTCTCTGGAGAGGTCCGCAAATTTTTATTCAGTGTTGTCAGGACAGAATTCAACGGTCGCCGTTACAATATTAGGGAGCTTAAGCAACAACGTTTTTGAGCGACGCACGTCAACCGGAAGTGGCCTTTTTTCATTTTTTTGACGGTGGTTTCGCCCAAATTTTCAGTCAAATCGCCTCTATAACAGTAAAGAAGCTAAGGAATACAAATTTTATATCATCAAGGCATGTTAAGAGGGAAAATACCTCACTTCCGGTTGACGTGCGTCGCTCAAAAACGTCGCTGCTTAAGCTCCCTATTCTGTATTGTTTACTTTGAGACAGACGCGCGTGTACTTGAATTGATGACGTTTCAAATGTAATTAGTTAAGTGATTTTCATATATGGCAAGGGGTTGGACCTCGTGACTGAGCCTCCCCGTATAACAACTTTGTTTTAACGGGTAATCCCGCGGGCTGCGGTATCTGACCTTTTCGTCATTTGAGTGGTCCTTTTCCAAAACGGGAAAATAAATAGTGATCGCAAAAAGAGTCTGCTAACGATTTACGTTATTTTTGTGAATACCTCTACCTACAGGTTTGTGTGTGAGTAACCCAAATAACCCATCGAATTACGATAAGTACGGCGCATCGGACAAGTGCACAGCAGGCCCACACACCTATGCTTGCCCGGTTTTAAATGGAATATGCGGAGCATCGGTCGACAGTGCAAACTACATTTACCGAATAGATGGTCTAGGTATGCAATAGACTTTGGTCAACTAAACCTTAGTAAGTCTGACATTTTTGTCAATTGTAAGACAGGAGGTTTATGTTCAAATTACGTTTTCGTTTCGGCCTTAACCGTGCATGCACACTACACCATAGCATTCTAATCAAGTTCCGGTCAATAAAGACTTTTTCGTTTATTCAATCCGAATGGAAATTGTTGCATTTTGAGAGGCTTTTACAGCTTTTACAGATTTTAGCACAAGAAGGAAACTCGAGTATTGAGTACTCATAGTTTGACCATTTACCTGTTTTTGAACGTTTGATGTCATATGACCATCCTGTTAGGTATTGATAGTCTTGTAATACATCTCACCAAACGTTTTCCTTCCTCAGTTAACAATGACAACCCTCTCAGCGACTCTCTTCCATCCCGCGTCTGGGCTAGCAAGCTAAAAAGATCTTCCCAGAGTAAAAAGGTGTTCAATTGTTTGTTTTATAACCTTACACCGTAATTTTTAGGGAGTTATTATAACTCCCAAAAATGGAGTAAAAATTTTAGGTACAGGATAACCCCTTTTTGGGGGTTATTTTAACTCCTAATCTAACTCCGAATTTGGGGTCACTTTTAGTCCTGAAAAAGAGTTCTTTTTTCTCCCAGTCTGGAGTTAAAATAACTCCGAAATGGGGTTACTTTAACTCCTTACCTGGGTTGTTTTTACTCTTTTTGGAGTTAATTTAACTCTGAAAGTGGAGTAAAAATGTTAGGTACAGGATAACTCCTTTTTGGGGGTTATTTTAACTCCTCAATATCTGGGGTCACTTTTACTCCAGAAAAAGAGTTCTTTAAACTCCTTTTTGGAGTTAAAATAACTCCCCAAAAAATAACCCCACTGTAAGGAGTTAAATTAGCCCCACTAGAGAAGTTATTATAACTCCTTGAAAATTACTGTGTATCAGTAACAATAATCCTTTTTCTCCTTTAACTTATATAGTAATAGCTAAGCTAGCTAAAACTGTTATTGACTTTTCTATAACCTTAAAATCGCTTATTGAATGTCTCAAAATGTCCGACCCAACCAATTACTGCAATTACGAGATCAATTTAGGTTCTAAGAAACTCCCCACTTACCCCTCCCTTAAGCTAACATTAACACTTACTTCTCACTTAGGGCAAAATGTTGGCTTAGGGGAGGGGTAGGTGGACAGTTTCCCAGAAACCTACGTCGATCCCAATTACGATAGCGCCCCAAGTATTCCGAAAGTGAAAAGAAATTGCTTACCTGCACGATCCAGGAGAAACTGCAGCCTATTCCAAGGCTTCGCTCAAGATAGGAGCAACAACCTAGCTGCATGCCAATTTCCTACGCGCTCAAAAGAGAGAACGGGGAAGATAGAGAGCGCGGCAAGAACTGGTGGGAGGAACTTGAGGCCCGTGGGGGGGGGGACTCCGCATATGAAAGGGACGGGGATGCTCATCGTCTCGCTTCGGGGTGTAAATTTCGGATTTTGGTCTCACTTAGGGTGTTCTGGGGAAAACGCCATCATATTTAGCCGTGAAGGTGTCGTTTAGGGTTGCACGCGAAAAAATATAAAAATATATATTTGATATGTATATTTATAATTCGTTTTATTTACTCCATTCATATAAATCCAAGTTTTCTCATTTGTCTGTGTTTTAACATGGTCTCTTTTAGGGGTCAAAAAAAGCTTGGGCCACGCCCAGATCGGTCTCGTTTAGGGGTTTAATTCAAAATTTCCGACTAGCATCCTCACACCTTTCATATGCGGAGTCCCCCCGGGACTTGAGGGAATTGGGTGGAATGCCAAACCTTCAAAACCTGACCCTGTCAAATCGATGAAAAGTCTCGTTCATTTCTCTACCCTGATTAAGACAAACAAAATATCTTAAATCACTTCAAACTCACTAAGGTGTATAATTTCTCTGTTTTTACCATGACGCATAATCTTTGATGCCATTTCTAAGAGTAAAAGGATATGCTAGGAATAATCTGTTGCCATTATCATCACTATAATCATTATCGTTATCTTTATCGGTATCACTATCGTTATCGTAATCATAATCATTTTCTTTCCATTTGTTTTATGAACCAAAACTCCAGTTTGCCAAAGCTGAGGCACCCAAAGAAGATCCCATCACTCAAGAGTAAGGATGAACAACAGCCTCATACAGGAAAAAAAGAGAGAGATTCTAATTTGACTTCTAGGTTATAAATCGAGTATTTTAAGTTAAAGATTTAAAAGTGGCGGGAGCCCACAGGGGATCAGTCTATGAAACCGTCAAATTTAATGTATGTAACTTTTAAAACAAGCAACAGCTATTAAAATAATATCAGTCCTTTCCTGTCTAAATCATTCGTTTGTTGATATCTTTTGTATCAATAGAGAGGAGAACACTGTACCCAGGGTGCCAGACGCATTTCATGCGCGGTTCCCGGTGTCGGTCAAGTCTTAAAAAGTGACCCGCGCGAAAGATGTTGGCTTTTTTGGATTCGCCGCTTGTGTCTTCGGACTTCGGCCGAAGACGTGTCGGCTTGTGGTCGACGAAGCTCCTCGTCGCACGCGAGACAACCTCTTGTACCCGGGGTAGGAGAAATGAGACGTCACTGAGTTCCCATGGTAGCAAAATTTCTGGATCACAAAAATAGGGAGCTTAAGCAACCGGACGACAGCGACACCCGGGGGGAGGGGTACTGCCATATATGGGCTATATGGGTATGTGCCGCTGTGAAGGGTATGGTTTTCAAGCAGTTTACTCTGGGATAGGGTATATAAATCAGAGCGTTTGGGTCTAGAATACGGTATCATTTTTCAGGAAACTGATCAGTTGGTTGAAGATTTTATCTAGACTGGGGACTGCGGGGGGCCGGAAACAGCTACTCTAGGATAGGGGGATTTTGGGAGTTTACTCTAGTATAGGGGTAACAAAATTCAGCTGAACTAGCTCTGGTATAGGTCAAGGGTTCCAGGGTCCCAGCGGCACATCCCCACCCAGAAATTCCTAAAGTGCCCCCCCCCCCGGGCAGCGACGCCAACGAGAACGTCAAAATTAATAGGTTTAATTGATCAGCAATTATACAACAACTTTGCACGTTCATCACGCTTGTTTGTACATTTCTTATTAGCCGTCGTTGCACGACTGCGACATGAAACTTCCTCATTTCACGCGCCAGCCTTCTGCAGTACGTCGGAACGCAACACAAAAAATATTTTCTTTTTCTGTTATTAAATATTAGATACGCCGCGTCCTTTAACGTCTTCGGATTTAACCCCAGAGTATTTCGCCAACATTCGACAAATAAAATGAAATTGAATAAGATCGATGAAATTTGAAACAGTGCAGCTTCACTTTTGAAGTGACGTTTTCGGTTTGTCAGATTGTCCAGAGTCCAGAAATTTTTCTACTGTGGTGACGTGACGTAATGCCTTCTTCTCTCTATCTCTTTGAAACTTTCCAAATTGGGAGGAAAAAGCAGACAAGCCTTGGACCAGGCTCTGCAGTGAAAAACTAGGCGAAAAAACTCGGCGAGCGAGCCGAGCCGAGCGGGAGTCTGGGCCCTTTCCCCTTCACCAGTCCACCCCAGTGCTTGTTTCGCTCGCTCATTCTTTCTTTTCGCTATTTCACCCCGCTTCTTGCCTTTTCCCCGCCTATAGAGCCTGGTCCCAAGTACATATATCGTCTACCTCAATCCGCTGGCCAGAAGCAGGTTGTCGCTTAAAATTATCTAAATCCTAGACTACGAGTAGCCCCCATAGTTTTCCTCAGGGATAGTGGGGCGACCGAAACGCAAGCACGCGTGAAATCATCCCACGCGAGAAAAGCGTGAGGTGATTGTCACGCGCGCTCGCTTTTCGCTCGCTCTACTATCCCTGAGGGAAAATGGGGACTACTCGTAGTCTATCTAAATCCATCCGTTAGGAACTATAGGCCAACACGTGATTGAATAGAAAATTAAACTGACTGCTTTATTAGCTGCTTAGAAACATGTAAATGACTGACACACTGCAAAGGTAGAAGAAGGCGCAAGTGGGAACAAATGAAGGAGATCAAAACGGATTGCAAATGGGGTTTTTGAAACTCTCCAGCACTAACAGGTTTTCAAAGTCAATGTCTCTTTTCTAAGTGACTTGGGATTGATTGAACGTTTGAGTTGCCTGAGAGGGCTTCTCATGACAAGTAATTTCAGCACATGATTTTAAGTTAATTTCCGCAGCGAGAAACGGCGATAAATTGGAAAACTAGATAAAACTGGGGACGGTCGGGAAACAACCATTCTTGAGAAAATAAAACCACGGTTACCATGGATACTGAAGGTTTTCATACAGCCCTACGCTTAATTATTGGCGGGAAAACAAGGGGGTAGCCTATGCGATGAAAGCTAAAGAACTTATTGCCACAGGCTGTAGATGAGCCCACAGGCTGAACTATAGCTTTACAAGTTCCATTTTAGCAAGCCATCCCAGTAGACGAAGCATAAAATCTTATCAACTTTTTTTTTGCTCAAAAGTCAGCTGAAAAGATTATATGGTCATGTGAAAAAATATGGACTTTATCACGTGTAACTTTTCCAAGCCTTCTTGGAACAATTAAAGCTTTTGACCTTTTAAAGTGTCATCAAAAGACTGCTGACATATACGCCAAACTTACTGTATTTGAAAAATGCCAATTATGCATATGGCCAATTTACAGAGTCGGTACACAACTAAAGCCAAGTGCCGCGTCCCGTGAAAGCCTCTCGATCAATTCCCATAGGCGACAACATAATCGCAAACTACAAAAGCGATGCTCTTTGTTTTCTTTCGGTTTGGCGTCTAAACGACTTAATTTAAATGTTTGCAGTTATTGATTGCTGTTGTTCAGTTATTTGATTTCGTGGCTGTCACACGAGCCTTCTAAACTCTGCAAAACCGAGAATAACTTGAACTTTCCACTGGAAGGAGATCGGAGCGTCGAAAGGTGAGTTGTAGCTGATTGTGACTGATTGCCTACCGAACAAGTAAGCCTCGTTTTTGGGCCTTATTGGAAATGTTTCAGAAAATATTGTCATAATTTGTGAGTACATCAAACAAAGAAATTTATGTCAACTGGTTGGACAGCCGCAAGAAAGAATAGGAGTTACATTGTTTGTAATAAGATTACTTTACATTTTCTGACGGATCAAACAGCTAGATCTCCGTCTGTATTTTACAATTTTCAATTAATCAAATTCTTATTTTAGCAATATCTGCCCATTTCTGAGGACCGTCTTCTTTACAAGTCTCATTCTTAATTAGCCAGTGTAACCGGAAATTTTTAGGGAATTTTTTTTTTTTACATTTTAGAGCCACAAGTAAACTCATCAGCTGAAATTGTTGTTTTGCTTCATTTGAGAAAATCCTCTAGCAATTGGAGAGCTGAACTGTGTTGTCATTGATAGGCAGAACTGTTTTGTTCTGTTTGATTAACGTAGCATGTTCGTCGAAGAAGCAAACACGGACACAGCGGAGCAAGATGATGTGGTTTCCAACATCAAAACGAATCTAACTTGTCAAAGTTGCGACAAACTGTTCTTGGATCCGCGAATACTACCTTGCCTGCATACATTCTGTTGCCAGTGTATTGAATCCCTTGTGCGAAACCGACCTATGCAGGACAAAATACTCAAATGTCCGACTTGTCAACTGGAAACGGGACTGGATAGTCGCTCCGCCGTGAGGAAACTTCCCGCGAATTCTCTTCTTGTTTCACTTCTTGATTTGCTGCTTATTCAACAAGGTGAAGCTATTGGGTGCGACATCTGCGACGATAGCGAGGAGGCATCAGCGCATGTCCGTTGTAAAGAATGTTCGGTTTATCTGTGCAAGCTCCACGAGGAGGCTCACAAGAGAGCAAGGGATACAAAACAACATGTGCTTCTCTCTTTGGGTAAGTTAAAGTTTTCCCTCTCAACTAAAATGACAATTTGACTATTTTGGCAAAATTACATGTAGTAATAAAATCAGAACTATACAGGCAAAACACAGAAACAAAATCTGGAATCCGATCCTGTTTTAAACGAACTGCACTTTATTAAATACTTTTGACAAGGAACAAAATTCAACTCGTGAAGAACGTTTCACAACAACTATGCCTAGGCCCCAGTCCTGATTATTCCACGCGGTCTATTCGTTTTAAGCACGTGGTCCGAACGATCGTTTCGTATTCTTCGATTTGAGGGTCTTGATGAAAAACCCCGTATAGGAACTACATGTAATTATAGATAGAGGTAAAGTACAATTATGACGCTGTGGGGAGGGGTTGGGGGTGGTGGGACGTAGAAACCCCCGAGGGGGCACTGCAACGTCTTTTCTGGGACAGTCAAAATTCACCAGCGAGAATTAAACCGAAAGCTCAAGGATCCGAGACTGTTGACAATCCGCACTATCTAGTGTGGCACGTGTCTTGATCAACTACTATTTATTCAACAGATCACTTGAAAAGCATGTCTCTCAGAGAACTTAACCGCCCGACTTACTGCTCAGCCCACACGGATGAGAAACTAGCTCTATTTTGCGACACCTGCAATGTGAGTATCTGCCGTAACTGCGCCCTTGGCGATCATAACCGACACGACACACAGTTCCTTGAGGACGCCTACTCCAAACTTCGACCACGACTTTCAGAGTTGCTGGATCAAACAAAGAGTGTTTGCATCAAGGTGGAAAATGCTATTCCCATGTTGGATTGGATGTTAGCACGAGTCAACTTGAAGGCTGATGGTGTCTTGAGAGATATTGAAGAGAGCATCAGTGCGAAGATTAAAGCTTTAGAACAACGTAGAAAGGAGCTACGATCCACGGTGGAACTGATCAGGATAAATAGAAAAACTATTTTGGAAATGCAGAAGAAAAAACTAGAGGCATCCCGGGATACATTGCGCGTGTCATGTCACTTTGTCAAGAGAGTTCTAGAGGATGGTAATACTGAGACACACTTTACAATTTTTCCCAAGGACACTCAAGCGCACATCGAAGTCCCTCTCAACGTGTGCCTTTGGTAGTGGAATGTTTTTTTTGAGTTGAGAATAAACTGAGCCCTCTTTAAGTTAACAAGCATTGCTATTTCATCCAGACTCAAGAGCTCTCCTCCGCAGAGGCTCCCGATGGGTATACCAAAAAAAAAAAACTAGCAGGCGCGTAGTGGATGGTTGGAAAAGAGAAAAGGCGGATTCCTGCCGTTCTCTATTCCCCTTCCTATCTTCCTCTGGGTGCCTGATTTTTCCGACCTCTCCCAGCCTACCTACGCGCGCTACCACGTACACAAATACTGTTTCTGCAGAAGAAAGCCAAGAGGGCATTTTAATTACATCTGAATCTCAAGAAGAAACTAACTTGAAGAATAACTCTGCCCGAGATCACTTTTTATTGATAGTTCGCTTTACGTTTTAATTGTAAACTGATGAAATTGATTTTCCTCAATATCTTCTAATGCTCAACCGAGTTTCTCTTGATTTATTCCTCCCGATCAGGTGATTCAATTTATCTCCTGTCTGCAAAAGATCTCATGTCTGACAGACTAAAATCTCTTGCCACTCAACATTACGAGCTGCAACCCCGAGAAGACCATGCGATGAGGTTCCATGCCGATGGCCAGACACTACATAACATAATAGACTCGTTTGGTTCCATAGAAGCATCATATGCTCATTATGCTACCTCTTCAGCAGAAGGGCGTGGCCTTCAAGAAGCGGTTGTCAACCAATTGGCTCATTTTACGGTTGTAACCAGGTCTGTAAAGATACATCCTTTTCTTGCCCATTGATCATTGGCGAAGTTAAGCAAAATTCTCAGTACCGACCGGTTCTGACGCCGAGAAATTCTGAAGAAAAGCGATTAATGTTGAATGTGTTAATCACGTGATCCCAGTAGTTCAAAAAGTGGATAACACTAGCCACTGGTTAAATTTTGCAAATAGAATTCCTCTATTAATCAGGACTGCACAGCCACATCAGTCTAAGACCTAAATAATATGCACAGCAGAAATGAGTTTTAGCGAAAGTTCAAAGTGACTTTTGAAAAGCGCCTTTATATTCTTGTGAGGATGAAATTTTGGCTCAAAAATGATATTGATGCAAACATTTTTTTTCAGGGACAGAAAAGGAAAGCCAATCGCATGTGAAAATGGTGACGTCAATATTCAGATTCAAGCTCCGGATGACACCATCATCGTTGGTGATGTGATCGCACAGAATGCTGGGAGACACAGCGTCACTTACAGTCCTTCGTTACCAGGCCTCCATCTCATTCAAGTCACCATCCGAGGATTTCCAGTAAACGAAAGCCCTTTTGCTGTACACGTGCCTTGCGAAGCACGTGAGTATAAAGACATAAGGGAACCGACCTTGGTGATAGGAAGGCCTGGGGAAAAACCCGGGCAGTTAAAAGGAGCAAGGGGAATCGCTGTGGATAAAGAGAACAGGATAATCGTATGCGACAGGAACAATTTTCGCGTTCAAGTGTTTGATTCTTCTGGCGTGTTTCTGTTTAGTTTTGGAAAGAAAGGTGACGGAAAAGGTGAATTCCAGGGTGGTCCTCTGAGTGTCGCAGTGAACAAAGATGGAAAGATTTACGTGTGTGATTCGAGCCGATCGTCAGTACTGATGTTCGACTCTAAAGGAGAGTATCTAGGAGTGTTGAAACCTCCCGAGGGAGTTTCACAGCCCGCTGGAAGGCCCAACCATGTTGTTGTTGATGAGGAAGGGCGTGTCTACTTTGATGATTGCGAGAACCGAGTCATCTACGTCTTCAGTGGCTCCGCAGAATATTTGTCACATTTCAAAGTTGGCACTTTGGACGATGACGATGGTCTTCAACGAAAAATCTCCGGTATTGCTGTAAACAGCAAAGGTAAGTAAAAGAACTTGATAAGCATACCTTTTTTCCGGGTACCTGTTCTCAGTTACGTACCTTGCGACCGGAGCCAAGGAGGCTCTTCCTGACCCCGAACTTCTGGACTAGTCAATCCTGTTTTCTCTCGTCAAACTCGGTTTCCTTGTTCGAGAATCCGTTTATTGATAAACCGATGGTCATAACTGGAAGGGCAATGTCGAGGACGCGCGTGCAAAAGGAGAGAAAAGAATTGGATGAGAGGATTTGATCTTTGGTGATCATTGTATTAATTCTCATAACTTTGTCTCTTGATAATGTATTGGAGTTGATTTGAGAAAATTGATGTTAGTCACTCTTGGGTCTGACAGTTCGTGGGACACTGAACTAACAGGTCGGATAAGATGGAAATGATTTCTTGTACTGCAATGCTGCTAATGAAAACTTATTATCCAAGTATCCATAAGTAAAATTCACTTATTAGAAGCTTTCTTTTGTTATTAGGCGAGATCGTGGTTTCAATGGCCGAAGATGCCGGATTTAAAGTGTTTGAAAGGGACGGCAGCATGGTTCGAAACATCGCACTCCCCTTTACGGAGCTTAACTTGCTCACCCCGGAAGCCATTGCTGTTGATAACAATGACAACATTCTGTTGGTTGACAGTATGAAGAACAGTCTACTAGTCTTCTCAGCTGAAGATGGTCACCTCATTGCGGAATGCACAAGGGGGGGTTTATGTAATCCATGTGGAGTTGCAGTAGATTTAATGGGTAGAATTCTTATAGCTGATGATTCAAATCAGATAAAAGTTTTTTAGACCTAGTAAAAGAGACGGCAATAGCCAGAAGCTGAGCTTTTCTGTTTTGCGCCATTGAAAAACGCTAGCAAAGACCCTGGAAAGAAAACGCAGCAAGCACAATCTATAAAGCGGTATTACGTACATTGTTTGCACCAAGAAACGTCGCTTTTTACTAACAGCGACAACCATTTGATGTCTAAAATTTAAAGCTGCACGAAAACTCAAAAGGATCGAGAAGATTAGTCGACATTTGTGTTCAATTAACTTGTTTAAGGTGATTTTCTTGAAAAAGTAGTGGCCAATTGAGCGAATGTTAAAGAGCGGCGACGGCTACGTAAACATCACCGCTGACGTCACGAACACTGTCGCGCTTTTTTCATCTCGTTCAATTCGTCAAATATTGGCACATTTTTTTGGAGTTGATTTCTAAAGGTCTGTCTGAAGTTCAGAAAATGAAAAACAAAGTCGTTGCCTTGCGTTTACGTCCTCTGCAAAACGTGAAATTAGGCATTTTCAAGTTGTAGTCGTGCAGCGACGGCAAAGACATCGACAAAAAAGCGTGATGCACGTGCAAAGTTGCTGTTTTGTTTATCTAAACGATTTTCTCGTCTAAACCTTGCTTTCTTGCCGTATTCTTTTCCTTTACGGTTGCTTAAGCTCCATGTTAAGGCAGCTGGGTTACCCGCGACTCTTTAGCCCCCATTAAGTCAGTATACACTATTACACATTCTCTCACACTGTAATAACTTTTCTTAACACTACTTTAATCTAAAGAGCTGATTATGATTAATTAAGCAGTAATATTACAAGGAGAAAGTAAATATTGATTCCTTATAGGAATGTAAGGGTCAAGGTTTTAAAGTGAACGAAGCTGAGCAATAATGCAATACATGTCATAAAAACCATAATACATGACTACATACAATTTGTACTAAGCCAGAAAATACAAACTTTTGCCCAGTGAATGTTACAAATATTACATAAACTATAAGTAACCACAAATGTCGAGATTAAAATAAAAACACCACATTAAAGGAGCGAGAAACGCTTTCCCGCTTTTGAAACGATTGCATTGTCATTTATTCAATCAGGTAATCATGCTGATGGTTACTGTTACTGACTACAAGGCAATGGGCATTCGCATGATGACATCACTTGACTAAAATTTCTTAATTAAAATTCCTTTGCCACTTCAGTGTAGCAATCTTGGTGAGCTTCAACCAACCAAATCCGTAATTCGGAAAAGACAACAACATCCTCAAGGATTACGGTAGTTTAAGTTAAATGGTGATTTGGGCAAGTGCCTTAAGGTCAACTACCCTATGTTGTAACAGAAGGGGATTTTTAAGAAACTACTGTAGGCTCTTCAGTGGGCTATAAGGCAAAAGCTAAGAAAGTGCAGAAAGATAGGGAAAGAAAAAAAAGACTCAAGGGGGGTCCTGAGAAGGTCTAAACGCTCCCACACGTCTCCCAACTTCCCCGGCGGTCTGTTCACAGGCTATAACAAGTAAAGACTTTAAAAAGTGCATTTGGGAGGAATTGAGGGGGACATCAAAATTTCTTGTTTTGAGTACATCCTTCACAATGGAGAAAAACCTTTTACAACAACATGCAATCATTCAAAATTTTGGATTTACAAGTAGAGGTGTGTACATGCATAAAAAAAACAGACTGTACATGCATAAAAAAGCGCAAATTTTTTCCCTTGTCTTCTGCGACTTCCTTGATCCTTGGTACTGACTGTGGTTGCCTGGAGACCCTACAAACTGCATGTATTGGTCAACATTTTGATAGTCTAAAGAAAGAATAATGGAACAGAAAAGGAACCTTGGTGCGTTGGAAGGGATATGTGAATTTCACTTACGTTATTTTAGAGGTAGCCAGTTTAAGGGAAGTCGAATTCCTAAGATGGCTGCAAATTTTAATTTATTGTTGAAACGTGATCAAGTCCATGGGTGACTAGTCTGCTACACAGCCGTTTTTAGTGTCATCACGCAACGCTCCTCCCCACAAGCGGCTTCTGAAAACCGAACTACATTCCTTTCCCTTTGTGTTTATGGTCTAACGAACAAGCCAATCATGTATAAGAGATTTGACTATACGTGAGCCGCCGGGCGCTTAGTCTGCTACACAGCCGTTTTTAGTGTCGTCACGCAACTCTCCTCCCTGTTGCGTGACAACTCTAAAAACGGCTGTGTGGCAGACTAATGGGTGACTGCCTCAAAGCAAAAAATGCACTGAATATTGTCATGACGACTGTTGAATTCTCTCTTGACAACAATGAATTAAAGTTTGCAGGCCTCTCCTGAAACCAACTTTTGATTGATGCAAGTGTTATAATTTGTCTAAAAATAACCTTGGTGAAATTTAAATATCCAGAGGGCTAGACAGGGTGATTCCCTCTATGTTCCATTACAGTAATAACCCGCAACTAAGAACCTGTTAGGCTAAAATTTGCCAGATAGGCCCCCTCTATACAATAACCTGTTTGGCCTAAATTTGAAACAGGTTCTCGTTTTCTATAATCTAAAAAAAATTTTTACTATTGGGCAAATAAGATAAGTCAACATGTAGGATCCTCTTTGGAGACACAGCTGCCTTATCACTCCAAAAATGCTCTAAGAACCTATTAAAGAACCTAAACAGCCTAAATCATTTCGTGCTAATCACCATTTACGTACGAATCTGTTTAGGCTAACTTAGCAAAATGAAGGGTCCTAGCCGCGGGTTTTTACTATATTCTCTTTTCATTGAATACAGTCTTATTTAGTCAGCGTCAGCATTGGCTTCAGCTTCATCATCATTGTTCTGATTTTCCTCCTCATTCGGTGCAGGCGAGGGACTGCGTGACTTCTGCTCCAGTTCAACTTTCTTCTCAGTGCCCTCTTTAGTAGCTTGCTCTTCGGCATCTTCATGTTCTTCTTTCCTTTTGTCCTGGCTCTTGTCTGGACTAGCACTCCTGAATCAAACATGACGCAGAAAGTGAAAATAGAGCCATTCTGTGCACCAAAATTGTTCAAATGTATATACAACAAAACGAGTGGCATGTAGGCTTACTCTAGATTTCATGTCAGGGCTGCCATTGAGGTTTTAAGCAGCTTTCAAGTGAATCATAGCTCTATACATGTACCTTTCTTTATTGGACTTCTCCTTGCTTTGGCTGCGACTGCGAGAACGACTCCTACTGGGAGATTTAGAGCGAGATTTTGACTTTTTTTCATATGATCCTGAACGCCTTCTAAAAGTAAAGGTAAAGAATATCATAAGAAAAAAATTGGCTTTCTATTACTAGCCAAGCACTAATCATTTGAGCCCAAAGGTAATACATGCATGTGAGAGGGCTTGGTGCATCACTAACCCAAGAATCTGGACCAATCCCATCCTGAACCCCTTGCAAGGGATGCCATCTAAAACAAGATTGCTCTACCATTATTTGAAGGGATGCTTGAAATATAAGATTCTTTTTAAATAGTCTTAATGTTTGAAGGTGAAAACAGGGACAATTTCAGGAGTTTAAGAGTCTTTTTGGACTTTGCATACAAGCCTTTGTTTGCCGTTGCAAAGTAACCTGAAGGTGAGAAGAAAATAATAATATAAAAATGTTTCCATTCATGCAGGCTGTGGTTAACTAGCCTGAAGCAGTCATACGGGCCTATCCATCCCCTTTTACCAACATTTGCTTTGTTTTGGAAAATGTTGCTAACCCATCTGACAACTATAAACAAACTGACATGCTAGCCAGACAGGTTGTTACTTTAGCCCTGGGATATTAGACAGCACTTTTGTCATGTTGTGGAGGTACCATTTAGATCCTCAGTTCACAAAGCTATCCTTCCTAAGTCAAGACATATTTCTGCGATTGTCCCTTAACAACAATACTTAGGGTGTTTTTTAGGATTTCCTATGTGGCACTTGGTTTGTACAGGCATCTAAGAAGAGCAAAAAGCAAGACTAATGCATTGATTATGAAGATGAAAGGTTTGCGCCCATCTCTACTGGCAGATTTGGAGTTTACTAACCTTGGTGACCGACTTCTGCTTTTGCTTCGACTACGTCTTCTTTTGGGAGAGCGAGATCGGGATCTAAAACAATCAAAGATGCTTTAGGTCAAAAATACTTGCTTTTCGATACATAATACAATAATCTGTTAAAAATAAAATGAAAAGTAACGCTAAAATTTCTCTTGTTCTTTGACAAAGTACTGTCCCCATATAACATAAATCAAGGCAAAAAGAAATAACTCCAATCGAGCATTCCTTGTTGATCGTGTCAGGAAGGAGATTGAAAAAACAAAGATTTTAGACATATTTTAAACTGTTATCATTGTATGTATAGTCAAAATGTGGGAATATTTTTCATTACAGCCTTATGTACATTACACCGAGCTGTATAAAAATGTTTGTGACGGTAGATGACTATCAAGGTGAGAATAGCAAGAAGAACTAGTGTTTTCATTTCAAACAGAGAATGTTTCATTTTAGTTGAGTGTTGACAGAGTATTAATTTAACCTTCTAACATGTCTTTTCATGATTATTTTATTAAAGGACATGTATTAAAAACAATTGGAGGAACAACTGTTTTAGTATTGTTCTAAATGACAAGTTTAAACACTTTATTCAAACTGTAGTTTGTTATGAATACAACCATAAAATTGAAGATGCAGCAACACCAGAGTTTTCCATTTTCACCAACTCTTATTCACAGGGTCAAAAATTGAAGGACTTTTCAAGGACTCCACTGAGCGCAAAACAGAGAGGCCTTGAGTCTATGTCTTTTAAGTCCTTCCACAACATGTACAATTTAACCCTGACGATCTTTCTGTGTTTGCTTCTCTTCTTTTGCAGTTCTTGGGTTGGACAAAGTTAGCACCGAAATTCATGGACTTTGCTCGCACCAATTGAACTGCCATTTTCAAGGACTTTCAAGTTGCGTACAAACCCTTTACTCAGTAGGCTTTGTTCAATCAACACTCTTTTGCACTTTTTCCTTTTAATGCAGTGCGAAGAGCAAACTTTCAAACTATCATAGCTTCACTAACTAAAGATTCCACTTAAAAATTTTACAAAGAAATAATATGAATTTACTTGTTTTTAATTTAAATTTAACAATTGTTTAACCTTATTTTACAAACTAAATTTATCCCTAACTTGATCAGTGAATTAATTTTTATGCTAAACACAAATAAGAAACTTTCAGTAGAGATTCAATTCTTCAAGGATTTTTATCTCCAAAACACAATAGGGCCATTTATACAAGGAAAAAAGACTTGTCCCAAATAAGACGCAACCTATCCAATATAAACGGCACACTAAGATGTGTATTATCAAAGACCAGGCGTAAGGGCTGTTATTAGATAAGATGCATCTTAGCTAAATTTCAGAAGAAATATGCCATTTATATGGGATAGTTTGCGTCTTATCTTTCCTGTCTCAATGATACAAAATTTACCCGGTCTCTCCTGATGTAATTCATTTACGACAATTACGACTTGATTTTCTGCCTCATTTTATCAGTGGGTTATTTAAACGGTTAACATAATGACAGGATATTACTCTATACAGAGAAGTAACACAGGCTAATTATTATTATTTATTCCTTTAATAAATTATTCTTCAAGAAAATTAATGTTACATGTGCATTTTATACTATAAGCAACTTTGAATTCAAATGATATTCAAAGCAAAGCAAAACCCTAGCAGCACATTTGGAAAATCTTTTTTTACTTGAGATTACATAGCATCACTGAGAAAAAGGGCAGACAAAGTCATATCTGTAAAAAGTCTGTCTTAAACAAGATCGAACTGCAAAATATACAGCAAAAAATAATTGAACATAACAATCAAAATGTTAAATTTGACTTCTGCATGAAGGGTTCCAATAAAAAGGTTTTAAATAACCACAATTAAGTTGTGCATGTACTGTTCCCACAGGGAAATCTCACACCAGAAGTAAAAGGTTTATTGATAGCAACAAGTCAACTCTTTTCTCTAGCTAGAAATTGTACAATATACACTGTACATTGGCCAAAAACGTAACTCCCAGCATATTCCAAAACACTTATTCCCAACTCTAGGCGGAGGACTGTGCATTATATTAGCAGTGCCCTGTGTTGCCCTTGAGAACTTACTTTTGCTATTGGGCAACAAGGACATCTTAGTTTCTGAACAAAAGTTGAATGTTGAGCATTTAGAGCTTCTAATCCCATGAAAATTTTCTTAGAGCACAGCATTGAAAGATGGGTTCAGAAATTGAAAAACTAGTTTATAATATACAATACAATAACTTTATTTAACCCTTTCGTGCGCAAGTTCCTGGGAAGGAAAAGACCGCTAAAAATACTACCAACAAAAAATGTATTTCCTGGGATCGATCTTGATAGTATGACGTCAAAAATTGACCTAGACTGTTTTGGGATACATTAAATTAAAGCTAGCCCGCATTCGGTAACAGAAAACCAAATATCCTATTTTTGAGAATTTTTTAAAAATAAAAACTTGACAAAAGTGTGTCTCAAAATAGTTGCCTATAAAGTTTATCACCGCATGATTACTCCACACAGCAACATACATCAAAGCCAGGGAGAAAAATCGATCCAATGTCACACAAGCTTTACTTTGAAACCAAGAAAGCAAAATAAATGGTGTTAAAACTATGAAAGAATGGCTAAAATCTTTGACTGGTCGATACAAAATGGTGCTATTTACATATGTTTCTTTGTAAAATGACAAATTTTGCTTCGAGTTACCTTTCAAGCCTCTAAATCCAACACCTTTCCTTGACAGCACCACACACTTAAAAGTTCAACTGTTTGAATCTTCAGTCTCGTAGTTCGCTGAAGAACTCATAGAAAAACACGAACATTACCGTGAAAAATCCCCAAAAATATAACCGAAGCTGAAAGATCTTCGTCTTCCGTCGCCATTATTTGAGTTCCCGTGCCGCTGAGGTCGATAAAATATTGAAAATTTGACCACAATTGATCATACCCACAGAAAATGTCGCCATGTTGTTCTCTTTCTTGATCAAGTCACCACAGGCTACCCAAGACTCACGCAAATGTACGCTGACCATTTTTCTGCAGACCCCTTCCGATCGTACGATTGCGCACAAAAGGGTTAAAGAGGGAGACGTAATAACCTTTCACAGTTTTCTAACTTACGGCCCTCTGAATATGCATGACATGTAAATGAAAATAAGGTTACATTAATAAATAATTGCCCTGTGGTTTAATAGCTTGAGTCAGACTTATGTGGATAATGAGGCATTACTTACTCACTGCTATAAGTACCAGAGAAGAGACGCTGGGCAGTAATGCTAGGGAAGTGATTTGCTAAACCCGGCACGTTCGTGGGTAGAGAAGCTATAAGCTATATGCTTGCAGTTGCGATGGAAGGTCGAAAGCGTGTCACTCGTAGACGCCGCAGGGGAGAGTAGAACAGAGGCACACACCCAGGGTAGGTAGAATCACCTCTGGAAGTGTGAGAGATGCATACATTGTTCATCAGTTGAATTGACAACTGACGCAATAGTTTAACTCCCTGATATATGAAACAAAACTCTTTATTATTAGTTTCAAAAGCTCCTTTCCAAAATAATGCTTAGAAGTTATCACTTGTGACTGTGAATCAAACGTGTAGCAGTTTTTGTGTCAACCCATTTTGCCCACAAAAGAACTCATTCCTTGCTAGCTTTGCACATTAAAGAATATTGACAAATAAACACAAGCTAAGAAAAGTATTGATTCCCACGCTCATGCTTATGTCCTTTGAGGGCACACTCAGTTGCCATAGGAATTGGTAGGAGCTTTAAAATACTACAGTACTGAGCAAAGATAAAACACTATAGGTAAACCTGACAAAAAAAAAATTCAATGTAAATTTGCTGACAATGAATAACACTATTTTTTCTAGAAACGTAACCATACACTCAATGCTTTGCAATCTACAACGAAGGAAAGGATTAAAAATTAGGGCTTCTTCTAAGTAGTCAAACTTAGTTTTCATTAGCTTGACTAACATGGAAATTGTGGGAGAAGATTAATTAGGTAGTAGGCTAAATTTGCATAAAAGGAGCTTCATTAATTTGATGGACTAGAAAACAAAAGCTATAGGAAGATCTTCGCTTAGGACTCCAAGCGCTGGAAACTGTAGTACTTCTTGCTGTGTGTTACCTTTGAAATGAATGCCGGAATCGTACTGATTCACCCAGATCCACGTAAAAACGAAAGCTTAGCTACCATAATCAAGGGTATGGGATCCGACGTGTTGAGCTCTACGATTTACCTCGATTTTTACCGCGTCGCATTGTTAAATCCCTCATCAGGATCGATAGCCCGAAAAATGAATTCAACAATGGTATGAAACCAACATTATTAAATGTTACTTAACCGAGGAAAAAGTGTTGAAACTCACCGACTGCGCGAGTAGCGTCTTCTTCGGTCTCGAAAGTCTCGACCGCCTCCACCACCTCCGGGGCGTCTTGTACACTGCCGAGCGTAATGCCCGACTCTTCCGCACTCGTAACATTTTTCAGTTATTCCCGATCTTTGAGATCTTCCACCCCGGGTTGGCCCTCGAGCCATTTCCACGCGAACTTTCTCTCCGCAAACATATCTTCCATCCAGTTCATGGCAGGCATCTTCCGCATCGCGGGAGTCTTCGAACACAACAAATGCAAAACCAGGCGGATTTCTAGCGACCCATACGTCGCGGAGAGGACCAAAACGTTCGAATTCACGTTCTAGCTCGCGTCTAGAACCATTATTCCCTAGATTTCCGACGTAAACTCGCGACATTTGGCACCGAAAATACAGGTACCTTCTAAATTCACCAACGAGACGAGAACGCGAACTGAAAACGCGGAGAAACAGCGTGCTACCCAGAAGTCCATGCAAACAGGAAATTCAAAACATTCCCGGATGACAGCCGTGACTTCTTTGCTTAGCATCCAGGCCAAATATGGCGGACACGAAAGAGTGAAATCGACTGGTCTCGCGTATTTTTATACTCAGAAGCTAAGATGGAGGACGATCGGATTGTCGCTCTTATGAAGTATGTTCGTGGAGAGATAAGCTTTTCTGAGTGGATTGAAAGCGGTGCAGGATCTGCTGATGTGGAAGATGAGAACGAGACCCAAGATGGAAACGGAGATGATCAGGGAGATGGGGAAGCTGGAGGGCTACAAACCACAGAGGTTAATATTCCCAGTGAAGAAAGAAGTGAACCCACAGGTGAGCAGAAAATATGCTTGTCCAGTTCAAGATTACTTATAGACATCAAGTTTCATATCATCGACTTTTGATTTCTGGTTGCCACTCATGACACCTACCAAGTCTTCATTTCTCTTGGAAGACTTGCAGTTTTGACAAAGATCCCCCAGTCCCCTAGTGACTGGGAGACTGGGGAATTTTCCTCTGAGTGAGCTGCAAAGCTTCCAGAGTGAGACAGCATAATCCACTTTTGAATAGAAAACTAAAGAACTCTACCATTTTCCCGAAAAATTCATTGCCAGTCTGATTCTCTGTACACCAAACAGGTGAATCATCCTGAGTACCACTATTTGACATCTTCGCACTCTGCGCAGCTGTAAAATTGAGCCACTCTATGGGTACCTATGGGCCTGTGAAGTCTACCATTTCCTCCTCCCCCCCCCCAAAAAAAAAAAAAATCATTTCCAATCTTACTCTCTCTATATGTAACACGTGAATCATCTAGTACAATAGCCTGAGCCTGCAAGCAAGCTCTCTGGGGTGCTCTGGAAGCAGGGCAGCAAAAGGAAGGACAGCTTACAACTACGTCTCTGGAATGTGTATATTTGCATTGAAAAAGTGGATGTGAAATGCTAATTGGCATAGATGACATTAGCAATGACATCATTACCATTGGCATGTGTTTTTCAATGTTTGTTTACATTCATGTTCATTTCCGCTTTGCACTGAATTGTGGAAATCTGACTGCTCAGTGGACGGGGAGCAAGGGGGGAATTGGAGGTGGAATTCAAATTCCAGAGACATAGTTGCAAGCTCCCCTTCCTTTTCCCACCCCGCTGCCAGAGTGCCCTGGAGACCTTGCTTGCAGGCTACTAGTACAACTATTTGACATCTTCGCACTCTGTACAGACCTAAAATGGAGCCCCTCAATGGGTATGTGGAGACATCATTTGCCATCAAATCCCTGGTTTTTCATTGAAATTTTTGTGTATCATGAAAATGGGGAATTAAAAATGTAGCAGCAACGGATTTATTAAGCTAAATACAAAGTGTCAATGTGCAGTACACTTTTTGGCGGATTTCTTTACCATCATTGCATGACTAAGGTAGTCTAACTTGTTCAGAATGGCAGTGCTATAATTTGTTACCCTAATCTCTAAGATTGTCGTTGCATTAAGAGTGATGTTCATCAGGAGAATTCCACCAATAATCATGACTATCCAACCAGATCAGTTTATTCCAAAATGGTATGCTTGACAGAGATGGGTTTTAGCAAAAATTTTGAGAAAAGACTAATATTTCATTTTCAAAATGACCGCTCTGGCTAGGAATGTACCCTTAGAAAAACTCAAAAGGTAAGATACTGCTTTTTAAACAGGGTTTAATGCATTTTTTATCCTGTTCTCCAGGTGTTGGCACGACCACTAGTAATCAAGAAATGGTGATTCTTGTATCAGAGCCAATATTCACTCAGCTGTCAGAAATGGGTTCTCAGGCATTAGCTGTAAGCTCTGCCACAGAGAGTCCAGTCCGGGACTCAGGCAAGCCAAACAACATTTCATCATCTTTGCGACAAACAGCAACAGCCCAACCACCAATTAGAATGACAGATCTCCTATTACAAGGTTCTGCTGCAAAAAGTGCGCAAAAGCCTGGTGGAACTGGAGTGGATGAGTTTATGGAAGAAATCAAACAGCTCAGGGCTCCACGGCGCAGGGCCGCACGGCGTAAACTTTGTGAGCTACCAGCTAAACACAAGCATACAATGGGCCATGTTAATATGTTGTGGGCCAGAGGAGAGATGGAAAAAGCCAAAGGAATTTGTATGGACTTGATTCGACAAGGTTGGTCACATCTTATTTACTACAATACAATGTGAGAATTGATCACCTGTAATACCACTGTGCATTTCTACATTTCTTTGTCATTACATTACTTAAAATTTTCTGTGGCTATTATTCAGCCCATTATATTATACTAATTGTTATTTCCACTGCTTCCAGTCTCATCTTATAAGATGTTTGTTTAGAGTTTGTAAATACAAAAATATAAAATAAAATAAAACCTTGACATTTATTACTTTGTTTTTGGATGATGTTTTCTTTGTGCAGTTCCAAAGTGCTCGGAACCTTTCCAGACTTTAGGAATGATGTTTGAGGAGCAGGGAGATAAAGAGAAGGCTCTTCAGGTAAATTATTTGTGCATTTAAGACAGAAAGCAAAATACAGTTAAAAAAAAAAAAGCATGTAACTCTGACTGGTAAAAAAGGTTCTTGTATTTTGGGGTCATTATTGGCAATTTTCCCTATAAGTAAGTTCTTTTTGGGTAAGGATCAGAAAAATACATAAACTAGACTAGTGTTTGGTCCTTAAAAAGAAAATTACCACTGAATATATTGTATTTCACAACTGTAAATTCCAAACCTCCTTTATGCAAAGTCCACGAAGGAAATTAGTCTCCACTTTACATGTGTAGATATATAAAACTGTTTTTGTTGCAGGAATTACAGTTTTTTACAATTTCTGGTATTATAAAATAATTTTGCAAATCTCAAAGTCAATTTCCCGTGGTTAAAATTCTTATCATAGTTTAACTGTTACCCAGTTTATATAGGAAGTTTGTGTGATATTGCTTGGCTAAACAGGTTAACTTATATTTTTGGGTACCGAAATGGCAAATTTCTGCCAGCAGGTTCTTAAACCACTAAGTTCTTACATGCTGGGTCTTACTGTAACAGGATTGCTGATTTAGTATCACAGGAGAAAATTTTATCCTTCTCATATGTTTTTTCTCCACCTGGCCCTTTCATGAATAATGACCATTTCTTTGATAGTCAGAGGAGTAATGCTGACAAGCCACACCCTTTTTCCTACATTCTAGTTCTTTCTTATTGCGGCATATCTCAGTAAATCAGGAGACTCTGAAGAATGGGCCAAGCTTGCAATGATGTCAATTGAACAGAATAACTTAAACCAAGCACTGACTTGTTATAACCAAGGTGAGTTTTTTTAAGACCAAGGTGAAAATTAACCACAACATATCCATTTCTAAGTATTACTAAACCCTTAGTTTGATGACTCATATGGGAGATGGGGGACATTGCTGCCATATCCAGAAGACTCTTGGATTGTCACAGAATTGCTAGGTGATACCTCATCTTTTTTGGTCCTTGTGGGAATTTCACATTTCCAACTATTTTAATTTCTTTATGCAGCTTTAAAGGTGGACCCAGGCAATGCAAACATCCTGTGGGATCGTGCCGCTCTATACTATCAGATGGACAATACTAAGAAAAGCTTGGAAAGTTATGAAATGGCATGCCAAGTAAGTACATGTTTCCCCCTGAAATTCAAGTTTAGGGTGGTCTTTACCTTACAATGTAGCCTAGCTTACGCTAGAATTGTATACCATGTTTTACATGTATACTTGAAATTGCATGGCTCCCAAAAGAGCATTGCACCCAGCAGCAAAATTATTAACAGGCATCACCTCAATTAAGGGCCACGCCCTTTCAGGAACTTGTGGTACATACATTTATTGATTTGATTGTTTTTTGAAAATGTTTTTATTAACATGTTTTGGATCTGGAAGGAGAAGATTCCTTTACATAATAATGTGTACAACAAAGAAATAGAAAGAAAGATTTCTTAGTAAGCTCTTACCTAAATAAGTGCTGCCCTTAAATAAGCAGCGCACCATCAAGATGAAAACTTAGATATAGGCAATAGTGCTTCTTTGAGTAAACACACTAATCTGTTAGCCATTAAACTTACTGTTCTGTACTGTGTCGCGTGACATAATTTTTGTTGATTAAAGTAAGTAATCGTTGATCATTTTCTTTGTCTTGTAGGCTATGGCATTAAATTTTGATGACGGGGCAAAGTATATGGACCTTGTGTGTGAAATGGCAAAGGTAGGACAAAGTCGGATCATTCATTTTGAGATTCTGGGAAATTTGTATCTTTGTGATGCGGCTTGAAGGGTTGTAATAATAATATTAATATTGATATTACTCAATGATATTAAAATATTGTGTTTAATTAATTATGACTCTTTCATTTTAGCTACATCATGAAAACAAGAACTTGGAAGAAGCGATTAAGGTTCTTCAAGCTGCATTTTCACAATATCCAGAGCATTTTAATAATCAAGGTGGGTACTTTCAATTGCAAATGAAACTAATTATAGCAATTATAATTAATAATTAATTATTAATTAATACTAATTATAGCGTGTCAGATAACGGGTATAATTATCTTGAATAAGGTCTTTTACCTCTGTTTTTTTTCGTCGTGCTTGGGCAACTTTGTACGTTTGAAACGGCCATAGTAAGCAGCGTGGCGGCGTGGTTAGAGCGCTGGGCTTGCAGGCCGGAGGCCCCGAGTTCGTACGTCCCAAAACCTTGTCCATCTTTTGGGAAATCCGCAGTTTCGTGGCAAACATCTTTTGATGATATATTAACACGTTGTTTCTTTTACAGCCACTAACATGCTTGCTGATCTACTCATGGCATCGAAAGCGTACGAGGAGGCTTTACAGGTAATTCTTCATCGGACAAGAAAGTCTTTTAGTTTTGTCCCGGTCAAGCCTGAATTTTTTCAAGTTCTTTTTCAACCGCTTAGGTCGTTTATTTTACTGCGAAGATCATGTTCACTTTCATAGGCTTTATCCCCAGTTCAAAATATGATTCATTTCACATATTTCAATTAAGTTCGTCATGATGACTGATTTTAAAGGTGTTGAGTTGAAGTTGCTGTTACCACCATTGACAAATGATGGTGGTAATGATGGTGGTAATGATGGTCACGGAAGAGCTAGCAGGAAACTTGGTTGGCTGTTTCATAGAAGTCTGAAGGCAAGATTAAGGAGAGAAGCTAAAAAATACTTTGAGAGATAATAGGGCCATTTATACGAGGAAAAATAAGACGCGTCTTACATAAGACGCGTCTTAAATAAGACGCGAACCTTCCGTATAAACGGCACATTTCGTCTAAAATAAGACGCGGCTTATTAGATAAGACAAGCTCGTATAAATGATACAGTTCGCGTCTTATGTAAGACGCGTCTTATTTTTCCTCGTATAAATGGCCCTAATGGGTTAGAGCTTTGAGTAATCGGGTGAATGTGATTAGCAGTCTAACTTCCACAGGCTGATTTCAGGTTTTAATACTAGAGGTTGAAAATTTCTCGTTTCCAAGGAGCGTTTGTATCGAAGACTTTCAAATATAATGACGATGATGATGATGATGATGATGATGACAGGGACCTTAAGCAACGACGACGACGACGGCAGTGAAAAACTCACGAAAAAAATGAATTTGCGTCTTTTCAAACTTTATCGCGTCCATTTGGAACCGCTCAATTCGTCAAATGCAGGCGACTTTTCCTGGAGTTCAGTTCTTAAGGGCTTTATCCATGTTCAAATAGAGAAGGGAAAATTTGTCGTAGTATGTCCACCTCCTGCATAAAACCTCGCATTGGGAGTTTTCACGTGGTAGTCGTGCAGTGGACGTTAAAGAAATGTGCGAAAAAGCGTGATGTACGTGCAGAGCATTTGTTTTGCTCATAGAACCGATTGTTTTTTGACGTTGTTGTCATTGTGGTCGCTTAAGGTTCTTAATAGGGACTTTAAGATCCAACGACGCGGACGACAAGAAGAACATCGCTTAGAAAGTGAATTTGTGTTCTTTGAGTCTTTATAGCGATTATTCCTAACCACTTACTTTGTCAATTGTAGGCGAACCCTCTTGAGTTGAATTCCTAGGGACCATATCCAAGTTCAGAAAGAGAAATAGCATAAATAATTTCGTCGTTGCTTGTTTACGTAGTCCATAAAACGCGAAATTAGGTATTTTTACGTCGTAGTCGTGCAAAAGCGGGTAAAGAAATGTACAAAGGAGCGTGATGCACGTGCAAAGTTGTTGTTTTGGTTGTAAAACCTATTGTTTTTATGACGTTTTCGTTGCCGTCCGCGTCGTTGGATCTTAAAGTCCCTAATGATGATGGCGACGACCACGACGACGACGATGATGATGGTGATGACGGTGATAAAACATTCAGTCTTCCATTGCAGATTATTCTAAAACACTGTGGGGCCAGGAAAGAGACCAACACAGAACCTACGAATGAGTCACCTCTGACAGCATTCTCCCTACTCTTGAGTCCAACCCGGCAGTCAAACACAGCGAGATCCCCACAGAGAGACAACAGCGAAGCTCCAGTCAACTTAGTTCTTCCTCAAGACTTGCCGATTGATCTACGTGTCAAGATTGTTGTTTGTCTAATTTATCTACGGCAGCTCGATCTTGTCAAGGTAATGGTTGCTTGATAGAGGCCTTTAGATTCTGAAACTGGGACGACTGCGTAAACGAGATTTGCTTAGTACTAAGTAGTGCGCGTGCGTGAGTCAGGGTCATTTTGGCGGGAAAACGCGGTAGCCATTGTCACTCTACTACGAGTTGTAGAATGTCGAGAATGTCGTAGTAGTGGAAATAAGTACGAACGACATTAGAAGTCGCTTGAAATTTAAGCTACCAATACCGGTCGTTTCGGTACATTACAATGACAAGTGCAGTTTAGTCGATTTACTACATGTACCGATACGACAATACGTACCTTTCACTAACCAAGTTTGAGTTCCTTACAGTAAGCTAGAGGCCACGTTTTTTCACGTTGATTTATGACGTGAGCCCGAAACTTGTTACTGATATTTTATGTCGCTGGTAAATCGAGCGTGCGAGGGCAATATTTTACCAATTTGCAGAAGATAACACATTTATGATGTATTGACTTTTTCACTTTTTTGCAGAAAATTCTTCATCCATTATTCTTTCAATCTGTGGAGACTGTTGGTGACCTGTATATGGATGTCGCTGAAGCTTGCGCGGAAAATGGTACCAAATTATATAAGATGACATCGTTATGCTCATGTATTGTTTGTGTTACGATAGGAGGCGTGTGTGGCCTGTCAACAGCTCGATCTCCGGATTTGGAGGTCTGGGGTTCAAGCCTCGCCCGTTCCGTTGTTTCCTTATACAAGGAACTCTACTACACTTTGTCTTTCCTCACACTGGTGTATAAATGGGTACCGGGGACGTACTACTGGGGGGTACCCTGTGATGGATTAGCATCCCGTCCAGGGTGGGGGGGAGTAGCAATACTCCTATGCATGCTACCGGGATAATCACCTTCTGTTTGGGCCTTTGGTTCGTGTGCACCCGGCTTTACCTTGCCTTCACCTGCGAGAGTCCTGTAGGTATTGATCGCGACGCTTCGTCCTCGTACTGCTCGGGTCTTAATGAGGCGATGGTGTCGATTTACTGAGCGGGAGTATTAGTATAACACCGTGGTACAGCTTATGATCGGCGCATTACGAAACTCACTCGTAGTTGGTGGATTTCGATCTGAAGTATTGTTGACATTGCTGGAGTAAGAGTGTTCATTTGCCCTTAGTTGTCCACTGTGGTTGTGTTATAAGGTGAATTTTTCAATTCAGTGTGTATTGTAATAGTTATCTTCGAGGTCGCTTCCCAAAATAGTAGTTGGTAATAGCTCTTCGGAAATTCCCTGTCTATCCGACTTCTTCTGCACCATAATCCTAAGTGACAGTTCTTGTGTTTCTTTGCAAAGAAAGAGTTGGGATTTGATTTTTTTCTAAACAATTGTTTTTCAGGAGACTACGAGGAGGCTCTACCCATTCTCGACATACTCATCCGATCAAAGAATTACAACATGGTGGGTGTTTTTAATTTTCATTATCATTTTCGCGGCTGTTAAATCATCCTTTGTATGTATTACCGGGGCTTTTTCTACCGGCATTTTCATCTAAACAGGGGTACGAAGTTGCTTACTTGACAAATGCATCCTACTATGAACTCAAGACAAGTCAATGTTATTTTTAATGATAAGACAAGAAAAGAATTAGTCGAAATAAATCTCAAGATTCGGTCCAACTTCATCCCAGTTATTAGTAGTGATTTGAAACACTAAAACTACGTAATTGTCAATGACAGACGCACGCAGTTCAATAAGCCAATCAAAACTTGAAGCGAATCACATTTCGGACGTTCCTAGCGCGGGAAAGCTTGTGAGCAGGTAACCAATTTTTTGTCTCTTCTGATTGGTCGAGAAAATGGCGCGAGATTTGATTTGTTTATTTATTATTTATTATTTTATTTATTCCTCCAATTCCTAGCGAGATTTGATCACCACGGTTTCTTTCTTTTCTTTTTATTGGTCAATATAGGTGGTGAAAAATTGTACAGCTAATCATAAAAACAAAGCTAAAGCGGAATAAAGCTATGGTTATTTGTAAACCCTTTTAAATGAGAGAACGCTATCTTAACAATCTGTTGAATTATCTCACGCAGGCAGGTGTGTGGTTAAAGAAGGGAGAATGCCTACACTCTCTTGGAAGGCTAGACGAAGCTGCCTTTGCTTACGCGCAAGTTGTCAACTTAGCTCCAAACCACCTCGATGCACGGCTGATTCTTGCATCTCTTCATCAGCAGCTTGGCAGACCCAATCAGGCGCTGGATATTTTATCAGGTGAGAGGTCGAATATTTTTTACTATGTCAGCGACAAATGAAATCATCCTGAGAAGCGTGATGTTTTCTTTTGGAAAGAAATTGTCTCCTGGTTAGAGATGTAAAAGTGATGATTATATCGTGTTAAAAAGAAACTGAAAAATAGTATAGGTCTGACATGGATTAGAAACCAGATCTTTACAATGACCGGACGCAACGCTGTATCCAGAGGAACTTACATGTATCAAGCAACTCAATTGTAAGTTTTCGTAAATATAACCTATACTGGTAAGTGGCGACATATATTTGAACTTAAGACCAAACAAATGACAGTTACCATAAAAGACCGACTTTCCCGTTTTGCAAATAGTTTGCTACAACATACGACACAAAAAACCGTCTGTTTGGTTTGGTGTGCTTGTCGTCTTGAGATCAAGAGCGTTTTGTTTGGGACAAACGTCAGGGGTGTAAATTTCTTATAACGTTTGTACGTATTGCAGACCCCAGAGGTATAGAAATCCCTCAGGATGCTTCCGGTCGAGAGGTTTCCATGGATACCACTCACAGCCCTGCGTACACTGAAGAATCTGATTCAGAGCCTGCAGTACAGCCACAGGTTGGTCAGTTGCTAAGATATGGCTTTTGCTGCAGTCATGTCTCTTTAACCCCATTATTAAAAAGATAGACAAACAACTGTGGTAGCAACACAGCATAGCTGTTTTAGTTCAATTCTGTGCTGAAGTCATTACTAAGTGCCGTTACTCAATACACTAAATGCTCCTTTAGAGTTGTGAATGAGTTATGGCTATTTTTACAGGCATAGCATTCAAACTTGAAAAAGTTGGCCCAACTTTTTCAAGTTTTAATCCATGTCCATCCTTGATATCCATGGGAATGACAGAAAATAGTTTGAATACCTACATAAAGTCTTAAATAACAAAGTTGGACTTTTGTTTCTGGAATTCAATTGATGTGGAGATATGTTTTAGCTTTATTATATAAAAAATTTAGCAAGTAGCGCGACATAGTCCCTTCAACCAGCATGGCAGACCTCTTGAAGCGAAAGGAACAAAAAGACAACGCGGAAGCGCCCTTCCACTTCTAGCGCTAACGCCCTTTTCGTTTTTCTTTCAAGCGCCCACCACTTACTAAATTTAAAACACTTCAAGAGTTCGAAGGAAAACCAGTTACGACTACTGGTTGTTGTTGTAAAAAAAGATGCCATAGTAAAAATGTCTTTTTACGCGGTTTTCGCTTCTTTCTCAAAACAGGATTTCAGGCTTCTTTACCACAAGTGTGCACTTCTGCAGTCGCAGGATCGTGTCGACGAATTTGTTGAAGCAGGAATTGAACTGTTTAAGTTATTTTTCAACGATGTGTACCACAATAAAGACCTGATGGGTAGGCCGAGTCCTTTGTGATGTAGTGTGTTGTTGTGCTTTTCTTTCTACTTTTCCTCCCTCCTTTCTCCCTCCTCCCCTCCCTCCCTCCCTTCTTCCTCCTCCTCCCTCTTTTCCTCCCTTCCCTCCTTCGTCCCCACCTCCCTGCCTCTCTTCCTTTTCTTTCTTCCTTCCTTCCTTCCTGCCTGCCTCCCTCCCTCCCTTCCTTCCTTCCTTGCTTCCTTCCTCTTATCTTGAAAACTGCCTCAGAGATGGCAATTTTTTAAGTATGGTGAGGAAAAAGAAGGCCGGCTACTTAGGCTAGATTAGTGTCCATTTCTTACGTGACATAGTTTTTTTGTTGCTTGTTAGATATTGCCTTGAGATCAGCAAAGTACAAAAGAGCAGAAGCGAAGAAAAATGAACCATTGGATCAAGAGGGAACTAACTTGAAACCATGTGAGATATTAAGTCTATCATAACCCATGGGCCTTTGTCGAATTGAGGAAGACTGTAAAAAGTAACAAAAGCAAATAATGGTCATTATAAAACCATGATTTTATGATTTTTGATGATTTTTCCCCCTTTGTTTGGTAGCTTCCCATACCAGGAGCAAGGGCGATACTGGAATTAGAAATGAGGAGTGGTGGGAGATGTTAAAAAAGGTAAGTAACATTGTTAAAAGCCATTTTTTCCCCGCCCAAGGTTTTAGGTCATTTTGACACCTTTGCACACAAGACTGGGTGGGTGTTGTTTGAAATTGCATTGGGCAACGGTTTTATAGGATGAATTCTATCCCTGCACAACCTCAAATAGTCTAAAATGTCAACCGTCTCCACCCACTAACCAATGGGGGTGAGCTCCCAATGAGTTAGAGGGTGGGGAAGGCTCACATTTCAGACTAGCCGATAACAGTGACTGTACAGAGGATATAAGGCGAGAGAGGGCTTTATAATTCTAATGATAACAATAGTAAAAATATTGATTAAAGTAATAATGATGATGATGATGATGATGATGATGATGATGATGATGTTGATGATGATAACAATAACAAACAGACATTTTGTTTCAATACTCGAACTCCTTTCATTTTGTTCTTTTTTATAGGTTGTATCGGCCCTTAGTCATTTAAAACGTCATGCCGATACTCAGCATTTGCTGCTGTGTGCCTTGTCATCTGACCGCTTCTCAAACTCAAACTTCCAAACAGGTCTTCTTTTCATGAGCGTCGTGGCTCTTTACCTCAATAGGGAATACAAACTGGCGTTCGACACTGTGAAAATACTCATTGCCAGGGACAGGCACAAACCTTTATACTGGAACTTGATGGCCAGAATCACTGCTAAGTCAGGCGATACGAGGCACCAACGATACATTCTTCGACTCTTGATAAAGCACCCAGATGAGCTGCCACTCGTGTTGTACAGCGGTCATAATGCTGCTGTTAGTGCAAGTTATAAATTTGCAATAGGTAGGTAGGGTGCCATTGCCTGTCTAGCTCATTTGGATAAGTGGAGGTCTGCCGAGCGGGAGGCCGCTGGTTTAAACCCCAGCCGGACGAACACTCAGGGTCTTTTATCAACTGAGGAGAAAGTGCTGCCTTTGTAATATCATCTGCAAATAGTTAGACTTTCTAGTCTTCTCGGATGGACAATAAACCGTAGGCCCCTCTCACAACCCTTGCACATATAAATTCTGTGGGAAGATAAAGAACCCACATACTGTTCATAAAGGGTAGGGGGCGTAGTCTCCGGTTTGGTGATCTATCTTTTATGGAGGGTTGGGCGACTGTTACGGACTCACAGTAATTGGCGCCAAGCGCTGTTGGGGTGACCCTGCCAAGAATCGGCCACCCAAGTAAAAAGGTTTCTTTTTTGTAAAAGGATCGAGAGGCAGACACAGACCAGTTTATTTTTATGTTGATTTTCCCGCGAATTTTGACTTAAGAATAAGTCTTACAAATCGGCCATCAAATCCGGAGACTAGAATAAAGTATTTCTGATGTTTTGATAGTATTTACTTCTTCTTCTTGTAATTATCGTACTATGGATGCGTACGCATAGGGAACGGTGCTTCCATTTTCGCGGGAAAAAGTGCTCCAAAAATGATGCTAAAAGGCTAAGTATGGCAGTTGCAACCTCCGGGTTATAGGCTCTTGGTTTGGTCACTCTCTGAATCGGTTCCCGGGTATATTACAGTACTTTCTTTGTTTTCCTTGACAAGATTTTATTTTACAATGCAGGCGAATACATCAGAGCTTTTCGTCAAACGCCCCTTGACCCGCTAGTTTCTTTATGTTTGGGCCTTCAGTACCTTCACTTGGCTTCTCAGCGGTTCCCAAGACATAGACATACTTGTGTTATACAGGTAAAAAAAATAATGCTGATGATGGTGATTACGATTACGATTACGACGACGACGACGATGACGATGACAATGACGACGAGGACGATGATGATGACAATAGCGCTGAGACGACGAGTTGATGATGATGATGACGACGATGTGTGATGATGATGACGACGACGGTGACGAGGACGATGACGACGATGGTGACGATAAACACGACGATGTCGACAACGATAACGATGACCATGATAATGATGATGATGATGACAATGATAACGCAAACAATGATGATGAATGATTTTGATGATGATGATGATGATGATAATGATGTTCTAAACCTCTTATTTCACTGGTCCCCTTTAATCTAACTTCCAAACAGGGCATTGTTAAATGATGTTGTTTTGTTGAGCTAATCAAAAACAATCTTTCAAATACGTGCGGGATCGCTCCCTCTTTTACGCTCATTCAACTCAAGAAGTACTGTTTTTTTTTCCTGGTGTTCCTCCTGTTGTTCACGCGGACGGAGAGAATCACGATAAAGCTAGCTATTTTACATGTTTAACTGTCTCTCGAGACTTTCTGTCTTTGGAATTTTCTGGTCATTCTCAACTTACTAGCCTCAGTAGCAGTAACTGGATGTCCTTTCTTATCCTCGGTGTAACCTCAGTCTACCATTTACACTGATTATTTCTTCTTTCCAGAGCATCGTATTTATGTTTCAATACCTTGGTCTCCGTGGAGAGTGCCAGGAAGCATTTTACAACTTAGGGCGAGCATTCCATCAGTTAGGTAAGTAACCCCCTTTATCCACAGACTGATCTCCATACATTTCCTTTAAGAATTAGATGAGACAATTTGGTCAAAGATCAAAGTATTTTCCCTCGGCTAGGTGCGTCACATGCTTAGGAACAAGTAGCTTAAACATTCCGCTTGTCACGAAATCATTGTCCCGTCTGTGTATATGAAACTGCGCTTGTCGCGCGTGTAAACATCGTTGTAATTATGCTTCAGGGGAGCAAAAGATGGCCCAGGGGGGAGAGCGCTCGCCTCCCACCAATGTGGCCCAGGTCAAATCCCGGCATCGACGCCATACGTGGGTTGAGTTTGCTATTAGTTCTCTTCTGTGAGAGGTTTTTCTCCGGGTACTCCGGTTTTCCCCTCTCGTCGAAACCAACACTTCCAAATTCCAAATCGACAAGGAATCAGGTAGGCGAAGAACCACTTAGTAGATGTGCTACCTCTAAAATCGTTATTTATTTATTTGTTTATTTATATGTCAACGTCCAAAGTAGTACAGTCAAACTCCACCTTACGGACACCTCGTCATTACAGACAGTTTACTCCCTGGGAAAAGAATGCCCTCACATTTTCTCTAAATTCAACCCACTTAATACGGACACCTCTTTAATACGGAGACTCTCTATGGCCCCCTTAGTGTCCGTATTAAAGGGGTTTGACAGTAGTAGTTCGAATTTCTAAAGTTGTCCGAATTTCTTAATTTTTAAAGTCGATTCAATCTTGAACGTCGTGCGTGTTTAAGGTGCGCACGCTTGCGAATTTTCGTTGAAGGTTTGTAGCACATTACAAAGCCCGAGTATACGCTACAATAGCGTCTTTTGTATTTTTATTTCAACGGCAGGACTTCTTCAGTTTGCTGTTCATTACTACCATAAGGCATTAGAATTTCCTTTACACGAAGCCTCACTTGGTGATGGACAAACAGCTGCAAAGGTAAGAGTCCTGTGTCTTTATCAGGTTCTAAGCTGTCTGCGTACGCGAGAATTTTAAATAGCATGAGAAAACAGCCGACGTTTCGCGAGGCCACCACTGGTTTCTCCTCGAAATGACGTTTGAGGAAGGGCGCAGCAATTCCTTACTGATGACGTGTCACTACCCATTCCTGGATAGTGCTTTTGATTGGTCGTGCTGCAAGAGAAATTTGCCTCAGCCAATCAGAAGTACTTACTAGACATGGGAATTACATGTCATCAGTATGGAATTTCTGCGCTCATTTTTCCTTTTGCGGGGAAACATTATTTTAACGTGTAGATTTTTTTTTAGTTTTCAGGAAAACACGATTTACACAGGGAGACAGCATTCAATTTGTCATTAATTTATCGCTCAAGCGGAAACGAACTCATAGCAAGAGAGCTGCTGAGGACACACTGCTGTATTTAAAAAAATTTAAATTATAGAATTACATAACAAAAGGCCAATTTATGTTGTACATATTGTATATTTTGCTGACGTTGAAATTAAATATTTCCTTCTGAAACTATAACTGTGCAAGTATTGTCGCGAGCGTTATACGGCTCGCTGAAGCCACCTTCCCTTAATTTTGTTATCCCCTTTCTTTACCTACTATTCTCCTTCAGCCTGTTTAGACACTAGAAAAACTAACTTCTCCATCGAGTCAAAAGCGTATTTCGGCGCCCTCCGCCTTTTAATATCAATCTCAATTTGAGTTCTGATGGACAAAACCTCATGGTATGGCCGTTAAAATTAAACCTCTTCGGGTGTACTTTGTGCCACTGAATTGAGCGTATTCAAATGACGTCACGGCGGCCATATTGGTGTTCCAAAACAATGAAACGACGGCCATGTTGGTTTACCAAGACAACCCTGTGGGAATTGAACTCTTTTCTTATGTAAAAACCTTTTTTTTGTTCGTATAAATTAGTATAAATGTTGTCCACGTGAGTGAATACGCTCAATAGTCGTCTAAGAAAAATTTGATAGTATTATCAAACTTGGGATAATGTATTTCTTCTGCAATATTTTACAAAATGAAATTTAGAATTTTTTTTCTTTGAAATGTCGACTTAAGGAAATTTCTAAGTGTAAAAGAACATCAGAAAATATGTGTTCAGATGATGAAGATTTGTTAACAGGTGAGAACTGATGTCTGGCTTTTGAAATGCAGACACGGATATCGTACCTGAAATCTCGTCCTTATTCTGATGAGCACATCATTAGCGTCCCTTTAAGCTTTGTTCTCTGTTATAGCCGCCCGCTTTTCAGTCAATCGAACGAAGAAAACCCATCACCAAATCATCATTCGTCGCATTAGAAAGGAGAAGGCAAGTGGACCGAGTTAACTTTCGCAAAGAATTCTGGGATTGTTACTAGGACCAGGGGAAAAAAAAATGGCCAATGGCTGACCAGCGCGCCCCCAGTAATGATCCCAGAAAGCATTGCGCGACGCGATCCGGCTCCAGTTCCCTTATCCTTTCTAAAGTGGTGAATGAGCAAGGAAATCTGCTAGGCCTGATCAAGAAAGAGACTGAACCTTGGAGAGACGGAGCTCCTTTACCTAAGGGTTTTTCACTACACTCCTTCGTACCTCTATGTTGAAAATCAATAGACCGTCACGTTCGGAGATCCGGCCATGTTGGATTTAGTGGGGAGGTTATGGTTGCCCTTGGTAACCATTACGGGGTTGGGGTGGCGAGCTTCTGACGGCAGGGGTGATTACGTGTATTTCTTACGGCGTATTATTTTGCCGTAATGTAACTTAAAAGGAAAGAAAAATAAACAAAGTACAAATTATTTGTATTATGTGGTGTATTCGACTCTATTACGCTAGTTTTGTTGTCTTAAATTTTTGTAACAAGTTTGCCTGAGATGGTAAGCCTTGTGATTGTCCTTCAGGATTTCCCATGAGACTGTAATTTTTTCATTCTTTGATTTTGCTTTCAGCAACAAATAAAATAATGGAATAGTAGATATAATTTCCCATAGAGACATTGCTCTTATTAAAAACAAAAGATTGCTATTTTTTAAAACAGAAAGTGCAGGAATATAGGAAAAGACATTTTACGCCAAGCAAAGGTCCAGTTTAATCGCACAGTTGCTGCGGCATTGATTTCAAGTTCGTAGATTCTATTTCTTGTCTGTCAGTTGTTGTTTGCGCGGGCCTTTGTCTCAAAATCTGTGTAGAGAAGAAAAGAAATCAGTGAAAAAGCGGAATTCATTTTTAAAAGACTTTTTCCCCTTTTTTTGTCGTCGTCGTAGGGGAGGGGTAGGTGTGCAGTTTCCCAGACACCTAAATTGATCCCTCTAAGTCCCAAGAGTGACCAACATCAATTTTCACCTAAAAACACTTATTCGTTATTTAGAGAAAAAGTTATGAGAATTTATCGAATGATCAACAAAGAAAAATGCTTTGATATTTTATCAAATTCTCTCAACTAGTCATGAAGAAAATGTTTGACGATCAGTCTGGAGAATTTATGCTTTGATGTTGGAGCTTGGATTCAGACTGATCTTGAGCTGCAGTTGATATACTACAGTCATCTCGCTCCTTGCGGATACCCCTATAATATACGGACAGCAGCTAAATTCCAGGCAAAAATAAATTACGGAGATTTGACAGACATAAACTCCTGCTATTACAGACTCGCGCTAATGTGGACACTAACTCGAGGTCCCTACAGTGTCCGCTATAATGAGCTAGAGTTGACTGTACAACCAACAACTGTCAAAAATTAATGTTACGTTGTTGTATGACTTTTTCACAAGCTTTGCTCGACAACTCTCACCTCTAATCAATTGAAATAAATATCCATCCAAAAAGTCTCGCTTCTTGGGTGGAACCTGTCCTCTTTTGAAATAACTTGGCCTAAAAAGTTCTCCTTTTCCTCTCATATGAAGGGTTCTTCCTTCCCGTATAAACCCTTCTCCAGGTTGACTTAGAATGAAAACAACTGTTAAGGCAGCGACCAAGACTGGTGTTATATTCATGATGTGTCTCTAAAGTAGGTTTCTGTGGCGGCAAAAGTAAAAAAAAAACATAATTATACAATAGATAAGTGATAATACCTAACACTCGACGACAAAATGAAGTTGGATAGCATAACTCTTAGCTGAGTTTTCAAATTCAAAATATAGGAAGTGTAGGGATTGGTCAACGTTTCTCAACGTCTATTGCCCTTTAAAGTTTCTTCTCGACAAAAAAAAGCACTTAGGGACACTGAAAAATTGAAGTGTATAATACATTAACATGCAAGTTGTTTGTATTATCTGAATAAAAGACAGCATTTTCCACCTGATTAATATATCTTTTAGCCCTCATTATTTGAAAGGGATACAAACAAATACCGCTATTTTGCGGAGGCGAGCACTTATGTAATTATCAGAACGAGTGCCGCTGGTTTATCGTCGTATATCGGTCACATGTTTTGGCGCAAAACTGTAAAAAGTGTCGTCATGTAATTTTTTTTTTACTTTGCCGGACTATTTTCTAGTGCAAAAAAGAAACAAACAAACAAACAGAAATGCTGGGCACAGCTTACTTCTGTTTTGAAGGCCACACTTAAAGTTAGAAGTTCCTTTCGATTTCTTGACTAGCGTATAATAAATGAAACTGGAGGGGAAAGATGTATACAGATTATTGATGTGCAATTGCAGCATTTGATTACGGCAACTTTCAATTTTACTAATTCCTTCCTCCCTTTATACTCTCTAAGAATCTTGTGAAACGACTGTCGCAAAAACTAACTGTACTCTGATCAACTAGCATCGTCGAGCGTTTCGTAAAAATCATATTTACCAAACCATACGGCAAACATAATGATGCTTTGAAAAACAAACGCTTTTAGAGGTTACACACAACATTTTGACGGAACTGCCAAGTCTGGGCTTCAATTCTCGATCCCGCAAACTAATACAACATCAATTGGCATTCCAATTGCTCTTGGATGAGAGCCTCTGTATCATGTTGTGACTCAAGTCTATCCTCAGTTTTAATTTTATTTTGTTTCAAACTCATTGTTATACAATACCATCCACTAAAACAAAGGGAAAATAGTTATTAAGCCAAGGATAAAATTGAACCACAACACTACAGAGGGCCAAACGAAGATAATGCCGTATACCAGGGAAGGCAGTGTTACGCAATCGCAATGTTTTCCAATTCCTCAATCTTCCTTTATTCATTTCTAATGTTTTGAATACCATGATCAAAGCAGCGATGGCTGACAGCTTTTGAATATCGATTGCAACACTTCTCTTATGTTCTCTACAACAGTTCGTTGAGCCTTTAACAGAAATGACTTACCTTTACTTACGACAGCCTTCCGGGTTTCTCAGCAACAACGCAATCGACTTACTTCATACCGTTTAAGCAGTTTTATAAGCAGAAAAAATGGCAATAAAACTCTGTTTTCGTGAAAGATAGAAGCTACGAATTTCCTGCGTTTAGATTTTAGGATAAAGAATCAATATCACTTCATTGACGGGTCTTTTTCAAGCTGTTCAACTCCGGCAAAGTTTCTTACTTTCAAATTTTTAATTTGAAAGCTGATTGGTTATTGACCAATTTTGTCCGGATCAGAAAAAGATGTCAGCTAAGATACAACAGCTTGGGATCAAGAAAAGAAAAAGTTATCAGTTTTCTTTAGCAATTAAGTTGTGAACAACTTAATAACCAGAATTTGATCATCGTAGTCAATCAATGTTCATTAACTTATTACTTTGCTTTGATCTTGTTTGCCAAACAACCAAATTTTTTTGTTGTTTTTCTGGACGATAAACACTAATTTGATTTCTCCGCCATTTTTTCTCCTTTTTCTCCTATCATTAACCACTGACAGTATTATCAAGAGTCGTGTTTTTGTTCGAATATGAATTTTATTTTCAATGCTCTCTTTGTGTTAGCACGTGTTATGGGCGGCTTATTGAATAAAGAATCGTGATAAATGGCGTATAAGAGAATTGTTATAGAGATAAAGATTCTCCCACTCCGTCGATTGCGATAGGGCCGGGATATCTCTTCGCGTGAAAAGCCAAATAAAAAAGGTACAATGTCTTTCGTCGCTAATTAAGGTCGGAGGTGGAGAGGGGGTGGTTCCAAAGTATCCCGCAAAGAGGAAACGTTTTGTTATTTTTCCGTTAATAAGACAAATGTAAAATTTAGAGCTTGTACATTGTAGCTACAATTCATACAATGACCGATTAAAAACCCGGAAAAGACAAGAAGAAAAAACAAACAGAGAATAAGGGGGGAAAACATTACAACTTCAAGACGTTCAGTATAAACAGGCGCTTGCAGCTAGCGTGGCTGCAAGAATTGCCTGTAAGTTATTTTTATCATTTTTGGACTGTAAAACCTTTTGCAATGATTTTAACTGATCTTGTTTCCTACGTAGAATTCTTATTAATCTCTCAGCAAGGGTTGAAAAGAAAATTAAACTTAGTTTTCCCCCATAGTAGACTCGTGGTTGATCGTGAAGACCTCCCCAACGCTTCTCA